AGAATACAACTATGTCAGGTTGTATTGGGTTATCTCCTTATGAGCATTAAGTTTAACATTTTCAGCCAAATGTAAGTAGATTCAAGGATCACCAAGGTGCAATGATTCTTTTGGTTGATGTGATTCATATTCAAGGTATGGTTCCAATCTTTGCTCATTCACCACAAATGTTGTACTGTTTGTTGAGTTTAGAAGTTTCACAATACCATTATTAGCCACATTTATCATTGTATATGATCCATTCCACCTCGATTTCAATTTACTTAGAAATAAACATAGTCAAAAGTTCAATAATCATACTTTCTAATTAATATGAAAGTATTTCCTACGAATATGCCTATCATGATATGTCTTCATTCAAGCTTTGTGGCTGCGTGAGCTCTCATATGCTTCATTCCTAAATTCTTTTAGTTTTGATAGTTGAAGGGTCCTATGTCTTTTTGCATTATCAATGTCTACATTCAATTATTTGATGGCCCAATAACCTCTATGCTCAAGCTCCGTAGGAAGGTGAGACACTTTACCAAAGACTAACCTATAGGTGACATGTCTATAGGAGTTTTATAAGCAGTCATGTAAGCCCAAAGTATGTCTTATAATGATCAATTCTTCTTATCTATCTTAACAACCTTTTGAAGTATTCTTTTGATTTCTCTATTTGGTACTTTTACTTGACCATTGGATTAATAGTGATAAGGTGTGGAGATTTTGTGTTTGACACCATACTTCTTCAGTTGGGTTTTGAAGGGAGCATTAATGAAATGTGAGTCACTATCACTAATAATAACTCTAAAACAACTAAACTTGAAAAAAATATGAGTTTTAAGAAATTTTAAACCAGTTTATGATCACAAGTGCAAGTGGGAATTGCTTCTATTCATTTTAACACATAATCAATTGATACTAGAATATACTCATGTCTAAATGAAGAAGCAAAGGGTCCCATAAAATCAATACCCCAAAAATCAAAAATCTCTACTAGCAGTATGGGATTTATATACATCATATATTGGTGGGAGATAATGATAACTGCTTGACACTCTAAGCAAGTCTTTTCAAAGTGGTGTGCATCCTTAAAAAGAGGTGGGTAATAAAAGTCAATTAATAACACTTTAACAGATGTCTTCTTGCTTGAGAAGTGTCCTCCACATTCTAATGAATTGGGCAAATTTAAGAATGCTACTTTGTTCTTCCTCTAAAACATATCTCCTAAGAATATGATATTGTCCTAAGTAGAAGTGCTCATGATCATTACAATAGAAGTACTTGATCTTAGTAAAGAAAACATGTTTTTCATGAGTGGACCATCTAGATGAATTTTTTTTGGTCACCAAATAATTCACAATGTGGGCATACCATGGTGTATTTTGAGATTTATGTTCATTACTCTTTCATCTGGAAATAAATCTAGTAGGGGACTATTTTCAAAGTATTTAAGTCAAGGAAGATGATCAATTATTACATTCTTAAATCACTTCTTATTTCTAATCTTTATGTTGAACTCTTATAATAGCAACATCCATTTAACAAGTCATGACTTTGAGTCCTTTGTAAGAAGATGTTTCAATGCTGAATGATCTATATAAATGACCACCTTAGATAATATAAAATAGGCTCTAAATTTCTCTAAGGCAAAAATAATGGCTAACAACTCTTTTTCTATAGTGGTGTAATGGGTTTGTACATCAGTTAAAGTCTTACTAGCATAGTAGATGACCACTGGTTTCTCTTTTATTCTTTGTCTTAGCACTACCTCCATTGCATAATTAAATACATCAAACATGATCTCAAATGGTTGTAACCAATTAAGAGCTTGAAATATCAGTGCTTGTACTAAGATCTATTTAAGGGTAGTAAATGCCTCCAAACACATTTCATCTAAATGAAATAGAATGTCTTTTGCTAAAAGATTTGTCAAAGGTCTAGCTATCTTAGAGAAGTCCTTCACAAATCTTCTATAAAATCCAACATGGCTGAGAAAAGATCTTAATTGTCTTATAGATGTAGGAGGGGGAAGGTAGTTGATGATACATTTTGGTTTTGTCAACTTCTATGCCTCTCACCAATAACATGACCTAAAACCATTTCTTCTCAAACCATAATGTGGTTCTTCTCCCAACTAAGAATTAAATTTGTTGCTACACATCTAGCTAGGACAAGTTTTAATTGTACTAAACATTCCTCAAATGAACGACTACAAATAAAAATGTCATCCATAAATACCCCTAGAAATTCTCTTACTACATTTCAAAACATAAAAAACATGCATCTTTGAAATGTTGCAGGAGTGTTACACAAATCAAAGGACATTCATGTGAATGCAAATGTACCAAATGGGTAAGTAAAGGTAGTCTTCTTTTTATCATTTGAATTGACAGCTATTTGATTGTAACTTAAATACCTATCTAGAAAATAAAAGTATTTTTGGCCTGCTAGCTATTCAAGAATTTGATCCATAAAGGGATGTAAGATTGGTCTTTCTTGGTGGCTGCATTTAATTTCCTATAATCTATACACATGCCAATTAGTAGGGAGTCTCATTTTTACTTTATTTCTTTGCTCATCCTTGGCCACTATGAAACTAGTCTTCTTCAGGACAACTTCTATGGGATTGACCTATTGACTATCTAATATGGGGTATATAAAGCCTGGATCTAACCACTAGATCTCTTCTTTGACCACCTCTCTCATTTGTGGGTTAGTCTTCTTTGTATTTTCTTACTTGGCTTGGCATTATCTTCTTCATAAATGTTGTGTATGCAAGTACTTGGGTTTATGCCTTTTAGGTCAAAAATATTCCAACTTATAGCACTCTTACATGTTGTCAGTACTTCTATCAAGGTGGATTCTTACTCTAAAGTTAAATTTTCTGCTATGATGATCGGAAGAGTCTTATTGGGCCCTAAGAAGATATACTTGAAAGTTTATGAAAGAGGTTTGAGATCAAGCTCAAATATGGGAGAAAAGTTTTCTTCCTCTAGTGATGATGTTAATGGGGAATGGTCTACTCCTGTAGTGTGAGGTACCATGTCTACTTTGAATGTATCAATCACATCAATAGTTTGACGCTCATACTCCTCATCTGAATATCTCAACGTATGAAAGGGATTCATTAACACCTTCTATGAAAGAGGTTTGAGATCAAGCTCAAATATGGGGAGAAAAGTCTTCTTCCTCTAGTGATGATGTTAATGGGGAATGGTTCTACTCTTGTAGTGTGAGGTACCATGTCTTCTATGAATGTATCAATCACATCAATAGTTTGACACTCATACTCTTCATTGGAATGTCTCGATGTATGAAAGATATTCATTGACACCTTCTGCCGTCGAAATGAGATGTACAACAATTTCTAAATATACATAATTTAATAATTTTACATCAATTTAACTATTGTCACCCATCTAGGGTTTAAATATTATTTAACTCTACTAAATATGGTAGAATTTGCATTAAAATCTCACTTAAGACATCCATACCATTTTCATTGACTGTAATTAAAGGGTATTGAATGTCAATGTTAAGTGTCTATTGCCTATTAAAGGGTTTGGCCTAATGGGTGTCCACCCCATAGCATGAAGCCTCTCTATCTTACACAGCTCCCCACCTCTCTCTCTCCCTCGCTCTCACCCCCACTCTAACTCTCTCTCTCTCTCTCTCTCTCATCACCATTCTAACACTCTCTATCTCTCTCCTCACCCCCACTCTCTCTCTCTCTCTCTCTCTCTCTCTCTCTCTCTCTTTCTCTCACCCCCACTCTAGCTCTCTCTCTCTCTCTCTCTTTCTCTCACCCCCACTCTAACTTTCTACCTATCTTTGTGATGACCACCTATGATCCACTTTTTTTACCTTTTCTCTTAAATTGAATTGAATGAAGACCTTTAATTAAAGACATTTATCCCTTGAGTCGGCTAGGTAAGGTTGGTTCATTGATCTAGACAATCAATCTTAAGATACAAATTAAATATGTAAACATAGTCAAGGAGAATATGAAGATTTGATTGTGTACGTTTTAGGAGGCTATTAGAAAATAAACTAAGAGATGGCAAAGTGAACTAGCCTTTTTGAATTTTATTTTTGGCATACTAGGCTTCTATAATCAATTCTTTAGCTGACCTTTAATAGATTTGGTGAGTCTAACTAAACCCATAAATTACTAGATTTAATCAATTATATGTGGTTGAACCAGATAAGCACCCAAATAATTTTCTCCAAGTCAGTTAAACTAATTTAGTACCTATGTAATCGCTTTCAAATCTATAGCTCTAGATCAAGTAAACTAGATTAGTGCACAACCAATCACCTTTAGATTTACAGCTCTAGGTTGTCCCAAGCATGTGGATTGCATTTATACAAAGTGAGTCACTTCTTACGCAAAGATCAAAAGACATTAAGTTGTGAGTAACAAGTACAAAATATTTTTTTTCACTTTGACAAAAAGTTTGAAAAAAGAATTTTCAATAGACTTAGAGGTCATATAAGCACGCAAGTAGAAATGAGGGCCTATTGGATGGTTAGTATCGTTTTTAGAGAGAGAGAGAGAGAGAGAGAGAGAGAAGAAAAAAATAAAAAATAAAAAATAATATAATTCAAAATATTAAAATATTCCTTAATGTTGAATAAATTTACAGATGTGTATCGAGATACCTTCTTTAAGTTGTTCGTGTATGATCGTGAAAAGTGAGTTCTGTACGTGGACGTTGAAGACGTGGCTGATCTTCAATTAAAAATAATTCCTCTTATTTTTCCCCTTGTACAGATAAATGATTCTATGGGCTGAGCATTTCGAAAAGAAAATCGGAGGATTTAAGAAAAATAAGACGTATGAGGAAGTAAATGTAATATCAAAACTTTGAAAAGGTTCTATCTTGAAAAGAGCCGGGAAGTAAAAGCGTGTTCAGATCTAGCGCTCCTCCCGCAGAAGAGGAACGCGCAGGCCGCGACGGTGTTGAGGGTAAAATATAGAAGCCGTTCGACGAGGAAAAGAAATGGGTGATTCCATGGCGAAGCCAATGCTCGGCCTTGTCGTAGTTGTGGCTGCACTTGTTCTGCTCGGTATCTCTCTCTCATCTATTTATTGTCGTGTATCTACGTGACTACGTATCTAACTTTTGGCTTCTGTTTCTGCGTTCTAGCTGATCCGTTGAGGGTAATGCGATTCCTTATTCTTTAATCTCATTTTATCTCCAGTTTCCGCGAAGAAGTCGGCTGACGTGACCGAGCTGCAGATCGGTGTGAAGGTACGGAGTATAAAGGAAACGAATGGAACACCTGTGCTCTAGATTCATTCACTAGTAATGGATTTCTATTTAATCTAAAGCATTTTTTTTTACTGCTTTTTCTGTAGAGCCGTGTCGTTGATTATGTGTGACGTACATAGCGTTATAGTGAATAGGATTGTGGATGATTGAACTTGCTTTCTTAGAGAGCCATCCATTTCCTTTTTTCTTCTGAGGATGACGCGGGTTATTTAAATTGGCTAGTAATTCTTAAACAATGATCTACACATTTGTAATGCCTTTTTCAATTATGACGCAGGACTCTATTTGGATGACGCTGTGTTTTTTTTTTCCTTTAATACTTCCGCATGCTTCTCTGTTGTACTCAAGTCTTATCTCAGTAACGATAACATTTTCTTACGGTTTGCTTTCATAGATTCTGAAAAGGTATCCACCATTTTGTGCTTCACGCCTTGAAACCTTTGAATATCAAGTTCCAGTGTATATAGATACTTATTTTGTTAATTAATATGATACAAATTAAGGGAGTAAAAACTACTTTTGTGTTCACTTTATTGCCCATTTAGTCAAAGAAAGAATGTCAACTAATGCGTTTCAGTCTACTGAGCTCCATTGGCGAATGTTAATCATTAAATCAAAGAGCTAATGACAATATTAAATATATTGATCCCAATATTCTGTGAAAGCTGAAGAAAATTAATTCTGATTTCATGTCGTAAAGGCATTTCTGGTGATACAGCTTCACGATGGTTGCTTACATCTGTGTGTGTTTTTTATAGCGCTTCATGCTTCATCATTGTTAACAAATTTATAAATATTGAATTTTTGAAAATAATATCCTTGTCTTTCAAATTAAGATAGTGGATTTTGATTGAATTAGTAAATATCAACTCTTATGTATAGTCACCTTGCCTCAATATTCTCTTAACTTTGGTCATACGTCCACCATGGCTTGAAAATCTGGTGCACTAGACGGTATCCTGATGAAGCTGGATTGGGTATCGGTGGTAGTGCTGTCTAAAATGTTCATCCTACTTAGATTTATGATTCAGCCAGGATTTTCCTAGACTAGCATAGATCATTGCCTGGCTTTCAAGTCCCCTACTCCCTAGATAATATTTAATGTCAGTTTTTCTAAAAAATTTTCCTTTTAAGATTTCCCTGAATTCTTTAGTACTCTCTGGAAATCCACTTTTCTTGAAACTGTAGGACTCGACATCTTCTTGCTGTATGATTTAGGCCTGAAAATTTTAGATTTATGGGTGTAGAGTTGTCTTCTGCTGTTGCTTGCATATGTTTGTCGTGAACTCTGTTATGTTTTGTATGAGGATTCACTTTCCAATTTTAGAGTAAAGGTTCTCTAATTCCATTTTCAATGAATGAAATGAAACCTCAAGACTGGTTATCTGGTTGTTTTTATGATTATGACTGGATAGTGGCAGTATTCTGTTTTTTTGGGATGGAGCTATCTTTTAAGAGTGAGCTATACATATTTCATACCTAGATCCTCTTTTCCATTTTTGATCACTTTGTCACATCCATTTCACTGGTTTCTTCTTCATTTTTTCTACTCCAGGAATAATCATTGAAATACAAATCTAGATTCATGTCAAAGTTACCACATGCATCATGAAGAACCATTTATTGGTTTCTTCTTCATTCTTTCTATTTCGTTTTGTGGAAGGTCCGTTCTCAATTGAATTTAATTTCCTGTTTTACTTAAACTTATTTATTAGATGCTTGCTTATCTTCCTCATTCAACCGCATAATCCCTTAAGATAAAACCTGCCTTTTTATAGTTTAATACAACAATATTCCGATAGTGACCACATTTGCTTTCTATGAATCTATGACGCTTCCTATTGTTCTGAGCATAAACTTCCAATTGCCTTTGTTTTATAAAACGCAAATGCTCAGAAATCAAAATTAGAAATAGTTCAATTTTTTTCGTTGACGCATAATAGAAATATTATTCACTTTCGATAACCTAATTTTTTTTGAGATTTATCTTGCAGTACAAGCCAGCTTCCTGCAGCATCCAGGCACATAAAGGCGACAGAATCAAAGTACATTACCGTGTAAGTGGATAATCTATAACCATTCAGGGGTTCGACTTGTGAATTAAAGGATGTTGTTATTTTTATACATCTTCGGGTTCAAAATAAAACATCCCAGTTCTTATCCTCTTGCTTTAATATGGATAGGTGCTTGGTGACACAAATTTAATTTACCATTTTTTACTATTTGAGCGTGAGTTATCTCCTCTGTTTGCTTAGAACTGGGTTTCTTTCCTTAGATCTCCTGGCCTGTGATGTCTCTTGTACCAATAAAAAAAGAATTAGACAGCAGACTAATGATACAAAAGTAGTATTCGATGCCCCAAATGTCCCATGGTAGAAAAGGTGTTCTACATAAATAGCATGCCTGTCTTCCATCAACCACCTCAATAGAAGTTGAACCATGCCAAGAGCCACTATGTCAGGCATAAATAACACCACGAAAGGCTGGCATGTCTTCATGGGAGATAATAGCTGCAGAATCTGTCCGCTGAATCAAATTCTCAGCCACTTATCCTATTATTTACTGTATGGAAGCTGATATCAAGTTTAATGACCCCTTGCTAACATGAAACCATTGAAGACCTGATTTTTGGGCCACCCAATGATTGAATCTCCTTAGCAACTATATTCCTCAAAGTGCTGTTTTCGTATGTTCTGCTTTGTGCACTTCGGAGATGAATGGATAAGAATCCCACTTCTGCAAAGTTTTCTTTCCCGTTTTCTGCAATGTGTTGAATTTTATTCGTTTTCTATTTTTCATTTTTGTTTTATTTTGGACCTCAGTTTTAGAAAGAATGCGCTGAACATTTTACTTTCATGATTTCATCTTAATTATTTCTTTCATTCTTCAGTTCGAATTCCATGCTATCTTTGTCATTATAATGCTCATGGCATGATTACATGATCTTGGGTCGTATAGCATGATGTTATTTTCCTACATCTTAAAAAATGATTCTGCAAAGTACCAATGATCCAAAGTCCGTAAAAAATAAGTTTTTATTGTTCCTCATTCGTGTAATCACCATCTGTGGATTCTTTATCCATTTACCTTTTATATTTTTCATGTATCTAAGATGAACTTCTTGTTTTATCATGGACATTAAAAAATTTTATGCACATCTGATTGGAATTGTTTTCTACGAAGGTCCTCATCTGATTGGCAGTTCATAAAAGAATTATGAACTGCCAAATTGACTTATTTGAAGACTTACTTGACGTTTTCCCTTCCAGGATTTATCATAATTCTTTTAGCCTTGTTAACAGGGAGCACTCACAGATGGAAGTGTTTTTGACTCCAGCTTTGAGCGAGGCGATCCCATTGAATTTGAACTTGGTAGTGGTCAAGTAATCAAAGGTATAAACTTTGGACATCTTCAGGGCTCCTATTTTTGTTCAGTTTCATTTGCCACAAGCATAGATATAAATGCGCGGTCTATAAAGTGCATACAAACTCTTCTTGTATATTAATTTTCGGATAAACCCTTTGTCTGTGTGCAAGTTTCTTTGGCGATCTGTTTTTTATATTATTAAAATAGAAATTAAAATATTAGTGAGGCAGTTTGTATCCTTCTTTATCACTTTTTTTTCTTTACGGTGAGGAGAGTGGTCATTACATCATAACTCTTAATATGGATTGGCCTAATTGGCCCATATTCTAAATAGCTTGCTAACGCACTGTGAGAGTTGGCCTATCGGATCCATATTCTATCAAACTCTCTAACAGCTATAATCTTAAATTTCTGTGCACTTGCTCAGAGATTTCCAATGGAGTGAGTTTTGATATTTTTTTGGCCTGTTTTGAATCCTAATTGTTTGATTTGGTTAAGCCTATTTATATGCGATTTTTAATTTTCTATGTATTCTAAGCTGTCAGTGAAATATAAATCTGGATGGAAGGCAATGCCAGAAAATTTGATGTTATCAGCAAGGTGCTGTTGTATTCATCGTCATTATTATTATGAAACTTCACCCATCAATTTGGGATTCATCATTGCACCTTGAAGCATCACTATTGCCGTTTTCCACTTAGTTGTTTGCTTAGACCTTGTTGTAGGCTATAGAAGCTGGCCTTTGACAAGAGCATGAAAAAGCTTCCTATATTGTGCCATTTTGACTTTTTCCTAAAGTGGGTAGCAGGCCATGGAATCATTAAACAATAATAAGAGACCGTGTACACGTCCTGTAGGATTTCAAAACCTCTCCTATACATCAGATGGCGATTATCTCGGAAATAACAGATTCGTTCACTTCACTGAAAAAATGTTCTTTGTCTGCTCATTCACAGTTACTGAAAATTCCATTTGGAGAACTGGCGGGAGTTCAATTGCATGTTGTATGTTTGTGCGTTTTGCTACATTTATCTTTGTCTACGTTTTCTATTTTGTATGTTCTTGCGTGGAATAAACAAAAGCCACACGAACAGAATGACTCCCGTTTGAAGCCTGAATTCTATGGTTATTGTTCCTGTGAGTCAACAATTCCTCCAACCTTCAAACGGTGTTTACACTAGAACTGTTCCTCTTCCGTATGAATATCTACGTATTGTTAGGGTAGGTTGAAATGCGATTCCGGTGAAAGATGAAAAGAAGATGTTGCATGAATCGATTAAACTTAAAAAATCAATGTCTTTCAGCTCTGCAAATCTGATCACAGCTAACATCATGATTTCTACAGGATGGGACCAGGGGATTCTGGGAATGTGTCTGGGGGAGAAGAGAAAGCTTAAGATTCCTGCAAAACTCGGCTATGGGGCGCAGGGATCCCCACCAAAGATCCCAGGTGAGTCCATATTTATCAACCTTATTCGCGCTCTATCTCCTACTCTTCCGAGCATTGATTTCCGAGAAGAATCTTCCTTCCCTCTGCATTCTTTGAACACCTCGAATTCTTTCCCATACCAGACTGTATGTGGGGCGTTTCTATTTATGTACTTGTTCTTGCACTATCTCCCACTCGTTGGGAACTGATTTCGCCGGCATAAAATTAGAAAACAAGGCCAAATTAAGCAGACCCTTCCTTCTTCTGGTGGGCGTTTCTTTTCCATCATCTTCTTTTATTCGTTGACCATAAAATTAGCGAGCTAGACAAGAATTTGTAGATCCTTCTTCTGGTGAGTCATTGAATGCGTTGAATTCTTTCTCCATATGGCAGGTGGGGCGACTCTGGTTTTCGATACGGAGCTGGTCGGCGTGAATGGCAAGACTCTCGAGGGTGGGAAGACGGAGCACGACAGCGACTTATAACTCACCTCCCCCTGAAGTCTTTCTTGATCGGACCACCACTGTGACGAATCTCTAGAGATCCTTTCCTTGCCTGAATCATGCTTGCCCGACATTTCCTTGCCTTGCATGCGAGTTGTCGGGGGATGTTGAGAGAGAGACAGAGAGCGGAGGCATATGATCAAAAGAGCCTGTAGGGGTGACAGACCACACCGGGTAGCGGGAGTGAGCGAGCAAGATCCTTTCTTTACGTGCCCTCGTGCAAGACCTTGTGCCGCTTGTGGGGCTGCACCGGCGGGTCGGCGCAACGGCCTTCCCCATCCACGCTACCGCAGCCCACGCTGCCACCCATGCGGTGTCGCCATCGTCGTTGTTGGGGAGAAAAAAATAGACGGGAGGGAAGAACGCATCTTCGAAAGGAAAGTGAAAGCCGTCTCACCGCCCCGCCCCGTCGACGGGGAGAGACGACTGTGAATGTGCTCGTCTAGCGGGACCCCGGTGGCTGGCGTGTCCACTCCTTAGCATCTAAGCAATCTCCATTTGATCAAGGAGAAAAACATGTGAACCGGCGTTATCCACCGCCCCCGTCCTCTTTCGTGAGACCCTATAAACGCGGTGTCTCGAGGACGCTGGATCGGCAAGCAAACATGAGCTCTGATCGAGGGGACGGTGCGCCGGCCGGCTCTGGGTACCAGCGGGATGCTTCCGCGCCCGCTGCTGTGGCGGCGGCGGCGGCGACCGAGCTGACGGACGAGGAGGTGGCCGAGCGGCATCGGGCGTGGATGGCGGAGCACGGGCGGCAGTACAAGGACGAGGCGGAGAGGGATCGGCGGCTGGCGATCTTCAAGGATAACCTCCTGTACATCGAGGCCCATAACCGCGGCGGCCACTCCTACACCCTCGGCCTCAACCAGTTCGCAGATCTCACCAACGAGGAGTTCCGGTCCGGCTACTGCGGTGGAATCCTGATGCCTGAAGGAGAAGAAGAGCAAGAAGCACTAGGAGACGTCCCGCCGCCGCCGCCACCACCACTACCTCCTCAGGCGGTTGCGCGACCGGATGTGTGAGGCGCGAGTTGCTCGCTCGTTCCGCGGATTGTATTACGATTTGGACTTGCTCGTGTCACAGATTGTGTTCTGTTGTGAACTCTCTCTCTCTCTCTCTCGTGCGCGCGCTCAGATGATTCATGGGTTCGCGACTGTCGTGGGAAACCCGTAGTTCTCCTTCGGCGAAGGATCAGAGTTGCCTTGTTAGCCTCGTATATGACAAGACGGTCACTAATTCTTCAGACAACATCTGATCAAAGCCATCAACTCCACGGCCGGGAAGACGAACGTGATTCGGGAAGATAGGCGAGGGTAGCAATAGGTTGGGAGTATTAGGCAAAAGTGTTGGCGGTTACAGCCGTCACATCCGATATGTGTGGGCTCAATTGCACGTAGATTGAAATGCTTTTTTTTAAATACTGGTTATATTTTCTTATTTTTTATAAATAGGAAATATGTTTATCTTTTTTAACTATCAACGATGACTATCTATCTTTTGATTCTATTATCTCTTTTCATAAACTCTATTCCTCTTTTTGATATCTTCTCTCTCTAGTCATTTCGAGGATATTGAGATGTGAATTAGAGATATTTAATAAAAGCTTTATTCTCATCATAATTCTTGGTAGCTTAGTGATTTCTCTTTTATTTGTTCTCATTGGCATTTAGAAATTTAGTTTTCACTATTATTGTGATCTTGTGTTTACATATTTTTTCTAACAAGTGATATCAAAATATTAATTTAATTATTTCTAAATTTACTATGACTTCTAAAGTGGTTACTTACATCTAGAAGTTAGATAAGTCTTCTAACTTTAATATCTAAAAGCATCATGTGTATGATCTGTTGTCACAAACTGACTTGTATAAGACTTTGAATGGTCCAAAGTTAAATAAGATCAGTGTTGATGATTGAGAGATAATAAAGAAGAAGGCTAAAGGTTTTATTCATAAATATCTGTCTGATTAATTTCTTCAACAGGTCATGAATTAATGCAATCTAAAAGAATTCTAAAAGTAGTTGGAGAAATGATCTATACCGAACTTGATGATGAATAAATTGACAATAAGAAAAAATTATCTTCTTAATAAGAATAAAGTTATTATTTTCTTATTTCTTTCCTTGATTCATATGATCATCTTGTTACACTCTTGTTTCATGACAGTACAACACATGCTCTTGAAGATGTTATTGACTCATTTATAGAGTATTATTATTGGAAGAAAGATGTTGACGAAACTTGTGGTGAAGATTTATATGTGAAGGGTAAAAGAGAACATGGAAGGTAGAAGTTGAAAAGATCGTTAAGAGACAAGAAGAGTTGATCTAAGTCAAAGATAGATTAATTAAGAAACCAATTTTTTTATAAGTGTCATGAGAAGGGACACTTGTAAAAGGATTATTCAAAGAATTGAAGTGATAATACAACAAAAGGTGAATCTAATTCGGCTAATATTAGAAAGATTGAGGACAGAGAAGATGGTGAAGTCTATTTTGAATATGTTCCAGTTGAGAAATTGTCAAATATAGATTCTTAATACTAATTGTTCTTATTATATGTGTCATAATACTGATTGGTTTGACTCATACAAGAGTGCAACATGAGTTATTTCTATGAAAAATAATAGAACTTCTAAAATTGTTGGTATTGATTTTGTAAAAGTTTGGATATTTGACTGAGTGGTCCGAGACCTTAGAAATGTTTTTCATATTCTAACATTATATCAAAATTTGATTTTACTTAGAGTATTGGAAGCAAATGAATGTTATTTCAAAAGAGAAAATAAGATCCTCAAGATTATAAAAGGAACGCTTATTATGATGAAGTGAAGACGTCAATGATTGAGAGAAGTATTGTTATAAGTGGAGCTTGTGTTGCGACATCATATGATTCTATAATTAATGACACACTTTTATAACATTTTTGATTGAGCCATATGAGTGAGATATGTATGTAGAAAATATCTGTACGAAAACTACTACTTGATGTGAAAACTTGCAAATTGAATTTTTGTAAATACTGTATTATAGAAAAATAATATAGACTATCATTCAAGGCAACAAAATATCATATGGGCAGTGTGTTGGATTATGTTCACTCAAATGTGTGTGGTCCGATTAATGTGACGTCAATAGGTGGTGCTTGATATTTTCTATCATTTGTTGATGATTTTTTTAAGAAAGTCTCAATATTCTTCTTGAAGTACAAATTTAAAGTATTTACAAAGTTCAAGATGGTGTGTGAAGGTGGAGAATTAAATAGGTAAAAAGCTCAAAGTTTTACGAACTAAATTTAAGAATTTTAAATTTAATTAGTTCTGTGATGAGCATTGTCTTCAACGTCATTATATAGTGAAGAAGGCTCCATAGCAAAACAATGTTACTACATAGATGTACCACACGATTATTGAGGAACACAGTATTTATGATTGAATGCTAACTTGCCCAAAGAATTTTTGGCAGATGTTGTGAGTATGACATCTTATGTGATGAATAGATCACCAAATTCTACTCTTAATGAGAAGATTATTGAAGAGGTATGAATTATAAATCATATTGACTATTTGAATTTGCATATATTTAGATGTCCAAGATATGTTTTTACACCTGTGATGAGAGATTGAAATTAGATCCAAAGTCGAAGAAATATATCTTCTTCAATTGTAGTACTAGTGTGAAGGGATATCAATTTTAGAATTTAGAGACGAAGAAAGTTATTTTCAATGGAGATGTAATTTTTGATGAAGATCATATGTTGAAGTTTTTTTCTACAAAATAGAAGGTTCAAGAATCTAATGATACTTGAGTTATAGACAAAGTAAGGCTAGAGGTGGAGATTGTACATAGTCCTCTTAGTTCTATTGTGAGTGAAGATCGAGTTGTAGAATCATCATATATTCTTGATTATATTATTACTAGATGAAGTAGGCGTGAAGTAAGGCCTCTTACTCATCTTGATGATTATGTTACCTATACATCATTTACATGAGATGGCGAACTCACAACTTTTCAAGACGTAATTAGTTATCCTGAAAATGAGAAGTAGATGCAGACAATATCTAATGAATGAGCATCCTTAGACAAGAACTACACTTGAATTAGTAGATCTTCTTGTAAGAAAATGATCTATTATGTGCAAATAGGTATACAAAAAGAAGTCACTAATACTTGATGATGATCACCCTTAGTACAAGCAAGACTTATTGCAAAAGACTTTACATAGAAGTAATGAATTAATTATATAAAGATCTTTTCACCTATTGTGAAGCACATGTCTATTCACTTAATGTTAGCTATTGTCACACATGAAGATATGGAGCTTGAGCAACTAGATGTAAAGATGATATTCCTTCATGGAGATTCAGAGGAGATTATTTACATGTAGTAGTCGGAGGGTTTCATTATACAAGGGTCAAAACATCTTATTTGTCAACTACATAAATCTTTTTCTAGGTTGAAGTAAGCATCAAGGTAATGATATAAGAAGTTTGACTCTTATATGTTGAAGATTAATTATACAATGTGTGATTTTGACTATTATATTTATATGAAGACTTGTAATGATAGTTCTCTAATTATTTAAATATTCTATATTTATGATATGCTCATTACTTCAAAAAATTCATATGAGATTATTAGATTAAAGTCACTATCAAGAAATGAATTTGACATGATGAATCTTGGTGTGGTAAAGAAGATTTTTGATATGAAGATCTATAGAAACCAAGAGTTAGGTCACTTATGGTTGACTTAGAGGAGCTATCTTTTGAAGGTGGTGGATATATTTGATATGAGTAATATTTAAATAATGAGCATTCATCTAGTTACTCATTTTAGATTATCTACTACTCACCGTCTAACATCTAAAGAAGATATTAATGAGATGAAGTAAATTTTTTATGTTAGTATAGTTAGCTCTCTCATATACATGAGATGAAGATATTCATCTATACTAGATTAGATATTGCTCATATAGTTGGGCTTGTGAGTAGTTTATAAGCAATCTAGAAAATGAGCATTGGAGTGCAGTGAAATGAATTATCCGATATCTAAAAGGTTCTTTAGATTTCATAATCCATTTTGATCGACAAAGTTGTCTTTTTGTTGTTGATTTTTTTTATGCATATTTTGTCTGGGATATATATCATCGAAGATCTACGATAAGATATATTTTTATCGTGGCTGGTGGACCTATCAACTAGAAGTTTACACTTCATACTATTACTATATTATTTATAACTAAGACATAGTACATAGCAGCAACTGAAATAGCCAAAGAGGTCTTATAGTTGAAGAAATTATTAAGTGAACTTGAGATCCGACATAGTGTAGTTTATATATATTATGATAGTCAAAGTGCTATTTGCTTAGTAAAAAATCAATTCTGTCATGCACAATCAAAGCATATTGATATACAATATCACAAGATCTATGAGTTGGTGAATTCTAGATATATCTCTTTAGAAAAAGTTCACATGGAAGAAAATGTTATAGATATATTGACGAAAGTTGTCACATTAGAGAAGTTCAGATATTGTTTGAATCTAACTCATGTTGTAAGTACCTTACAAAAGGTGAAGAACTTGTAACATGGATAGATGTTGACTTCAAGTGCAACGATGATGGCTGTCAGGATAAAGTTTGTTGGTAGTGTCAATCCATCTCGGCTGACTTATTCGGGAGATGTGCAAAATAACCTCTCATGTCTCAACCATTTGACAGATGTGAGAGAGACCTCTCTTGTCTAACTTGCTCAAAAGGCATGCGAGGAATGAGGGGATGGTGACAGAGTGGTCATGCCAACCCTTATGACTTCTTCCGGGGGTCGTGTAAGGAGAGAAAGATGGTGGTTACAAGCATCACATTCAAGATGAGTGGACTTGGCTGCATGTAGATCGAGATATTTCTTTTTAGGAACTGATTATCTTTTTTTATTTTCTATAAATAATACATGTATTTCTCTTTTTTGAATATGATGGACAACTATCTCTCTTGATTCTATTCTTTTTTTCCATCAATTGTATTCCTCTTTTGGTATCTTCTCTCTTCTAGTGAAAGTAAAGTCTTTATAAAAGGAGATAAAAGTTCTTATTGACTCTCTAGTGTGTGAGTCATGTCGAGGGCATTGAGACGTAAATTAGAAGTGCTTGTTGAAAGCCTTGTTCTCATCAGAATTCTTGATATCTAGATGATTTCTCTTTTATTTGTTCTCATTGATATTTAGAAATTAGGTTTCCACTGTTATTATGATCTTGTGCTTACATATTTTCTCTTAAAAAAAAAAGATAAATACATAACTCATGCCGGTGGTATTACTAAAAAACCATCTTCTAATTATTCTTTTTCCCTTGTTCTCCTTAATTTGCTCATGTTTATTAATTTGCAGAATTTACATCTATTACAGTTGATTCTGTCTCTACATCTTTTCTTCCCCTCTCCCCCGTCAGCTCTGGGCACCCATCACCCTCACGTCGAATCCAACCTATATCGCCCTCAATGTGTTTGGGCTCACTTTGGTTGCCAAGCTCAAGGAAGAGAAATTCATCCAGAGATCTGGACTTAACTATACCATTGTAAGACCCGGCGGCCTGAGAGACGACTCTCCAAGCGGAAACCTGGTCATGGAGCCGGAGATAGCAACCCACCCACCCCCTCTCCACAATTCCACTACACTTTTCAGTTCTGGACTGTCTGGTCCTGTTCTTGCCGCCCACCTGTTCAGGATACTCTGTTCCAAGGCTCGATATTGAGAGACCAGGTGGCGGAATTTGCAGTGGGAGCTCTCCTCTGCTCCGAGTCCTCCTTCAAGGTTGTCGAGATCGTCGCTCGCAGATAAGCACCCGAGCGCCCTCTCGCGGAGCTCCTCCGATCCATCAGGCAACACTGAATCCGCAGGGGCCGGCCGTCGTCTTCCGATGATGAGCCTTCTCCGACTCCTTTCGCATGCTTCTCTCCCTCTAACACAAACAAGAACACCGATGTGATACAGTTGAATCTCTTCCAGCAATAAAGAGGTGGGTTTTATCATGCATCTGTGGTCGCGAGACATCGAGAGTGAGTGATCCGCCTTCTGTAATGTAATGCACGGAAGAAAGCAAGAGAAGACGGAGAGGATCCTGGTTTGAGCAGTAGAGAGAGAGGGCAGGGGATTCTGCGGGTGGGCGCGAAGAATAAGAGGCTTTCTTTTACCAACCCGACTGGATTCGGACTACCCGTTTGAATTCGCAGCCTAAGCGGGAGGGCAAGTGGCCCGCGCCAAAACTCCAACGGTCCGCAGGGGAAACTCCTAAGCGTGCAGTCCACGTACATCTCGGAGCAGCTCCACCAAGAAGAGAATAGGAAACCACTGCCCCTTCCCTCTGGGAGCAACGGCTTCTTTTCCCTCCATCTCGGAGCCGCCGGGCACCCGCTATAAGAGAGGGGGGCCTCCATCCCCGTCTGCTCCGAGAAAGAGCGGGAAGGATGCGGCAACTTGGCTGGCGGGAGCGGCAGGGCTGAGAGAGAGAGAGAGAGAGAGAGAGAGAGAGAGATGAGAGGAGGCGGAGGACACAGCGCGACGGTGGTGACGGCGCCGGAGGAGGTGAAGTAGGTGTGGGGGTGGAATATGGGGGTGGAGTTGCCCGGAATCCTGGAGGCGCTCGACTCGGCCACCTACGCGGCGATGGACACGGAGTTCCCCGGTTTCCTGCACCAGACCCCGCGGTTCGCGTTCCCCCGCGAACGTCAGGCGCAATGTGGACAGTATGAAGCTCATCCAGCTCGGGCTCTCCTTCTCCGGAGACGGTGGGCGGCGCCGGACCTGGCAGATAAGCTTCCGCGACTTCGACGTTGCCTCTCCGTCGGATGCGCGATCGGAGGCCTCGGTGGAGCTGTTGAAGAGGAGCGGCGTTGATCTGGCCAGGACCAGAAGAGAGGGGGTCGACTCGGAGGCCCTCTCCGAGTTACTGCGACGATGCGATTAGGTGGGACGGCGCAAACCACGGTGGGTGACGTTCCAGGGACTTTACGACGCGGCGTACCTGGTGAAGCTCCTCACTGGGGCGCCGTTGCTGCCGAAGCTCCCCGGGTTCGCCCGGCTGGTGGGGGCGACCCTCGGCAGGGTCATCGACGTCAAGTACCTCACCAGGTTCTGCGGAGGGTTCCACCTCGGCCTGGCCCGGCTCGCCGACACTGCCGGCGTGAAGCTGGAGGGCGGCGCGGCGCACCAAGCCGGCGTCGACGCCCTGCTCACGGCTCGGTCTTCAAGGTTCAAATGGAGCGACCATGCGGGCGTGAGGAAGAGCTGAAGGGCTTCCTCCACGGCATCGAGGAGGAGAGGATCCTACCCAAGTCCTCGGAGGAAACAGAGCAGGAGGAGGAGCTCCTCCTGATATGCCCTCTCTACCCCCCGTCTACCCTGTTCCTGACTCCTGCTATAGTGTTCCCACCGATGTTAATCGGGATGGCCGCATCTTTTATCGGAGGTTTTAAAACGTTTGCTTTCTATAAGGTTCCTGACTCCTGCTATTTTGTAATAAATTAAATTCTTTTCTTCTTTCTTAATTCAGTGTCAGTGGAGAAAGACTCTCAAGAGCAACCAATGTCATCCTATGTGAACCTTATAGAAAGCAAACGTTTCTTTTATACTTTCACCATTTTGCCCTTGTTAATATGCGTTTTGGAGCGTTAATATGCGTTTTATTTAAGGATGTTTCTTCTATTAACCATAAGGAAATTCCGTTCGACGATTTGATATATCGACCGATTTGACTTAATTCAAATATCTTACTATTTGGTCATTTTTTCTTCTACATTTGATTAACCTTTTTTAAAAAATGGTGTCTACCTTTCAATGAAACATTTTCACGTGTAGTTATAAACTGAATCTCCAATGCTAAATCTGACTATTTTTTCTCCAAATTGCTACCTTTCTTCTTCTTATCTCTGACTATTTTTTTCAACTCCTCACACCAGCAACAGGTCTGTTAATAAAGTTAAGGTGGATAAAGAGATATTTGATGTTGGTTTGTCATGTGCATAATAAAACTTCATACTGAATAAGCAAATTAATTTAGGATTACTGGCCGTGGGCGATATGATGCTGAATTAGAAAGGTTTAGTTTGTGCCCTAACTTTGGAGAACTTTATGCTTTGTTGAAGGTTGCTTTGTGTCTGAATTTAAGCTTTCCTTGTGAGTTCCTTGTCGCTCTTCCTAAACTTCTGTTCATGTTAAAGGCAGCCCGTGAATTTGCTTAAATCGTTTGAAGAGCTAGAGATAGTTGGAATTTAACTTTACTTTCTGTCTCCAATGCTAAATCTGGGTGTCTATTCTAGTTTTTAGGGATAGCAATTTTCTTCTTTTGTATCATTTTTGACTATATAGTCTTCTACAATATCAATATTTCCCAAAAGTTCATAATCAGGTTTAAAGATTTTCCACCATATGGAAAGTCAGTCAGTAATCTTACTAAGTTTGTCACACGAAATCATGCTAACCATTCTTGTTTAGTTATCCTTTGACAATGAATCATGCTCTTGATCGTTAGGTTTTCAAAGGATACTAACAGTTGGGGAAAGATTTGATGATCCGAGGTTTCAGACTTTCATTGCCTACAACGATGTAATCTTCTTTAAGAACTTTAAATGCCACTCAAGCTTCACCCCCGGAACAGCCACAATTTCAAAGTGTTTTGAAAACGTGTGAGTTCCTTATTTAATCATGCGTGCTGTGTTACGTATATATTATTTTAGTGTTCAGCAGGTGTCGTCATCTCACGACATTCGGCTGCAGGGGCCCAGCCATCTGCTTGCCCGACATGTCCTTGCCTTTGCATGGGAGTTGCCGGGGGATGTTGAGAGAGGGAGAGGGAGATGGATGGAGATCACTTCGAGAGAGAGAGAGAGAGAGAGAGAGAGCGGTAGCATGATGATCAAAAGAGGCTGTAGGAGGAAGGGTTAAACCGCAAGAGAACAGCAGACTTACAAGACCTAGTCACATTACCTGGTTGGTCAAAGCCCACAGACCACACCGGGTAGCACGAGCGAGCGACCGAGGGCCTTTCTTTACGTGCCCTCGTGCATGACCTTCTGCCGCTTGTGGGGCTGCACTGGCGGGTTGGCGCAACGGCCTTCCCCGTCCTCGCCCGCCATCCCCCCCTCCAACTCCTCCCCCTCCGCGCCAGCGCAGCCCATGCCACCCCCCGACGCGGTGCCGTCGTCGTCGTCGTCGTCGTCGTCGTCGCCCTCCTCTAAGGAGTCCTCCACCACACACGCCTCCAGGCTCTCCCCCGACCCCCCACAGGGTCCGGATTCCCAAGCCGCCGAGGCCCCCCGCGGCGAGCCGCTCGCGCCGCTGCCCTCCGACGTCGACTCCGCCGGCGCCCGCCCTCCGTCGCACAGCCACGCCTGCCCGCTCGGCTCCGCTTCCTCCTGCCCATTTCATTTTGAAGCCCGTTGAGCAATCGATCAGACGAAGAGGAGAAAGAAGAGGGCGAATTGGAGGGTTACCTACCTCAGTGGGGGACATGGAAGGCCGGATGGGGCTGGAGGAGCTTGGGAGGAGGATTTTGAGGGGTCTCCCGCGGTCGGGGGAGAGGTTTCCCGGGGACTCGGGGGAGAAGAAGTGGTGGAGAGGGGGCGGCTCATGGGTGTCGTCGTCCATGGCTGCCAGGAATTCGGGAGGTTCCTTGTCCGGAGGAGGGTCTTCTGGCCAGCCGCGGCTGCAAGAAGTCGGAGAGGACTCCTTTTCAAACTCGCTCAGGAGCTCGAAGATCAGATTACGGACCACGAAGCGCTTGTGGGAAGCTTCGTCGGGGACGAACCAGTCAGCGGTCAGCTGGAATCAGGAACACCAGAACTGTGAGTAGGAGGCTGATGATCATCGTTAGCATATCAAGAGAGCAAAAACTAGATTAAAAGTCAAACTGGAATAGGGTTCATGAAGGGCAGCGAGCAGGGCGAGCTGGCCCTGGTTGACTTTTGCGAGACCCAGACGCAGAAAAGCCTGGAAAGTTAAGTTCATGGTTGATAGTTTATTTCAGTAGTCTAGCCAGGACAAAGCAGGGTGGGTCAACGTGGATGAAATGTGGATGCACAGTAGATGAGTAGCAGGACTTCCGAGGACATGACTAGAAACGTTACTATCAAGGAAACTGAAAATGACAACACAAGAAAAGCCTGATTCTTTGAGAGTTTGGTCATAGACGAAGATATAAAATATTTTTTTTAGCCCATCTGACAATGAAATAGTCCCAGGCCATGATGATGATGCTAGATTTCAGGTCTCTTTTACTCTTGTGTGGCATAGTCAACAAAGGATCGGATGGCATGTTACAAAATAAATTTCAAACCGTACAATGCAAGTTTATTAATTATGATATGCTAACATTTAGTTATCTAGGTGATATTAGTACTCATCATTATTTTCCGCCAAGCTATCTCTCTCTCTCTCTCTCTCTCTCTCTCTCTCTCTCTCTCTCTGCCTGTCTGTGTTCAGAATGCTCCGCGTATTTTTGGAGTATCCTAAATGCTACTTCTTTTCTCCAACACACCCGTGTCAACCAGAAATGTGTCTCAAATCTACCCAAACAACAGAAATGGATACGAACCAGGTAAATGCTCAGAAGAATGGGTTCTGCGATGCCCTAATAACCCGCATGCATACGATTACAGTCGACCAAAAAATTTAGTTTCAATCTCAAATACTACGTCGGGTTGATAATGATGATGATGATGCAATGATAAGATTTTTTCTCAATATAGAGGATTATAAACCCATGCCTAAGAGGAAATGATACTTCAGCATTGGTCAGAACAAAAGGCTGGAAGATAGAAAAAAACGACCCCCTGATTAACAGATAAACAGATTGTAGATGATACTTTTCTGTTCATAGGCTGTTCTTTTTCTGGTTTGATTCTACTTCTCGCCCTTGTGAACATTATGGGAAAATGGAACAGAAGGTTTCTCGAGCTTAAGATTTTACAAGTCAAGTTCAGAATGCGGTTTCATGATATTCGAGGAAAAAAGAAAAAAAGCAATAAGCTCAGAAAAAGGGGCTACTCACGAAATTGGAGAATTTTGTTATGCTGAACGGATTGAAGTTAGCTGGTGCCTCTTTCAGGAAGAGCTCTACATAGTGGAGAAGAAAGAAGCCGCAGTCAAATGCATTCTGCTGCTGCGGTAACTGAAAATACAAGCAGAGAGGTTGATGAGGGGACTTGAAGCATCATCAATGCTGACATTGAAGTAAAACATATACTTCCAAAATAAGGTGGGACAAAAGAGATCTACGACTAAGCAAGCTCCATCTTATTTGAAGAAAACAAAGGGCTACTAATGAATGCTCGTTAATCACTCAAGCAAATCCAAAACTTAACAACAGAAAGAAAGCAGAGTTTCATTTTATTAGAAACATAATATCTTGGGGCTGAACCAGATTTAGGGTTGGAAATATCACCCTAAAGATGTCCTTTCATTTCAATTTTTTTTTTGAAGCCATTACATTCGTATCTTGCAATCAAGACACTTACATCCTTCCTAGGTAGGTGAACAACAAAGTAAAGCACCTCCGAACAAGGATCGAATCTAGAAAACCCATATCATAAATATTTTGTAACCCAAAGAGCTAGTAGAGACTATTTAAAAGAACTGTGTTACGATCAGGGCCTCGTCCAGTTTTATAGTTCCTTGCAGGCAATCGTGGCCCTTGAGCCAAAATAAATGATCGCTTTTTCTTCATTACAGTCAAAGATTAAAAGAAATATAGAATAACAGTACATGAGATCTGTAAAATCCGTCTGTACCAAAGAGGCATTGACAAGAAGACCAAGACCTGACTAAGGTTCAAGAAAACCCAATTCCTACATATAGCAGGCAATAGATGAATAAGGGTCCTTATGATGACCTAGAGGATAGAGACATGTTTTAGGAAAGGGGAGGATGGGGATCAACATATGATCTTTAAGAGTCAATAATGCCGCACACACAGATGTGCATGTCGATTCTCTTCGGAAAAAGGCAGCTTCACCAAGTTGAGTTATGCACCCACGCCTCGTAAGCCTGCCTACTGTAAGTTTATGTATAGCCATAGATTCAGAAAAAAAAAAGAGCTTTCCCTGATCAAAAGAAAAGCAGGACAACACGAACAAAATAGACATAAGAGTGCATATGCAAATCTACGAATTTTCAAACAGATCATCAGAATACTCCCCGGTGGGAAAGTCATGGTAACTTTTAGACCACAAAGATTCAAGCTAACCCAGATCTCAACGAAATGAATAAGAAGACTGTATGGATATACATCTGACAGAAAATAATAGGATCCAAAAAGAAGAAAATCATCTGCAATGTGATTTGGATGGTGGACAAACCTCTAGAGGGATGAATCGTAAATTTGAGAAATTTGGCAACAGAAACGTATCTTCAAGTGATCCTGAGTATCTCTCTTTCCACTCCTCACACAAATAGCTGCTCCCATGGCAATTAAAGAAAATTAATCAACATTTTTCCAAAACAATCAAGAATACGAAATGCACGGAAAGAAGATGAGAAATGATTCATTTGTATGGTTCGAATCTCTCAGATAACGTGTGCATGCATATCCAAGTGCATAGTCCTGCCTCTGAATTTTACATCAATAAATTTTATATTTTTCTGGTCAAACACGAGTGACGCAATAAAAGATATATATCCAATCCTATTCTAGCAGACAAAACAATTTAGTTTGCAGTAGTTTTCGGCATGCCAATGTACTGAGCAATCTACTTTTGTTTCTCATTGCCTTGTGGATAGTCACATCACCTGAAAATTCAGTGCATTCATTTATAGTCATTCACTAACAGTTATATTTTTTAAATATCAATAATATCCACTTCAATATAGTCATTATAATTTCTTATCCAAGAAAGTTGTTTCATGTGGGCAGTGTCACGCCCTGTTAATCATCATTATCATTGTGAACCGCAGGACAGATTTTCAAACGCTATCCATTGAGAAAGTCATTATTCAGGAAACAGAATCATTTAGCAGAACATGAAAACATGGTCCACTGAGAAACTTGAAGGGTTTCCAGAGGAAAAACTCATCATGATTAGGAGTAAATTTATACCTACACAAGGCAATGCATAATCCACGACGCATATAGGTGGTTTCAGAACCCAAAAAAGAAATATATTGCGCATTAATACTCGTGGCAAGGTTCAGCCTGCACACTAGTTAGCATCTGCATAAAAGGTCACTGGCTAACATCCAGTTTACTGACCCAAATAAAGTTTGTAGCAAGACGAAATTATCCATCGACAAGTCAAAACATTATAATTCAAACTCAAAAGATTTGAATAGTTCACAACATCATCAAAAAACAGTAGGAAGAAAGAACCATAGCAAATTTGGATACCTTCCAAAAAACAACCAATCAACAGAGCAGTTACTTATAGATGATCCAAAAAAATGTCCTCACAAGGAATGAAATAATGATTAACTCAATATTTTAATATAGAGAGGGGAATAGCTAGATTAAATTTCTCATAACTCATACAGTATTCTCCACAAACAGCTGCTTAGTATATTTTCCAGAATTTCACATAGTAGAATAAAAAGAGAAAAACTATCTTTGTGAAATAAAAAATTTACCTTTGAATTAGTTTTTTAAGGCCATCATGATTGCCTTTCATTGAATCCATGTGCAGTATACAAGGAATCCTGCATGCTTCGTGAATTGAATCTTCTGAAAACAAAACGTTTATACATGTCAGAAAAATCCCGATATGTCATAATCGTTAAAAAATTTTGAAGCACCTGGACTTGCCTTTCAAATGAGCCACCTCTCCAGGATGACAGATAACAAGCAGGCTCCAGTGAAGGCTGCGACTCAAGAAATGGATATTAAATATTTAAGAAACTAATGTATTGCTCAATAAATAAATATGCATAATTATACATTCTTACTTGTAGTTGACAGGTATGAAAAGGTAGTCTTTCTCGAAAATATTCACTTTTCTGGTCCATTTACGTACACGAAGGAAAGCGGCCCTGCCTTCTGCAGTACTTAATGGGTCTTTGTCTAGATCCACTAACTTACGGAAGAAAAAACTATTAAAGAAATGAAATCTATGCTTCTCCTTTGGTTGAATCTTATTTATCAAATATCTGCAATCAAGCAAATCATCGTGAAGACACCACAGAAAGTCAGTACTCGGATGTTCTATTCAAATATGAGAAGAAACATTACAAATGAAAATGAAAGCGATCCCGACAAAGTACAAACTTCAGTAATCTAACATATATTTAAATAGTACAAGTAGAGAACATGATTTGAACTGGTAACATTACATGCAAGTAAAGAGACAAGATATAAAACATCACCACATCCTGGCCTATATTTTTCTTGGTAGGTCAGAATCACTCACTTACTGGGGATGGACAGATGCGCGCTCATGCCTTTCCGCAAAGTAGTCTCCTTCTGTGTTTACCTCTTCTCTACTTTTAATTAAGTAGGGACCTGGGTTTGGCAAGGTTACTCTCTCCAAAAGTTTTGACAGGTATACACTTCCATGAGGGAATTTAAAGCTAGTACCATGTTTTTCTGTTCATGAAAAACATCATGCACTCGAAAGACATCTCAAAGTAACGCCCAGAGTCTCAATTGAGGAAAAAATGTTTGGATTTACATTAAATGCTACGATTGAATTCCAAATGAGTCAGCTGGCAATAGTACCATAAAAGATCACTCAACCCTAATCAAGCACAACTTTTTCGTCCTCAGTATAGATTTCCTCTATATAGAAAAACCTTTTGACATGCGCTTTGGTCGCACAAGCTTGTATATTACGCAACTGAGAATCTAAACTTTTTCCCACCAACTTGTCTCATGCCACTTTAAACGGAACCAGTAATACCGAAATTTTAACGCAAACAAGGCCACGAAGATAATTGTTTACTGCCTTCTGTATAAACAACATGTGACGCACTTAGACGACAACTCGTTTGAATATATTTGAAAATAATTTAAATTAATAAAAAATGGTCCAATGAGATAATATGTTCAAATGACAAAAAATATTTCCATATTTTTTACGAAAAACCTATAAATATTTCTAATTAATTAAATAATATACTTAAATGAGAGCAGATTATTCCACAAAGCCTCATTCGCATGCAAGCTTATCAAAAGGAACGCCTTTCAAACAAGTAGTTATTCAGATTATTAGGTATATCTAATATTAACTCCTCATAAATCGAAAACCATTAATTATAATAAAAATTGAACCAAGAATTCTTCTAACAAATTATTTTCCAGGGACATGCTCTCCAGTAATTCAACCCTGCCCTAAAAGAAATTCATGCCAATGTTCTATGGTATGTCTCCATTTCAAAAATGGTAGAAAGCTGAAGGCAACAAATGTTGATGAGAAAAGATGAAGATTCGAAACTCCGATTGAGAAGCAGCCATACAGAAGGTAAGATTGAAGATGCTCTCTACCTTCACAACTTTGACAAGGATTAAGAATAGAATCAATATTTTACTTTCTCTCTCTTCTGACAGTTCTTAAGCGCCATGTTAGGAAAAAGGAAAAGAGTCATAAGCACTGAGCTTTCGGTTTCATTACTATTAACCGTTTTAGCTGCATATTGCGCCATTCTGTTTATGTTTCATAGTAGATTGAAAACCCCACCCAAGAAAAAGCTGAAGCCAATTCCCAACTCAAAGCTGATCATTGATGCAACTCAACCCGGACAAACGAAATCAATTAGTTTTCTAGCGGTCACTCTCACATCATCATTTGCTCATTCCCACATCCCCAGTGTGACAATCAATAACCGTTTTAACCACTTTCTTTCCTAGTACGAATCAAGTGATAAAGCTAGAAACTCCGTCAACTGTCTTCAAAAAAATCAAAATGTGTTCTCTTCAAGAGTCCAATACACAAAATATTAGATTGGAAAATCGAAACCTTAAATGGGCCCAAAAAAATGCATAAGAAAACTCTGGCCTGGGTGGCCCCAAAAATGGCCCCAAAGTCAATCAAGGCCTTAAATGGTTCAATGCACATTTCACCACACGTGATTATTTTGACTTCTTTCTCTCAAGTACTGTAGTAATATCAAATCCACCCATCCGAGATATGGTCAATGTCAAAGCATTTTATCTTGCAATCATTGTCTGATAGGTTCTGGAAATACTCCCATTTCCCTCTAACACTGCATCCTTTAAATCTATTGTGAAAAATAGCTTCTTCTTTCTTCCCAATGAAGATCAGAGATCTTCCAATATTCATGTTATCTCGTTCTGTAAGGCGAAACAAACAGCATATCCCTAGGTTGTGAGGTTTGCTAACTGTGAACAAAACCAGTGCTAAATTGACACTAGCACAGTTCACGGTAGAAAAAACATGACTCTTCAATGATTTCCTACTCTTTCTTCCAAAATACCTTTCCCAATCCTTTCAACTTCCATTACTGAAAGCCTCATTGATTAAATTTACGTCTAATAAATGATATTAGATATCAAAAGTTGTTACATCCACGATAAGTTGAAACAGAGAATATTGGAATAAAACTATTGTTTCTCCAACTAAATTCGTCTGCAAAGGAAGATGCCAATTCATATCTTGCCCAGCCAACCCTTAAAAGTTGTCAAATATCCTCATCTTAAACACGTATTTATAATGCTAAAACTAAACCTCTCCATCTTAAACAATTATTTCTCCTAACTTATCACTACAAAGTTCAAACCAAAGTAATCTCTTCTACAAATTCTCTCCCCAGAATTTCAGACTCCGAAAATTGTTCTCCCTGATATATCTCCCCAATGTTACGAACACTAACTTATGAGGTCTGGTCAGTGCTTGCTTTCACCAAAATGAAGCTCCGATGTAGAGTATTGCATATCACAATTAAAAGCTAAGATAATAATGAAAATATTTGCAGAACCTAATATAAAATATGGAAAAGGTTTCCACAGCTGGATGGCATCTTTTACAGTTCAACCATAGAGCAAAACAGCTAAATGTCGACAAACTACTGAGGCAACAGAGGCTTGACAGTCTAGTCTTACAGAATAAGCTACGACATCATTCAACCAAATGAGAGAAAGGATATCTCGTTCGCTTTTAACTTACTTGATGTAGAAGTCAATGATAGTATCATTGATGAAGGTTTCAGGTTGTAGTAAATCAACGTCTCTTTTACTAATAGAGACAGCATCAGGATCACCTTTTGGATAGATGACTCCATCACAAGATTCCTTGAAGCTGTTAATTCAGGATTTGATTAGAAAGATGGCATATTTTAGTAAATGAAAACGCAAAAAGTGGAATAACTCAATAGGCAATAATCATCTATAAAACTATAGGATGTTTGGACTCTAACTAATCGAAAAAAAGAAAAAAGCAGTCACCATTCTTTAAGTTGAACCCTCCAGAACAGCAAAATATGACGCACAAACAATAAAAGAACTTCGGAAGCCAAACATCTGGGCACTACTCCCCCTCTCGAGTAAAACAATGTCTCGCATATCATCGGAGATATCACAGTGATACAGATGCCCAAGGAATTTCTAGTGCTGGCTAGCACTGAGTATGACCGGCAACATCAGAAATAGACGGTGGAACTGAAAAGATGGTCAGAACCCGAAAATAACTGTTGTTAACCATTCTGCATGAAATCATATGTAAAATCATTTTCTATACAACTCAGAATAATGCAAACAAAATGAGGTACCCAATGCTACAGTCTGCCTCTCTTTTAGCATCAGCCGCACAAAGCTCATCAGCCTGACTGGAGTACTATTGTTGTCAATCTAGTTTAACGAGGTCCTGATCTTACAGTTTCAGTTATTGGGACCCCCGTGCAGGAAGGATGGAATCATCAATATTAGGGATCCCTCAAAGTAGAGAAGGGTGAGCACGGCTTCCACGTCCCTCCTTGACGGTGGGTCTTGCAGTCAAGCTCCCTTCTCCCACCACCCTGCCATAATCGCGAGGCTCTTTATCATTGTGGCTGATGTCATAGTCAACGACAGTTGAAGCTTCCAGGCGATCAGATGGTTATGGTTCAAGCTCCGCAGTGGCTAGTCCCCACTCTTTTTCTGAGTTATTCCAGCTTCCTCATTCTTTTGTGCTGCGGTGACGAACAAAACAGAAAATGGCACTTGCGAGGAACAGAATCCGCATTGTCTGAGCTCAACATGTTATCCTAACCTCAGGTCGCATCACATTACTCCTAGCACAGGCTTTCATAACCTTGGCTTCGACAGCTCCGCTCAGTACCTCATCCATCAGTATCCATCGTTTAAGGCATGGACTACCAGGGTATCTAATCCCATTCACTCCCCTAGCATGTCTCTCAGTGTCGGCCAGGAGAACAACCTGACACGGTGTTGTTAAAAAAAAAGAGAGAAAGGAAGCAGAACCAAGTCAAGATGATATGGATCAAAGATACAGATTCCCTGAAAGCAAAAACGTCCAACCAAATATTTCAAAAATTCTTTCCTCACAAGGAATCCTAAAAATAGTCAAAAACTCCTTTGTAAACAGTTGCGTGAGCAAAATCCTCCACACCAGGGGGGCATCCAGACTGGAGATGCAGCCTGATATCTGACAGCTACTTCCATGATGATGCAAGAAGCACACATGACTAAGAAGCTACCTCCCACTTCCTACATCTGGCACCACCTGATCTGCTTCAAGCATGGCGCTAAGAAAAAAATTAGGTCATGACAGGAAAGTCAGCCACTTGTAACTTACCGAAACCTATATATATTGCGTCAGACCACTCAGATTGCATTCAAACAATAATAATTTATTCTATATCCGTTGTTCTGGGCATGATAACAAACCTACTGATCATATGATTTCTGCGGCAATTGTTTTCAATCTTAATAGGATTACCTGGGAGTATCTTTGTTTGCCATTCATTTTACAATAGAAATGTACTATATGTTTCAAAGAAGATATTATCTGTTGCGTTCAAGCACCAAAAAGAACATTTTCAGAGGATGCTATAGAAGCATGGATCTTTGAAATGAGTGTCAGACAAGCTAGGATCTCGTTATTGTAGTGTCTCTCTTCTATTTGGGCTCTTAAGTAAGTTAGTTATGGACTACTTAATGGGCTCTCCTTTTCTTTCTTCAAAATAAGAGGGCTTGGCCCACAATAGATGTAACCGGTATCTAAATCGGCGTATAGGTGAATTGAAATAAGACTTTTCGTGAATCTACTCTAATGGGATTTTTTAGATGGCTCCAATGAGAAGGGAGGGCGAAGACCTGATCAAGAAGATCAAGATCCTGGTTTGGCATGGTATTAGAGCTGGTTGAGGCGTGAAGCATCGCAAGGACAAGGACACGCTTTCCATCAACTGGAATCAAGCATTCGGGACGTCAGTTGAGAGCAATTCTTGATTCAAGAATCAAGAAACAGGAGATGTCAATGGGGCAAGAAGCTTCTGCATCCAACTCAGTCATGACAGCAATTGTTGGTGGCCAAGACAAGATAATGTATGCGTTGCCAGGTATGCCTGAGCGCTTAAAATTTAATGTTACCAATCTGTACCAATGGGAGAAATTTGTGGAGTTAACCCTCTTTGGGAGAGGTTTGTCAGAGCATCTAATTGATGATCCTGTTGGTATGAATGATCCGAATTACAAAATTTGGAAATCCGAGGAAGCCTTTATTCATTCATGAATCCTTGGAACCATGACAGCAAAAATGTGCGATAACTTTCTTTATACGACTACTGTGAAAGAATTGTGGAGTGAAGTCCACAAGAATTGCTCTAAGCAGCAGAATGATTGGAAGATATATGGGTTGAATGCCAAAATAGTGAGGGCAATACAAGGGGAGAAGACAATCATGGAGTTAGCATGTGAACTGAAGGCTATGACACGATAGTGATCATTATTGGTATGTGAAGAATCCTCACTCCAAAGAAAGAAATTACATATTGAAGCAGAGAATGTTTACATTCTTAATGGCTTTAAATCCAGAATATGAGAGTCTTCGGAGTCAAATCCTACGTAGAGAGAGGGCACCAGATTTGGATGAAGCCATCGGTATTGTTAGGGAGGAAGAGAGTCAACTGCATCTATTCTCAGATCCATCAAGGCCCAACCCAATTGCGTTTTTCACCAAGAAAATTGAAAAAAAATCAAGCCAAGAAGTTTAGCAAGATTAGAAGAATTCAACTGATCAAGGACAGAGAACCTCAAATGACTATAAGGATATAAGGATAGTCCTTGGTGTTCTTTTTGCAAACGCAAAAGACATACCAGAGAGACCTACTGGAAGTTACATGGTAAGCTCCAACAAAATCGAATGGTATATGTTGCTACTTCTCAGAGTCATGAAGGTGGAGAACAAGGGCAGTCGAAGGAGCAAACAAGAGAGACTACTCATGAACGTGGGGAGGACCTTATGAAAATAAAGGAAGAACTAAAGCGACTCAAAAGCATGATGAGTTCTACCTCATTGGCATGCTAAGGTGAAAACAAAAATATTTTTCAGTAATGCTATTATCCCAAAACCTAGTAGAATAAATTGGATTATTGATACTAGTGCCACATATCACATGACACCAAATATCTCTAGATTCGTTAATTATGTAAAGATAAATAGGCCACAAAAGATCCTTACAGCTGGAGGAGGAATCTTATCAATGGTGGGTATTGGGAGCATCAAAATTAATGGGCTGGGTACACTTAAAGATGTCCTTCATGTGCCTAGACTTAAGGCACATCTTATGTCCTTACAAAAACTTGTGCAAGATTGTAAATGCAAATTTATTATTGAAGATGATGCATGTTTTCTAATTGATAAGGTGTCAGGGCAGAGGACTAGACATGTTAATCATCAAGATGGCCTTCTCTATCTGGAAGATCAAGATGCAGTATGTCTCTCCTCTCTTAGTCTTTCTAGAGATGCTAGGAACCAAATCATGCTTCAGCATAGTCGTGTTGGACATCTTACTTTTAAATTGATGAAACATTGGTTTCCTACCATTTGTAATAAGGTTGATGTCAAAACTTTGATGTGTGAGGCCTATCAATTAGTCAAAAGCAAACGATCTACATTTCATTTTAAGAATGAAAGGAGTTTAGTACCACTATATCGGATTTACAGTGATATATGGGGTCGTGTCAAATATCTAGTGGCAGATGGTTTATGCTATTTGTTGATAATTGTACCCGATTTATATGACTTTATCTTCTTAAGTCCAAAGTTGAAGCTGCTCAAATTATCCCACAGTTCTTTAACATGATAGACAATCAATTTGGAACAATGATAAAGCAGTTTAAAACAGATAATACCAAAGAGTATTTCAATACTATCATCTCCCTTATTTTGCTCAAAGAGGTCTAATCCATGAATCATCATGTATTGATACTCCACAACAAGATGGGTTAGCTGAAAGAAAGATTGACCAAATTGTGGAGACAGCTAGAGCACTATTATTCCAGGGAAATGTACCCAAACAATATTGGGGAGAGGCTATATTGACAGCTACACATCTTATAAATCACATACTAGTAAGATCAACTGGACATCAGAGTCCAATTGAGTTACTACCTAAAACTTATCAAAATGTAAAGTTGCAAACGAACTTAGCTCCCAAGGTGTTTGGTTGTATGACATATGTTCACATTGCTAATACTCAATTGGGTAAGTTGGATCCTAGAGCACGTAAGTGAATATTTATGAGATACTCACCCACTCAAAAGGGCTATAAATGTTATTGCCCATCATCCAGAAGATATTATATATCTACAGATGTTACATTTAATGAATACAAGATGTATTATAAAAGGATCGAAGAGTCTGATATTCAAAGATCAGAAAATCCTTTAGTTGCTAGCTCTGAAGACCCTTGCCCTCAAGTGACACAAATATTTAGGAGACAAGTTCAGACAGAGTCACCTAATACAACAGTCACAGTTGAGGAAGAAAGGGTGGAGAATGTAACTGAACCAATGCAGCTGGAAGAAGATGATCCAAGGCAAAATGAGGTCGAATAGCTTGATGTAGGCCTAGCTGAAGATGATCAGCTCAGATGGCCTATTGCCCTGCGTAAAGGGGTAACGAATTGCAGAAACAAACCAAGTTATCTATCATATGATAGATTGAGTCAAGAGTATAACGTATTCTTGAGCTCACTTTATATGACAAGTTTACCAAAAACAATTGATGAAGCATTAGCCAGAAGTGGAGCCAAACAATGGATGTAGAGATGGAAGCCCTGCAAAAGAACCATACATGGGATCTGGTTCCTCTCCCAGCTGGTAAGAAGGCTGTGGGTTGTAAATGGGTATATACCCCAAAATTCGATGCAGATGGGTCACTTGAACGATATAAGGCACGATTGGTAGCAAAAGGCTATACTCAATCATATGGGATTGACTATCTTGAGACCTTTGCTCCAGTTGCTAAGCTTAACACTGTGAGGATATTGATTGCTCTAGCAGCTAAGTTGATCTGGGAAATACATCAATTTGATGTCAAAAATGCATTTTTATATGGAGAACTAGAAGAGGAAGTCTACATGACTATACCTCTAGGATATCCACTATCCAATCAATCAGGAGTGGTTTGTAGACTAAAGCAAGCCTTCTATGGTCTCAAACAATCTCCTCAAGCTTGGTTTGGAAGGTTCACCAAGACAATGAAAAGTTAAGGATATAAACAAAGTAATGTAGATCATACTTTGTTCATCAAACATAATTCGTGTGGAGGTATGACTGTATTAATTGTATATGTTGATGATATATTGATCACAGGTGATGACACAAATGAAATCCAAAATTTGAGTAAAAACCTCTCACAAGAGTTTGATATTAAGTCTCTTGGGAGACTAAGGTATTTTCTTGATACTGAGTTGGCACACTCGAAACAAGGTATCTTTATTTTTCAACATAAATATATTGTTGATCTGCTCTAGGAAATTGGACGACTTGCTTGTAAACCAACAGCCACACCAGTGGATATAAATGTGAAACTTGGAGCAAGACGTGACAGTCCTCCAATTAATAAGGAATCCTTCCAAAGGTTGATTGGAAAATTGATTTATCTAAATCATACTAGACCAGATGTGGCATATGATGTGAGTTCCTTGAGTCAATTCATGAATGACCCAAGAGAAATTCACTTACAAGCAACATATCGTATTCTAGTATATTTGAAGAATACTATAGGACAAGGCCTATTATTTTCACAAAGTGATGATAGTATTGTGGAAATATATACAGAAGTAGATTATGCAAGATCAGTAAGTGACAAGAGGTCAACATCTGGATATTGTTCTTTCGTCGGTGGAAATCTGGTCTCATGGAGAAGAAGCAAAAGGTGATGTCCAGATCTAGTACAGAAGCTGAATTTAGAGCTATGGCTCAAGGTATATGTGAAGCAATATGGCTAAATACTACTTGAAGATCTACATCTGTACTCTCAAGGTTGCATCAAATTGTACTGTGACAATCAATCACCTATAGCTATTGCCCCTAATCTAGTTCAACATGATAGGACAAAGCACATTGAAATAGATTGCCATTTTATCAAGGAAAATATTGAAGAAGGGATGATAAACTTGATGTTTATCAATTTTACTGATCAAGTGGTAGATATATTCACCAAAGGGCTGCCGGGACCAACTCTACAGAAGCTTGTATTCAAGTTGGGCATGTTTAACATCCACACCCAACTTGCAAGGGGGTGTCAGACAAGCTAGGATCTCGTTATTGTAGTGTCTCTCTTCTATTTGGGCTCTTAAGTAAGTTAGTTATGGACTACTTAATGGGCTCTCCTTTTCTTTCTTCAAAATAAGAGGGCTTGGCCCACGATAGATGTATCTAAATCGGTGTATAGGTGAATTGAAATAAGACTTTTCGTGAATCTACTCTAATGGGATTTTTTAGATGGCTCCAATGAGAAGGGAGGGCGAAGACCTGATCAAGAAGATCAAGATCAAGATCCTAGTTTGACAATGAGATATATCATAGATTACATCTTTCGCATGATTTTATAGTGGAGAAATCATAAAAGGTGTATGAAGGATGGTTCTAAGAAAATTCAAAACGACCGACTTCAAAAATCATCAATCAGTATTGAAGATCTCACATCCTATACAAGGGGAGAGTGAAAAGACAGAAGATCGACACACAAGGAGAAAAGGACTAAATGAGATAAACAGATTTTTTAGATGGTTCAAATATTTCTTTATCTTTAACTACACATCAAATCTCACTATGGTGAAGTTAAGACAAGAGATAATTCATCCTCCTAGAAAAACAAGGAGATTTGGGTACCATGTTTGGACTAAAAAACACATTAGCGAACATGATTTCTCACGCAACAGAGAGGGAGTACCCCAGATGATAATCAGGCTCCACTGACCACCAACTTCAACCCCAACCAATGTAGCACCTCAAATACTTGCTCCATGGCAGTGAAGAAAGACAGATATCATGCCACTCAATTGAGTCTATCCTCACTTTTCTTTTGTTTGCAGTTAGCTTTTTTAACCTGGGGTTGGATCACCATTTAACCCACAGTTAGTCATTTCTCTTTCATCTTCTTCAACTGTGGAAGTTTTCTTCCACAAAAAGAAACAATCTTTACCTTTAAAAATCAATGGTTGTCCTCCAAATTTTGTAATTCTCGCATTAAGTAGCGCAATAGTTTACAAAAATAAACCGAAACTTTACAATCATTTCGCAACCCCGATATATGGGATTTATTTCTCCAAGTATGATTAACATAATTCAAATAAGTAGAAACCAAAACACTGGCTATACAAGAAAGATGCAGTGAATTATCATTTGAAAGATGTATTTGAATACCAAATATTTGAAAAAAGCAACTCACTCATCAAGGTAATGTCTAGAAATATTTGACTGAAGCCCTTCCTCCTCTTCCTCAGAAAACTTCACACTGTGACAAATAATCGCGCAAACAAAGGGTGTGATTAAACTGGTCGTAAAGAAGAAGGCAATAACATAGCACTTTTGCACCTGAGAATAGCATCTGTTGGCATATCTATGAAACCATTCATAGCGAATCGGAGAACAAAATCTCGATCCAAATTAATATCTAAAAAACTTCTGAACGGGCTTTTAATTGTAGATGTGTACCTGAGATGTATTCTAAATATGTAAATGTAGCCGACTATGTAAGGCTTTGTCAGAAATAATAACTTAGCCGCAAGTGCAATTCTTATCTGACCATTCCGGAGTCAGTAACCAGTGATTGAAACCATTCCACAGATCATGGCAAACTTGCCCACTATTTGTATATTCCAGCTCAAAATTCATAAATGTATGACTTTTGATCTTCAAACACCAGCCAAAGAAGCGCTGCCCAACACTTCAAGAATATGCCTAAGGATTGTCCCAGGGCCATTCCTTCAGGTTTTTGACGGGGGCAGAAAAGTCTCATTCATTAAGAAGGATATACTTATTATATTAAAAAATCATATAGCAGATTGCAAAACGCCGTTTCTGTTTTTTGTTACCATTTTGGGATCCAAACTTTCAACGAACCTGCACAGAAAGATCAACCACCAGGTTCCACAGGTGAAGAGAAATCCTGGGAAATACTCGTGTCCAAACTATTTCTCAATAGCTCGTTGATCCAAGGTCAGATGTGTCATTCCTATGGCTTGCAAATAACATTCAGCCCCTCCAGTTTGTTCAGTTCACTTTTCTGTCTTAAAGAATCCCTTTGGAAAACCCCATATGCATCTGAATCTACTAGGATTTATCCTACAAGAACTAGCCCTCCCAAACCAACCAAAATCACCACAACGAATGATCAAGCATATAGAGAATCAAAATGCAGTATAGGATCCACTTCAGAATAATAGACGAGGATATGATCTAGGATAATGAAAATGAACACCAAGAAGTCTCTTAGATGGATCGTCTTTCTGTGGCAATAGAAAATTTCTGGAACCAGAGCCCTATTTTGTTTCAGTTTATAACGTTACAGTTCAAATGAAGCTGTCCATGTTCATCATTTTTATTTAATCATAAAACACAAGTTACATGGATTAGTACACAGTGAAAAGTGGATAAACCTGAAGCATGCAGTTCTTTAGTATCAACTCAATATCTTGTCCACCCAAAACATTTACCAAATGGGTGAACAAGACATGCCAAAAGATCTTTGACTCATAACGTCTTGAATACACAGGATGTGCCTGGTTCGAAAGCGGTAGACAGATTCACATTTAAAAAACACTCGGCGGCATCCATTCAGTGCAAAGTTTGCCATAAAAATTATCTCGTACATCCTCTTTCTCAACATTATAAAAGGTTTCCTATCTAAAAACTTACTCAGAAGCAGTGCTCCAAATATTCTTGTATCCTGGAGCCAACAACATTATCTTTTGCTCCTTCTCCAACCAATGAAAATCCGGTACACAACACTTCAACACTGCAAACAGTTTACAGTGGTAGATCAGCAACATATAAATGACAAGCAAACAAAGACAAAAATTACATGGTACCGTAACAGTAGAAAATAAATATTAGTTAAAATTATCAGTCTTGCAAAATTGAAAATAAAATAAGAAGATATTCACAAAAGTTCAAACTGCACTAAAAGCACAGAAAATTCATGTATATTCATCGATGGTTTAAATATATACAACACAGCAATACCCAAAAGAGGAAACATGCTAAGTATTTCTTTTTGTTCGCATTTTCCACAAAATAGACCGGTACCAGGAGCAAATGAGATATGGCTCATTAAATGGCATCAATCCAACACAATGAAAGTGTCATATGAAGATGATTCAATAAACACTAGGTGGAAATCAATGAAGAGAAATCATTCATAAAAATATTTTTCTGATTATTTTACTTTAGTTTAAAAAGATCGCCAAATTTAGAAATGCACTTTAAATACAGGATAATTCAGAATAAACTGAAATTCACACCCAATACAAAACCACAATATTACTCCTTGAAGCTTATTCATTCAATCAATTCTGAGACACAATTTTATCATCAATCCACAAAGTTATGATTGACCAATGGTGATTAGGGCTACAAATGAGAGCTACAAGTCAATGTGCTCAGACTAATAAAAGACAAACACTGCATGTCTAACACGTAAAGCCACAGCTAGCCCAGGTGTCTATTCTGAAATTGCCAGATCTTTTCCTTAGAAAAATCAATAAGCCATGAAAATTTCCACACGACAGTCTCATCTCCAATCAAAAGCTACAGACCAAGTAGGATTGCCTGTCAGTATTAAGAACAGGTTAGCAGCGAGCTAACGAAACACCACCACTCAAACTCACCTCTACATTGAAGCATACCTGCCTCCTAACACAAAAGGGGCAACCCACCCCCCCTTCCTCCCAGAGTATCACCCACATGAAGCACCAGCCTCCTGCCCATCAAACCCATAAATCCCAAGCAGCAACCAGTTCACAAACTCCACCACCACCACCCATTCTCCCAAAAAAACATACACGCATACACAAATGGACATTGGGAGCCGTCAGACCATAAAGACCACTAGATACCATCACACTTACCACTAAGCAGCAGAAACAGCTACGCCCTGAAAGGAAAAAATCTCAATAGGCCCCAAATCAAATAGCCAGGATTGAGAAATATAGAAAAATGGCAAGATAAATAAATCATTGAGTACAGCTTTCTCTTTTGCATGCTTTAGATCCTGATCACGTTACAAATATAATTTGAGTAAACATGCATTCTTAAAATGATGTAGAGCATGGTCAAACGAATCACAAATATTACAATGAAGCTCAAAACCATTTCAAAAACTGGAATTCGTCAAAAATGAATATTGGTAAATATATAGGACACCAAAGTTCAAATATCCACAACAGGAATGCACAGTTAAATCAGGAAATTCGTACCAGAAGTATTGCATGCATCCAGAACTGTGGCAGAACTGGCATATGATTTCAGCCAGATCTTGACCCAGGTAGTTCCGGCCTGAACACCAAAAAAGAAACTAGCAGGTGTTAATGTCGACAGTTTAATGGCCATGACAAGTTAGTCTCAAAACAGCAGAAAACAGAACCCACACTTTGACTCCACTGACAATTGATATGATCTATATCAGCTATTCCCCATTCAGAGGTGAAATTATTTCCACTTGAGTCTGAACACTGAATTTTGATGCTGTCAGAGAGGAAAATCAACTGAGATTCTGCGTATATCTTGCTCCCGCAAATAACATATTCAGCCAGAACGATTATAGGTACATCAATATCCTCCTGCACAGACAAATAAATGGAAGAGTCAAGCCACAATCGTGGAAGAGAAACTACTAGATAAGTATGCTACAATATGAGTTGATAGTGGTGGACATGATTACAGAAACCTAGAGAAAGGGACGTCTCAGCTTATGACTTCCTAAATATTCGGCATTTCTCGGCAATTTAGTTTTCAAGAAAAAAAAGGCTAATGTTGGTATCCCTCTTGGAAGACTAATCCCCAAGATTTAGACAAGTACTGTTACCTAGTACCAGGCACCCACTTGTAACAACAGAAAGACCAGATGATGAAAGCTGAAGAATGAAGATGATAGATCCTAGTGGGCTCGTGTTAAGGTCATCACGAACATCCTATTCATTGCCAAAACTGAATAACATCAAACTAATTAAGTCCATAAAAAAAGGAAAAGGAAAACAGAACATTGTCCTTGTATAAAACATCTTCTTTACTAAGCAGTCATAACAAGTTACCAAGTGAAAACCAGAACTGGTAGAAAATTAAGATCAGGAATGAAATTAGCCAACAGAAAGGACTGCACGACTGTTTGCAATTTTTTAGGGAGGAACGCAGAGACCTAAATGTCATCCTACCATGCGTAAATGCATGAAGAGGAGGATAAATGAAGGACAATTCTACTTTTCCCATCCCTGACTCGGAAAATAATGATAATGGGTAACCTCAGGAGAAACATCGAGCTCTAGGAAGACATTTTAAAAATAAATGCCCAGAGTTAGGGAAGTATATAAATCAATAAACGTAGATATATTATTTTAGTTTTCGTTCAGAAAATGAGGCAGGCATGTGGAATTACGGGAGAGTAGATAGTACGGATTCATTTCAGATTATTTCGACAAATTGCACACCCACCAAAGTTATAATTAGGCTTGGAAAACAGTTTAAGAAATAAAGAACAGCAAAGCCCAAGTTTCACCGGGATGCGAAGTTGGGGATTTTGAAGATATTTAATATTTCCCCCTTCGACAGAAAATTTCATTCCAAAGGAACGTAGCACTATCCCAAACTATTATCCACATTCTACACTCACATCCAACTTCCAAAATGAATTGCAGGGCTGAGTGTACGGAAAAGCAAAATTTTCATGTTTATCTTGCATTTAGTAAATTTGGCGATTTGGAGAAGAATTTGCCACTTTTTGCAGACTTTCACGGTTCCCACATCAGAGAAGTTGCTACTATTGCTAGGAACGTAGAATGAGGAATTAACTACTTATTCTAGTTTATGAGGGATTTGAGGAACCGTAAGAGTTCATCCATACATCTGAATCGAACAGTTACAGGTCAAATGCAGTCTACCACGCAATCAAAACGCAGCCTAGAACTGGTTCAGCAACACCATCCAGCTACAGTTCATGTAGGCCAGACCTCCAGAGTAGATGTGATATCAAGACCCTTAGCATAAATCACCCCTACAGGCTTATCAAAACCCATAAAAAAGCCTGACTTGTCGACATCTTTCAACTCTATAAATGCATGATTCGATATTTCCGTGGGCCCACAGGAACATTTATTAGAGAGACTTTTTTGTGAGTTGGCTACACAGATATATATCCCTATGTCTCTTATTTACACCTAATGAATTTCCGTCACAAAAAAAATCAACAAGGATTATTATTGCACATTCCATACGAATATCTTTTCTTCTCCACAATTAAGGGGGAAATAAAAATGTATCCCTCGAAAAAGGTACAAATGGAAGGACAACAAAAGGACAGAAATACCGTTACTTACAGCTTCTTTGACTCCAGTCCAATAATCAGAAGAAACTGGATATTGGAAAGAACCTGAGATTCCACAAAATGTCAATATAAATACTTAAGCAACTAATGATAAAAAAATCAAAAAGAATGAAATTCAAACCTTCATTGTCTGTGTGATCGGGACTTGAGACCCAGCTGCCACCATCGTCTGAACCAACACTGGCTTGTGTTTCCTGTTGTCAAGCACATTGAATAGTGAAAATTATGAAAGGATTAAATGGCATGAAAAATGAAGATGATTGTTTAACTTTGATGGGAGCCAATACATTGGATGGCTTGTCTGAGAGTGCACAATTAGACAGGTCATCAGCAGAATAGGGTGTTGCAGGACTAGAAAGTTCCATTCTAGTCGAATCTTCTGTGATGCATTCAGGTGCAGTGGTTGTCACTTCAGCAACATCACAAGAGGTAAGCTCATACATGTTATAGCTTTTCAATGATAACGAAATTTCATCCATCATGTCTGCTCTACCATAAAAAAAATTACTGTGCAACTGCGTGTGGCACAAGACACAACAATCATATGTATAATCACACCCACTTGTATCAACATCCACACAAAATGTCAGACTCTGCTCACCAGTCAAGTCTTCAGCAACTGCACTGTTATGACTAAGCATATCCTCAGCAACTGCAGAGAGTTCAGTGGAAACTAAAATCAGAAAATCGCAAACATGATTTCAGTGCCTCATAGAGAAAAACTAAAACAAGAACAACCCAACTTGGAAATGTTTGATTTGAAGAGTACCAAGAAGAGATCATACATAAGAAAATTATCCAATGTCATTTTACAATTTAGGCATTGAGCAATTAGCCCAGCTTAATTTTTTATAATAAACTATTAACCCATTATACTTATTCGCATACCAGGCATCTGTAGAAGCATAGTAAACTAAAACTAGAATAAAAATAATAAGAGGAAATGTAAAACGAGCACCACAATGAAAAATTAAAAAAAAAGGATGATCCCAACGAATAATACATAACGTCACATGGAATTTTGTATAATGTACACACACAAGTACATTTACATGGAGTGAAAGAAAACAGACATGCCCTAGTCATATGAACATAATGACAGATTTACTGTTGTCTTACAGTTCCCAGAGATACATCAGACTTAATTCCAATACTAGATTGTTGGAGTCCAATAAAGAACAAAACATTCAAATCCAGAGGTCAGTCGTACTCCCCTAGCTTTCGTTTCTCCGTGTCAGTGTCGTCCATAAAATAAATAAAATCATGAATTAGACTGTTATATATTGATATTTTAAATTTTAATTAACTTCTATGGACGAGGCGAAGGATCGTCCAATAATACTTTTGAACCTGTCTGATCTATGGAAATAAAAACCTCGAGGAGAATTCGCCAGCAGTGAGAGACATTCCTACTTGCTCTTTCTTAGTGGTGTGATAAAAGGGTCCGAAGTAACAGGAGTATATCTGATTGCTTCGGATCTAGCTGTAGCAGGTTTCTGCGCTCTAGATAATTAACTGGTTAATGGTCACTTCCGAAAATCTCTGGTGTCTTCTCAAACGACTTTAATCACTAAGGAGTAGCTCCGGAAAATGGACAAATTATGGCCACAATCCAGTCGAAGAAGCTGATTCCAGTATGAACTAGTCAACTATGGACGAGAGCAAGTTCTCAGGATCTCGAAAATTACGTGATGAATGAGGTGGATGAAGGTAAAATATAATATAGAAAAATGACCAGCTGACTTCATCGGAGGTCCACGACCCCATAAAAGTCTACATCAGCCCGCGATGGTTAACGAAACAATGACATAAAGCAGACACGAAACTTACAGGCTTTCAAGAATGTGAACTGGGAAATAGCCTGTGCCTCGCCCCTAGGGCTCCCTCGCTTCCCAAACCTCGACGTGAACCTCCCCGACGCCGACTCGATAGCCTCGTCGTCCTCCTTGAATTCGTAGACGGCGAAGTCCCTCTGTGACGAACGCCGCATGTCGGACTTTACCTCCGGCGCCACGACGGCCGGGAAACCGACGCCTCGAATTCAAAATGGTGAATCGAGGTGAAGGGAAAACCCTAGAGTCTGAATCTCCCAAAGCGCTATCTGCGGAGGGGCGGATCACCCGAACATGGAGCAGACGAAACTGGATACGACCGAGTAGGGACGTCCGCCATGGCGAGAACAAGCATGACCGCCGTCCCCGGAGAGGAGCTCGGAAGTTGCCGCCCGCGACGGAGAATATTCCCTTTCTAAACAGAAACGAGTCACGACTTTTCCCTCTGACGATGGAAGCCCAGATCTCCGGGGAAGCTTCCTCTCGCCACCCGTTTGGCAAAGTTTCGGATTTCGACGGAATCTCAATTTCCCGGAATTAGATTTCCGTTGCCAAGCCGGAGATTAATTGGCGACAGCGGAGATCTGGGCCGTCTCTGCCTCGGCAGTCCAAAAATTACTAATTTACCCCCGCGTGGCGTTTTCTCAATCGCATGCCTAAGCTTGCTTTCTTCATGCGATAATTGAGCTATTAAAGATTGTCACATGAACGATTAAAGAGATGTGTAATATATGAACACTTCAACCTCATTCCATATCGTTTAAAAATATATTTGGAATGATTTGTTGGTCCCAAGTGGGCCATTCTAATGTGCTATGGAGCCCTTTACTTTGACTGGTCTAATCATGTAGGTAATCAATTAGTCTGACTTTTTTTAGTCAACTCCTTCTAACAATGGAAAAACGACATTTATTTTTTTTATACTGGTTTTGACTTGTAATTGACTCTATGCTTCTTACATTGAGTGGGTGCATGCAATCAACATAGTAGCATCAACTTGTCCTTGTGGTGCATGATCAGGCTTTACTTAGTCCACCATTAAACAGTCAAAGAAAGGTCAATGCTCTAAATCTGCCACTTTAGAACCACCCAATATGTATTTAGCACATGCTTTTAATGATATTTATTGTTGTTATGGCCACTTACTTAAAATAAATGAAATAAAGTTTACAAAGTAAAAGTAAAATATTTGCCTAAATGTGAAACTAAGAATCCCATAGAGGAAATATTGACATTTACATGTTTGTTAAAATTGTAAGGCAATGATGATATAATAACCATTTAATGAATTCATTCATTTAATCACCCTCAGATTTCAATGTTTTGCTAGAAATATATTTTGATAATTGATGTTAGCAAGTTGAATATTATAGTTTGATAAAACAAGGCTAAAGTGCAAAATTCTAGTTTGCCATGCAATAAAGTCATGACAGTTCTAGATATCCTCTCAGTACCCATGAAGAATGAGTATAAGAAAGGGACACACTCTAAGTAGCCACAAAGAGAAATAGGGTGTTTTTGTGAGTTTGCTTCTAGTAGGGCATTCCTAGCCACAATGTCTATTTAAAGAAAATGAATCAAATCATCAGCGTGAAGGAACTATAGAAAATAAAATAGAATAAAAGACATTGTTGCAGTGCCATGAAGTAGTCACTAAACATTTTAATGTAGATGTCCAAGCAAATAATTCCAAATTCCAAAAATTATAAAAACATTGATTATAATAAAAATGTTCATATAAAATGCATAGATATTTTTTTCTTAGATTTTCTCTTGATTTTGTTCATCAAAAGGGCACTTAGCCCTTTTGATGTATATGGGATGGTTCTAGAGCCCTAAATTTGTAATTGACAAGTAAGCACTACGGGTATATCTATAGGTCACTTACTAACGTCATTTTATTGTAGAGCTGAGTAAGCAAATAGAGGTAGCTATCAAACTTATTTCAATATTCCTTGGTACTCTTGAAACCACTAACATGAATAACCCTAATTTGGTAAGATTTAGAAATGAATTTTCTAAAATTAACCAATATTGAAAGACATGGGAAATTTAATATCTTACTAGAATGGTCTGATTGTCAAAGTGTGATCATTTTTCATTAGAAATCCATCATTATTCGGCCAGAAGTATAATATTGTAAAATAACTTGTTGAAAATCTTTCCAAACTTCATGAAGTACTAAGATCAATGTGACTGCACATAGATAAACAAAATAAGATACCATCTTTTAGTAGATTGCATTAATCATAGCTCAATTAATCATCCAACAATTGATGGGAAAATTGAGACCTAGATTGATATAAGTCAACTTATTTGAGAGAGTTTTTCTATGAAACATTCAAAGACAAGGGAAGGTGGTCACCTTAGGCAAACTCAAGCAGTAGTAAATTGAATACCAATGTCTTGTTTAGAGGTTACTCAAGGGGTATCTCCTTACATGAAGTAATCTTCAAGGGAAGGTAAAGTTAAATAAATTAATAATGGTTTACTTATTGGTAATAAAGCAGAAGGAAAATTAAAAATTTATTCAATGAGGGAAGTGAGTAGTTGGGCTTTTCTCCCTATTTAAGATGCATTCACATAAACTAGATTATATATTTAAAAGAGATATCCAAAACTAAGTGCATTATTATTTATGACCCTTATTGATTTATTGGAAGAACTAGATTGGTGGCCTATCAATTGGTTTGAGTAGAGGGATCAATGATCTATTCAAAGTTTCATGCATCCCAATTTAAGCCTTGGATTCATCTACCTCAAGTCAGGCCCATTCCTCTCCCAACTTCGTATGAAAGGAAAAAAGTTTCCACCATCTATTCGTGATGGGCAAGTGCTCAGCTAAAATAACACAACCTAAATGGAGTGACAAAGAACACTATTAGATGAACCACCATGAAGAGATGCCCCAATTTTTCAAGGCAGTGCTTTACTACGCTTGGCCTTAAGGTAGAAGAGAAAGAAATAGATTTTATTAATTAGAATGACAGTCAGCTTTCATAGCTCAGTTGGCTAGAGCACCCGTTTAGTAAGCGGGAGGTCTTGAGTTCAATTCTCAATGAAAGCAGCTAAATATATTTTGCGTTTTCAATGTGGGTCGAGAACAAATAGTAATTCAGTATAATTAAACGTCGTTGCTTTATGCTTCCACCTGTAAATATCAATAAATCTATTTAACATGATTTTTCCTTTGACTTTTATATTTTATTTTAACAAACATGACAATAACCAAAACATTGGTTTGTATTAATGTGCAGAAAATAATCATGTGCTCCTTAAAAAGATATAGATCGTCAACAAGACTTAATTAACATGACCTAATAAGTTTTGAAATTATCATGTTTTCAATAAGTGCAGTCTCTTCTTTACACCTCACTTTTAAATTCTCAAGCAAGCAACAAAATAAATTTTCCAATGCACATGACCCTCTCTAGAAAAGTTTGTCTTCATTAATATTTCTCATTTTTCCAATTTCCAGTACTTCATCTATTTATCACTTCTTCTTGACTATTATTTTCCTTCTCAAATTATTTTTTTAAAAAATACAACCCAAAAAAGTTTAATTCTTCTTAAGAATTTCAAACTTTTTTTGAATTCCTTGTAGTGTCTTTTATTCCCAAAAATGTCGAACCTAATCTATCTACACTTATTAGGGACAGCATGTTGTTTATTATGTGCCAAATATGTCCAAATAAATATCTCAAAATGCAACATTTCTCATCGAGAGAATGGAAGCATCAAATGTGAGGGTCTAGTTGACATCAAGGAGCATCTACTACTCTTCTAAAGTGACCAAGGTGATGATAAATATTTCAAATACGATCAAAGCAAGGTTACCAACCCTTATCACTATCCTCATGTTCTAAGGCTTACTACATTTAATGAAGAAATAATATCCTCTTTTAATTTGTTAAGATCTTCTTAGAGCTCTTGACAACTATGTTATTCACTAATCCATGATTTAGTCCCTAATTTGATCAATTTGGGTCAAGACCTTCCTTAGTTAGGTTAAGTATGCTTTTGCCTAATCATTTTCTCAACATTTTATCATATTCATCACCAATGAGTTTGATGTGATAGCAGAATCATACTCATCATCAATGAAATGAGATAATCATGTGATAGCAACAAGCCTCCTAAGAGTTACGACTTATTTCTCACGTCAGCTCACAGACCAACCACTTAAGAGAGAGCCACTGAAACAGAGACGAGACGGTTCACAAAACTCTTTCCCTAATCAGCATTGCACCTGTCGCTCAGTACCTGTAGTGGAGAGGCTTGTAGGGGCCCTCAACTGGCACGCTGATATAGGCAGCCTGCTCGGGAGTCAGCTTTGTCAGCTTGGCACCAAGCTTCTCAAGGTGGAGAGATGCTACCTTCTCATCCAAATGCTTCGGCAGCACATAGACCTCTTTCTTGTACTTACCAGTAGCCCTCTCCTTCCACAGCTCGAGCTGGGCAATCACCTGCCAAGGAGAACAGTCAACTCTCCAGCAACTCCGGAAGGAAAATTCTACAAATCCAGAAAGAAATGAATCTGGGTGGGTAGAAGATTATAATAGCAACTTAAGTGACCAGGCTAACCATCTGAGTTTGAACTAACCAAGGAGAATTCTACAAATCCACAGAGGAAAAGAAGCATGGGAGGTACTAGAGAGGTGAATAATCTGGATGACCTACTCAGAATCAATTGAGAATGAATATGGTAGTTTAATCCAAAAATTAGTAGATTAAAGCCAATATATTCGAGCTGCAATTTACATTTTCCCCCCCTGCAAACTGGAGCCTTGTTGTGATACCTGGTTGGTGAAGGAGCAGGACATGACGAAGCTGGGGTGCCCAGTTGCACACCCGAGATTCATGAGACGGCCCTCAGCAAGAATGATGACTCCGTTCTTGGTGTCGGGGAAGACCCAGCGATCTGTCTGAGGCTTGATGGTGGTTCGCTGGATGCCAGGGTAGGTTTCCAGTCCAAGCATGTCGATCTCATTGTCGAAGTGGCCAATGTTGCAGACTATGGCGTTGTTCTTCATCTTCTTCATGTGGTCCACCATGATGATGTCCTTGTTGCCGGTAGTCGTCACAAAAATATCGGCCTCAGAGAGAACGTCCTCCAGAGTAAGAACTGGAATGCCCTCCATGAGAGCCTGGAGCGCACAGATGGGGTCGATCTCAGTTACCATCACACGGGCCCCTGCCTGCTTGAGGGCCGCAGCACAGCCCTTCCCCACATCACCATAGCCACAGACAACCGCGACCTTGCCCGCAATCATGACATCAGTCGCCCTCATGAGACCGTCGGGGAGGGAGTGGCGGCAGCCATAGAGGTTGTCAAACTGACAACAAACGGCGAAGAGAGAATGAGAAAAACATTTCACAGAATGAAGAAAGCAAGAGCAAACAGCATCACCCAGATTGTTCTCACTGGGTTGGGCGAACAAACAAAGGAATGAAAGAGATGAAAAAGAGGAAGAACACCAAATGTAACCCGTTAGGGAAGATAATCAATAAGATTAAGCAATGAGAACAGCAATCAGAATCGCCTCAAGATCAATGCTGTTAATGGAACTTGAGAAGGTGCAGCCAGAAAGTGCGTTGAAGGTAGACAATATAGTATGAATAGGCATGACAATAAACGAGATGAGGATCTCAAGAAGGGAAGATAAAACTGAAAACAGAGTGGAAAACAATGGTAAAGCAACGCAATGCGCAGCGAACATCTGAGACGTTTCTGCATCCGCATAAAGAAAGAGACAGCATGTACCTTGCTCTTCGTGACGGCGTCATTGACGTTGATCGCCGGGAAAAGAAGAGTGCCGTTGGCCTGCATCTGGTAGAGCCTCTTGACGCCGGTGGTGGTCTCCTCAGACACGCCGACAAGTCTCTCCTTCATCTTGCGGTATCTGTGGGGATCGACCTTGAGACTGTCCCTGATGAGGCCGAGCACGATCTGGAACTCGGCGTTATCGGTGGAGTTGGGATCAGGAAGCTTCCCTGTCTTCTCGAACTCCTCCTCGGCTTTGACACCCTCGTGGATCAACAGAGTGGCATCGCCGCCGTCGTCGACAATGAGGTCCGGACCGCCGCCGGCGCCCCAGTCGAGGCAACGCTCGGTGCACCACCAGTATTCCTGGAGGGTCTCGCCCTTCCAGGCAAAAACAGCGGCGCTGTCGCGGGCGATGGCGGCGGCGGCATGGTCCTGAGTGGAGAAGATGTTGCAGGAGCACCAGCGAACCTCGGCGCCGAGCGCGGTGAGGGTCTCGATGAGGACGGCGGTCTGGATGGTCATGTGGAGGGACCCCGAGATGCGGGCGCCCTTGAATGGCTGCGAGGGCCCGAACTCCGCGCGGCAGGACATGAGACCAGGCATCTCGACCTCCGCGAGCTCGATCTCGAGGCGGCCGAAGTCGGCCTGGGACATGTCCTTGACCTTGTATTCACGGCCAGACGACGTCTTCTCCACGAGCAGCGCCATTCTCCGAGATCGGCAGAGCTCCTCCTGGTAAACCGCGCTACGACCTGGAGATGGCGAGAGGGAGAGGAACCGTAGAAGGGGGAGAGGGTTTTGAAACATAAAAGAACAAGGAATCTCCACCGTACGGAGGAGATTTAATCGGATTCTAGGTGGATTTTTTTGTCACTGTGAAAAAGACCTTTTTCTCTCAATATTTACGCAAATACCTCTCCCTCATGAAGGATAAGAGAATATTCTCTCTCTCTCTAGATGTCACATGACGCTGAACCTTGTATTATGAGATGATTATTGAGTCTTGAACCCCTATATATCTCGGAGTAGAAAAAAGGTGACAAAACATTAAAAGATAATGCCCGAGTATTTCATGATTTTCTACCAACAATAGAAAAAATTCATACCCGTTGCTTACTAACCTCAAGAAAAAATCCCACAAAAAACCTACACTATGAGAAGATAACTCTATGAATAGAGAACACTTGATAGTCTCCTAATGAGAGAGAAGGGGAAAGGGAAGGTAACAAGGGGGAAGAAAGAGAAAATAGAATGGAGATAAGGGATAATTAGAGGAGATGGGGACCCTCAAGGTAGCTAGCTGATTAGAAGTGTCAATTTTCCTTTCACCCCACACATGGAGATTATACTCATAATTCTTCCATCGTAATATGCCACCTATGCCCTTATCTTAGTATGACATATGACATCTTGGGCCACCTATGCTTGTCATTGGGCCATTATTGACATTCGACTCCTCTACATCTCATGGTTGCTATGAGCCATTGGTCCATATCCTGTGGTATCTTTTCTGACCAGGGTGAGAATCTATGATCAACACCTCAGCAATACTCTCTCTTAGAAGATTCACCTTGTTCTCAAGATGAAAGTCTGGAAACTACTATCGAATGCTTTATGTAGTCTCCCATACAGCTTCTTTTAATTGACAATGACTTCTTGGGAAAGCTCCTTCTAGCTAACACCTCAGAGGGTTCCACTATCCATGTCAACTCATCATTTTGATGGAGTGGACTGATAGGTCTAGGGTATACCACATGTCCTACTTGTTTGAGTTGAGATATATGAATGATTAAGTGAAATGTTGTCTTTTGTGTAGATCTAGGCAATATGCCACCTTATCAATTTTTTCCAAGATTTAGAATGGACCAAAAAATGGGTGTCAACTTCTCAAATGACCTATGGGCTAGCAAATGTTGCTTATATGGTTGTAAACAAAGGTAAAAATAATCCCCATGTTGGAACTTCAATTCTCTTCTTCTACTATCTGCATACCTCTTCATCTATGCTTGAGCAATGGTCAAGTATCATTTGAGTTGCTCTAGACCTTCATCTGAAGGTCTACCATCTTTTTTATCCCTAGTTCATAGTGCAAAAGATTGGGTGGTTTCGTCCATATACTATCTTCAAGGGAGAGGTACTTGTAGATGCGTTGAATTTGGTGTTGAACCATAATTCAATCTAGGCCATCTAAGTGCTCTATGATGTGGTTGATCTCCTGCAAAATAGTGCATGTAAGTTTCTAAACTCAGATTGACCACCTCCGACTAGCTATCAATTTGAGGGTGTGAGAACTTATTTGGCATACAGACATGCATGATAATTTGAAGAACTTGTTCTAAAATGGTTCCCTAAATAGCATGTCTTTGTTAAGAACTATGGATTCAAGAAACCCATGTAGTCGAACTATTTCTTTTATGAAAGTGAGGATGATTTCCTTCATGGCGAGTGCATGTCTCAAAGATATATGGAACTGAAAAGAGAGTACACTCCCCCATACAGCCACTCATAATATGAAATGAGCATATTTGTCCAATATGACGACCACAACAAGAATGACATTAAATCCATTTGAAGGGCATTTGAAGGGTCCAACCCTTCAAGAAAATCTATAGTTATGTTATCCCCACTAAACACTTTGTTTATCCATTAATTATAAGGGTTCATCTCGCACATAGTTTCACCCAAAATATCTCTAGATCCATGATTCTAAAATTTTCAATCATTGATTACATGGATAAGTCTCACTTATCACAAGTTTAACTATAAATAAATAAAATATTTCACTATGGGACTAGTTTTGAAAGAAGATATGAGTTGCCAACATTCAATGAGGAAGATGATAGATTTGCTCTTGATTCCTTGATCCTCTTATGTGTTAAAATTCTTTGAATTTTTTAAGGTTTGTTTATGATTTTCAATTGGGATGAAAAGAATTCTCGATTGGATTGCAATCCCAACTTTTCATCTTTGCATTTCTAACTTGAACTTTGCATTTCAAGCAAAAAAAAATTGTAATAGATGTTGCAAATGTTATTGAAAAATTTTAAGATAATAGATGGTCAAATCTTATTGAATGGACAAGGATGACAACTTTAAATATGTAATTTTGTCTTATCATTAATTTTTATGCCTCCTCAATATCCTCTTTAAAATCTTAGAAAATCCAACAAAAATAACCAATAGTTAACTAGACCAAAATAATAAATAATGGGTCATGGGTCATGTAGGTTCGAAGCTAGATATAATAGACAAAATGCTAATCAATATATATTCATTGAAATAAAATGATAATTTTTCATAAAATTAGAACCAAAATCATGTCCAACAAAATCTGGGAATCAACAATCACTATTGAGGTTTCATATTATCTCCTTATTTAACTCATTTGTGATTTCTTGTAATCATTAATAAAAAAATTAGATATCAAGAATATTATACTTTCAAAGTAAAGAATGATTTTATGTACATTTTTTTAGCATATGATGTTATGTGCATATCTTCATCCTAGCACTTATAAAATATCTACATGAACATTTTATGAACTAGTAGTGATTCATTCTAATATATGGCTATGATGTGTAATTTTCATGTAAAATATGTACACTAAATAAAATAATAATTTTGAACAGATTATTATAACCATCTAAAGTATGAATGTAAACTATTTAATCACTAAGTGAATTCTATTAGTTTAATAATTATATTTTAGTTATAGTGATTCTTCATGAGTAATATATATTTATTATTTAGATAATTACACTATTATACTTTGTCATATAAAAACATTCAAGGCTCTTAAAGCCAACAATATATTTTGAAAGCAAAGTATACTAATTCATTCATATATAAATAAGGCATATCAATTGTCCAATTAAAAATGGTCTAGAATGAGAAAATTAAAAGTAAACATCATTGATAAATAATAAGAATGGAAATTTAAGTCCAATTATTTTTTAAGTCTTTTTAAAGTGTGTTTACTATTTCTTACCATGATAAATAAGCTTGTAAATAGCACACGATGCAAAGTATGTGTATCACTAGAAAAATATGCTACATCATCCTCCCAATTGAAGTACATCTCTTGTAGAATTACTTCATTATGTTAAAGAAGGTTTAGCTGCCTTTGTTTTTTCTTTTTTCCCATAAATTATTGATACAATGAAAAAAAATATTGAATAAAATAGAAACACAGTACACCAATTACAAGCGTGAGAATTTCTTCTAACTAGTTAAGATTGAAGCCTTCAAAGTAAAACTAGACTCGTCTATCATAGTGAGGTTGTGTAAGAGAGGTTTCTAATCCATCAGGGTGGGCCATATCAGATCTTATGATGTATTAAACGTCCTCCTTTTGATCTTTAAATAGGCGAAGGGCAAGGCTATCAATTGTACCCTAATATTTTACATTTTTGACGATTATAACGAAGATTACGGCAACCTTAATCCCGCATTTGTTCTGATCTCCATGAGTTCTGAAGTGTAGAGCCATAATCTTGCGCCAACTCTCCCGCCATCATCCAATAGCATCTCTCTTTCTCTCTCTCTCCTCTCCCTCCCTCCCTCACCCCCCCTCTCTGTCCCTCCCTCTCTCCCTCTCTCTCTCTCTCCTCTCTCCCTCTCTTTATATCTCTCTTGCACTCCCTCTCTCTCCCCCTCCCCCCTCCTCTCTCTCTCTCTTGCTCTCTCTCCCTCACTCCCTCTCTCTCTCTCTCTCTCTCTCTCTATCTATCTATCTATTCATTCACAACGGTCTCATCACCTTTCCTGGGTACCGTGTCTCCACGCTCCGATCATCTTCTCGGCATCTTCCCCTTCCTGCAAAAACGGTCGTAACTAAACTCGTGCAAAAGGCCACAACTTTTTCCTCTTTTATTTCCTCCGTCTAAGAGGACACGAAACTTTGCCACCCTTTAAGAGGCGACGAAAGCTCATCCCGCCAGTTCCTCAGGTGGTTGGCCCGAGCACATTCACGCGCTGTTCATATGCTCCGGTCGGTGCGCTGCTGCAGGCGGCTTCCCCGAGGACTCTCGCAGCCGTCGCTGTCGCCGTCGCCGTCGTTAATGATGCTGCGTGGCAATCCCATAGTGTCGGCAAATGAGCGCGGGGAAGTTTGGTTCCGGGGGGGAACGTAGTTGGGTTGCCATCCCCGCAGAGGCTCGCCGGCTGTCGCTTCCGGCGGCCCACCGCCGGCAGCGATGTAGCCGTGTGCCGGCAGCGGCACGCCAGGTCCGAACGAAACCGGTAGTCCCCAACCCAGCTCGATCGCCGCGTGGTAGCCGTACGCCCTCATCGGGGCGTCTTGACCGCCGCTCTCTGGCGGGATAAGGTAGAGGGTCATTGCTGCCTGCGCGGCGCCGCCGCCCGCGGGGTAGAGGTCATGTGCCTGCGGCGGGTGAGCTTGGCCTCTGCTACTCGACGGGAAGGAGCCATGGAACGCTGCCGCTTCTTCCCACGGGCCTGGGGGAGGGTAGTCAACATACCCCAGTTGCGGCAGGGCTCTGCCGCCGCTCATCGGCCAGGAGGGGCGGCGGATCGCTGCTACGGGCGCCGTCCGCTGCGGCTGGGGAACGCCCCGGTGGGAGAACGCCGTCAGCTGCGGCTGCAGCAGCTGCGCCGGGCGGGGAAGGTTGAAGGTCGCGTGTCTATGCGTCGGTTGGCCATGAATCCTCGGTCCAAAGGGTCCGCGTGTTGGCTGCAGAGGGGGATCCAGAAGAACAGATGAAATACCCAGAATCACATCCCCTGAAAGATGCAGTATTTTCTTCTAAAAAGTTTCCGTAAAAAGAACTAATCAAGAATCTTTCTATCTACGCACATACATCTGTATATATATAGAGAGAGAGGGAGAGAGGGAGAGAGGGAGAGAGGATTATTCTCACAAGTTCAGGACGAAGATGAACCCCAGAAAGTGGTACTCTTGAATCCGAGAGTTGGAGGCCTAAAGACGGATCGAAAAGATCCAATATGCCATGAAAGATTAGGTGGAAACTGTAATCAGAAAGGAGAACAACAAGGTACTTACGATGCTCAATCGATTCTAGCGTTTTAGCTTCTTCATGCTCCAACCTCCTGTCCTGTAATCAGGGATGGAACAGAAACGATCATCGTAGGAGGGAAAAGAAAGAAGGGGAATAAAAAGAGGAAGAAATCAGTGAAGAAATGGATTCGTCACCACGGCCCTCTTCCCCGGACTAGTGAAGAACACCTTTAGTCGTTTCCCTTCAATCTGATAGCCATTGAGGTTCCTCCAGGCTAATGGACGCAATCCCCATCACGATTGCAAAGGTGTGGAGAAATCAATATTTACGGATAACTATGTATATGAAGTAATTCACAAGATTAGGCCCACCATTGTCTGCTTGATCATGAGTAAAAAAGTCAACGAAAGCCATGGAGTTCTGCGTATCGATGTAATGTCCCAAGGTGATCCCGTATCTTCCGAAGAGACCGAGCAGCGTCATTCTGGCTTGCTGTCATGTGAACACGTCTACTGATGAAGTGAGATCGCTCAGCTGATATCTCTCTTCTTCCCTGTCAGATAAGAGAAAGGAAAAACATTTTTCTCCTGTTCCTGTGTTTAAGAACGTACACGCAGAGAGTGTATTGGCAACCCGTAGACACCAAGTGAAACTGCTTGATGCAGAGAGAACACTCGCCATCTTGCCCGCTCAATGAATAAATTTTGATCACTGAGATGCATGATTTCCACCTCGTCCGCCCAACTCTGGAAGGAAAAGAAAAAGAAGGCCTAAGGTCGTGTCCTGCCCCGGCAATCCTAGGAATTCAAGTTGACGAAGTTGGTTCTTCCTACGTCTGACACAACGGTGTACTCCACGAATCCAAATCCCTTGCTCCGACCATCTGCATTCCTTGCAATCTGGAACACCACGCATTCTCACATAAAAGAGCTGCTCATGTTTCCGAAGAACATTGGGGCCGAGGCAGATGATTTCAAGATCAATTACTAAGTTGCTCGAAGAACTTACGAAAGCTCGATCGATCTTGCCGTGTCGCTGAAATATGCTCCTCAACGCATCATCGTCGACTACCTCAGGCATGTTTCCGACGAACAACGCAGGGCCGTCGGAGCAAAATGACACTAATTCCTTCAGATTGCGACCACCGAGAACCGACCGTCGCAGATGCCGCTCAAGAGAGGGAATGCTTTCTCTGTGTTTGTTATGCAATCGTATCCACGCACTGTGGTTAGCATCGAATGCGACTGTGGTAATGGCGTACCCTTCGAAGAGCAGTCGAATTTCCTATAATTGTAAAATGAAATAGCTCGATCAAAGAAAGAGATCTGGGAGGCCTATCATTCCGAGAGGAGGGTTCAGAAAGCAGATATTACTGGAGGAAATCAGACCTGCTCTGTGACCCTCTGGGGCAAAGATTGTATGACAATGCATGGCCTCGAGGTCCAGATTTCCGGAGGATAGTCCCGATCAGAAGCTTGAGGAGAAACGCTGCGAGCCAACTGTATAGGTTCGGCTGTGGTTTCTCTGTTGTTCTCTTCGTCTGTACGCGCCAAGAGATTTCGAGGAAGAAGTCGCGGATCGCCGTCTGGAGGATCTCCCCCCCGTCTCTCATCCTCGGCGAAGAAATCCTGTCTGAGCAGAAAATCAATCATCTGGTTCGACCGGAAATTCTCATTTTCAGCTTCTGTCTCGCGCTCTGCGACTGCGCTGGCACTGCGACTGCGGGGAGTTCCAAGAACGTCAAGAACTCCGGCGGAACCTCCTCTGCTTCCCCCTGCCCCGCTCGAAGCGTCGTCCCGAGGCATCTTCTCTTCCCCGCCATCTCCCCCCCTCCGCCCCCTGATCGCCATGGCGCAGCTCCGCTCCTCTCCCCTCCCCCCTCTTCCCTGTCCTGCTGCCTCTGGAAGGACCCTTGGAGCTGAAGGCGGGAACGAGGGGGAGAGACGCAGAGCCTTCGATTGTGGACCGTCAGATGACCCCCACCGTTCCCCGATTCCTTAAACGCCATCTCAAGAATGCATACCGGCTGAAACATTGGCTCGGCCCAGATAAGGAACCATTCCAAGAACGTGAACAGATATCATATCATCACAATTTTAGTAATCAACAATTCCTTTGAAATCCCCAATAAATAAGTGAAAGACATTCGTCCCCCATTTTTTTGGGAATATTGTAACAAAGACCCTCAGCATCAAGCCTCGATCATGATCTATTGAGTAAACGATTAAAAGGGCACATTAAATAAAGATCACTGAGCTCGGCAAACTAGACCCAACTAACTCATACACATACATCAAGATTAATAAATTTTGTGAATAATTTTACCATCTGAACTTTCTATCATGTCAAGAGCTAAAAATGTTCCTCTCTCTCTCTCCCCTCTCTCTCTCTCCCCTCCCTCCTCATTCCCTCTCTCTCTCCCCTCCCTCCCTCATTCCCTCTCTCTCTCCTCCTCCCTCCCTCATTCCCTCTCTCTCTCTCTCTCTCTCCCTCCCTCCCTCATTCCCTCTCTCTCTCTCTCTCCCTCTCTCTCTCTCTCTCTCTCTCTCTCTCCCCTCTCTCTCTCTCTCTCTCTCTCCCCTCTCTCTCTCTCTCTCTCTCTCTCTCTCTCTCTCTCTCTCTCTCTCTCTCTCTCTCTCTCTCCCTCTCCCTCTCTCTAAGAGTCGTCTTGAATAAAATGACGCCAAAAACAAATAGCTTGGGTAATCGTCGGATCTTGTCCCACCTCATTAAATCAAAGAGGAGTGGGTAGGGGTGGCATGTCCACCGGAGAGGAGACCAAGGGCAGCGTTCGGTCAGCTTCAGGCTAGAAGAGGAGGCGCATGGGCTCACCAGGAGTAAGGGCTCACGGCGAGAAGTTGCCGGAAAGCTCTTCTTCGTTCCCCCGGTCTCGGCGGCGCCGTCTCTCGAGCACGGCTCCCTGCTGAGAAGGGGTAGTAGATCACCACTGTTTCACTGGCCGCGTAGTCGGCGTAGTAGTCGCCGAATGATGGTCGCGGCTGGGTAGTCTCAGGCGAGAACGGGGTGGTGGTCATACGCCAGTAGCTATGCGCCGTTGATGTGAAGCATAAATCTGGTCACTGCGAACGGGGAGTGAGAAGACCCGGCCAAGGATCCGGGCCGAAATCTTGGTGGATACACAACGGCGCGTGGATGTTCTCACAAGGTCTTGACGAAGAAGCCCAGTAGATGCTCTTAGATTTGCAAGATCGGGTCCAAGAGACAGATGAAGATGGCAACACGATAATCAACGAAACATATCAGGCAACTGCCCTGCTCGTGTCCAAAGTCCTGCAGCAGAACAACAGGAGATGCTCTCCGATCCTTGCCCAGAATAGTTGCTGCAGATTCTATCGGGGGGTTATTCATGTCAGAAGAAATAATTCACAGAGCTGGGATGGTTTATCTGATCGGATGTTGATACTAAATCCGGTCCCCCACGATCCTACGAGTAAACCTTAGGATTTTCAGAGTCACGTCGACAGATGGGTCATGGATCTTCTGTATAATTGCAAAGCATGCCATCACCTCGTTCTTCGAGTATCCTCCTGTAGCACTGCAATTTTTCACGGGATTAGACCTACCGTCATCGGCTTCATCAGGAGAAGAGAAATCTAGGACAGCGTACGAGAGCTGCTGATTGATATAGTGTTCCGTGATATGTACCCGTACCTCCCAAACAGATCCAACAGAAACTCCCCCGGTTCCTCCTACCTCGGAGAAAACCTCATCACGGATCCGACGTTCTTCTCCGCGTCCTCCCTCTGCTCCCTGAGGACCATAGCCAAGCTCTTCCGCCTTCTCTGGTTTTCCCGCCAGTTTTCAAGAAAGGGGAGCTTTTATCTCGGGCCGTCGGATGGGATGGGGTAAATAAAATAAATTTATTTTGGACCATCGGATGAGCGTGTCCTCTGTAAACCCAGTTGTACTTGGGATTACTCTTTAAAATAAATAATTTTCATTTTCCACATTTAAATGATTTCTCTCTATCTCGGATGGTTAAAAATAGCGATCATTTTGGTTGTTCTAGTAGACGCCCAAGAGCATGTAGCATGGATCCCAGGTGAGTCAACTTATTTTCCAAGAAATATAAATTAATATTAATTTATTTTCAAATATTCCTAATCTTTATTACATTTCTACTTCTTATCTGACCTCATAATTAGGAATACATAATTTGGCAGAATTACTGCTCATTGCCCCTCTATAGCCACTACTCTTGAAGGATCATATCAAGATGGCCCACCCTCTATAACTTTTACCTTGCCCTCAAGGTGAAACTTAAGGAACATGTAAAGGCTGATAGCTATTGGCTCCCATCATGCCTCAAACTTTGGCAAGTTCTCTCATTGGATTTAGACATCACTGTCTTTAAGGTGTGAGGTAAACTCCTAGCACTATATGTATTTGGACTCATCATTCCATGTCTTCAATTAATGTTGAGGAAAGAAATTGATTCTAGTCAACTAGTCTAGAAGGCCTATAAAGGTGTAAAACATAGAAGACATGGTAGATAGAGAAGTGGGCTATAAGATCCAAATTGCATGTGGTAGGACCAATCCAAACCAAGATTTAATAGAGCCCTAAGAATTTGGATGTCAACTTCTTGTTGAGCTTTTTAGCCAAAGACTTCATCATGTAAGGTCTTAGCTGTAAATAGATAAAATCACTTTCTTGACATTGAATGTCTCATCGATGTTTATCATCCTTAGTTTTTATTTGTGTTGGAAATTGTCTACAGTGATCTTCGAGGAGGTCAATGGTTTGATCCTTGTCTAGTAGTTGTTGGTCCATCATGGCTATACCAGATTAGAATGGAAGGATTTCTCTTATATACAACCTTAAATGGAGTGGTCTTTATGAAATGTGAGATCATAGCATCATTTGGTCCAGTATACCCAACCACTCCAAGTCTTAGACTTGTCAACAACAAAACAACACATGTAAAGTTTTAAATATCAATTGACAAGCACAATTTGCTAATCTATTTGGGGATGATAGGATGGACTAATTTACTTAAATGATCTACTACTTCTAAGTATTAAACTCACTAGACTTGTGGAATTATTTAATTAAGTCCATGTAGGGATATAGGTATGACATAGGTAAGGTTTAGAATAGGACCACTGGAAAGAGTGGTGATGTTGTTGACTTATGTTATATTTATTACCATATTATTTTATTTATTTTTTCACAGTTTGACCAATGCATATTTTTTGAAATTTTCTTATTCACAATTTTACTATTGTGAATAAATAAGAGTAGATTGTCACTTTTGGGCAATCATTACAATGTCAATCAATTGTTGCTCATAAGTAGATTCGACTTTGCTCCTCTCAAGCAATACTTGGCTATGATAGGCAATGAACTTCTCGCTCTACACTAGTATAATGCCAACTCCACAACCTAAAGCATGTGTCTCCAACATAAAAGTCTGAGAAAATTGAAGGCTAATATTAGGGAAATAATTACGATGGCCTTAAGTTTTTTGAAGTTTATTGTGCTTCTAAGCTAGGCAATGAGTTTCTAAGCTTTTCAAAGTCTATTGTACTTATTTACTCTAGTCAAATGATCATTCTTGTGTAATTGAGCCAATGGTCAAACAATAACTACAAAATCTGCAACAAACTTATGATAATATCCTATCAGGCCTAAAATCCCTTCATTATTATATATTCTTTAGTGTAGACCAGTTGACTATGGTAGAAGTCAAAGTGCAAAAATTCTTTATATATTTTTTATATATTTTCATATTGATGTGGAACTGGTTGTTAAATAAGATTGAAAAAACTAAATGTACATATTGCTCATGATCTTCTTCATCCTTGTAATAAATCAATACATCACACAAAAACTAACACAATGTTAGAAATATAGGTAGAATAATATATTCATTAAATAATGAACATGACTCACACATTAGGTAATTAAAAAAGTGATATCGCAAACTCAAAATATCGATCATACATTTTAAATATAGTCTCAATAATCTACTATCTCATGCAAATTTAATAATACTCTTATTTAAGATTTAGATTAGTAAATATAATTATATTATGCAATTCATCTAATAATGTTATTCATTGCTAGAACAGGAGGGTAATTAGGCATTATAACTTTATTCGGATTTGGTAACCAATATCACATCATCATCCTCTATCCTTTTTGACTGAATTGACATAAAGGATATTTGAGAGATGAATAACATAGACAAAACATAATTGATGAAATAACTTCTCAATTTCATGTCTAGAAATAAAGAACAAGAAGAACAATGACTTATGCGTTTGGTACCTTATAATAGCCATATAACATGGTCCAGATCTTATTTAGGTGACAATTCCATGAAGGATGCTAAAAAACTAAAAAAATCTAGGTTTGTGTTTGTCATCAATGTCAATGCAAGTGGCATGTCTCATTTATCTTGGTCATCTCCACTAATTAATCTAACTTGAGTAGTAGCAATGGATTTTTTTATCACACATTTTATTACATTTAATGAAATATTGTATTTGAATGATCATGAATCCTCCATAATAGTTAACTACCTTATTGACCAAAACATTAATGGTAAATAAGCCCCAATAGATGTCCATCTATCTCATTGATCTCAACTATTACATCCCAAGTGTCACATATATGCTTCCTAATTTCAAAGGTAAAAAGTCTTTCACTAGCATCAATCATTTAATCTTTTGAGTGACTTCACGAAAAATCATTCTCCTTAACCATATGCCTATTACTCATGATGATTCCATCATTATAAGATGTATAGATTAGTAATTTGAGTTCCTCTAATAATTTTTAACATAGAAAATTGAGTGATGCCAAAATTGAAAATGATAGTGACATTTTGGCCTCAGATGATCCCATTGAATTTTCTTGTGTCTGACTATGTTAATCACCACTAAAAAAGGATACATGTGTAGTGAATAATGTTCCCTCTTATATTAGTTTTTCTTCAAATGAAGTCCAATCAAGTTCTAATTTTACACTAGTGCCCTTGTTATCTTTGTACAATAATAATGTATGGAATAGTTTTTTCAACAAAGACTCGAGCCATATTTTTCCTCAAAGTAGAAGAAGCATGTCTTTTTCTTTGATAACTTTTAAATCAGCTTCAACTAATAGTAGTCATCTTCTATTTTTTATTGAAAATAGTACATTTAGGGTCTAATTTCTTCAATCCCTAGTTACAAAAAGTGTTGAGATATGACTCTAAAGATTTATCGCAATCCTTCCTTGTTTATGTTGATTTGTGAAGAAAAAAATGTTCCTTGGATAGAAAAAAATCTTAAGGTATTTGCTTAGAAAAATTGGATTGACTAGCACCCCATGCCTCCCAAAGATTTAGATATTCTTGGCCTACAAGCCATCAAAATTTTGAAGGTCTAGGGATTTAGATGTAGAGAGTTATGACTAAATTTCTTATTTAAGCACTTTAGATTAAGTATATTTCATTACCTCTTCAAGAATTTTAGTGAGAAAGAGCCCTTTGAATTCATCTTGATATTTTACAACTGAACCATCTTGCTTGTAGTTGAGTGATGTTTTACATATGCTTATTGATGTCACCATCCCAAACCTTCTTCCCAATTGAAGTGTATATTCTTGACCAGTCTTACAAATAATATCTTTCTTCAGTCCACAAGAACCATTCCAATGTGATGCTCTCTAGAGTCATCATGATGACTTCTAATTGATCTCCTACTAAAATTTTGTTTAACTTGATGTACCATTTAGCAGAGTAGATTCATCCTTTGAATACGACTATGCTTTGAAATTGAGCACATAAGAAACATGGTAAGGAGATTTGTGTAGATTTTTCTGCTACTTTCAAGGTGGAGTGTGGGAGAGGTAGTTTGTAGAAAGTCAATATCCAATCTCTCCTAGGGATTTTTTGTTTTCAAGAAAAAGAGATGAGCATATACCATTGTAAGAAGTCTACAAACTATTCATCCATGCATTTTAGGACTTGTCAAAGCACATTGGATCCCTCCTCCCTTGTCCTTTATTGCTCCCCCTTAAGACCTTCATTGTCTACTTCTAACGCCTTTAGACATGTCTCCATGATTTTTAGCACCATGACCACAATTCGTGGCTCTAATACTAATTTGGTAAAACTCTATATCAAAAGGAAACATATCATGTAGATATAGAACAAGAACTATAGTTAGTCAAACTCAAAATCAAGAAAATAGGAATCACTAAAGGAAGACATTATAACTCCCACTCAATGCTAATTAGTAGGGGAACAAGAAAAGTTCTAAGAGGTTTCTCAACTTCTCCTAATGTTTCTTTTCTACAACCTCTCTTACAATATCTCCCCCTATAAACCTAGCTCTTTAATCTGTCATAGCCAACTCGTTTGCTTCTACCAAGCCCACAAGCTTGAGTCTTCAACCAAGTTCTGTAGTTGGACCATCTGCTCTATCCCTTCGATTTTTGCTTCTCTAGAGAAGATGATTAGACTATTATTACCCCTTCATAGTCATTACTGTTGAGGGACCTTCTAGACTCACCTCTATCTATATGTAAGGGGGTCATATTAGATATGATAAACTAGAAGTCCTAAGAGGCTGGCCAATTGATATGGAGAACTTAGTAAACAACTTTCACATTTACTTTTCTATAATTACTTTAACAATAGCCCAAACATCATTAATAACCCATATCATTAGTGCCTACTAAATATTGGCTAAATATTCATTTGACACTAGACATGCCATAGCTTAGGAGAGAGTTCCATTGAATTCATTTTCCTCATTCTATGAAACAAGTTGCAAGTTTATAGGTTTATTACCAATTTATAATCTGTCACCACAACTAATATATTTTAATTATTTTTTTTGATTTATCAAGCAAAGAAGAGTGTCAATTTAGGGTTTTGAGTTCTCCTTCTATTAATTTTGAAAATTATTTGCATTCCAAAACTTCATCTAGCTTTACCACAATAAATCATTAAGATTATCACATGGCTGAAGATCTCAAAATAATGAGAGAAGAATGAGAGAAGATCTCAAAATACTATACCCTTCACATCTTACAAACAGTCTTGAAATAATAAGAGAAGAATCATGAATGGCCATCCTCTAGAAGATAATTGGCATTGACCTGTTCATGGATTTAAGAGTATTTCACAAAGTTGAGAAGATAATTCAACTGCAGGTAATTTATTTACTATTATTTCCTTTTAAGTCTTATAATATCTATCTTCAAAGTTAGTGTGTCCAGCAGCACTGGTTGTTTGTGTAATGACAAGACCATTCTTGAGAAGAGTTTTTAAGTTAACACTAGCTCTTCCTAATATTTCCTATTTGAGGAGAGATGGCATAAATCAAGAGAACCTAATATCTTTGGTAGAATTTCATTGATATGCATAAGCAAAATAAGATTCAGGCTTTATTTTTTCTTTCACACTTCACTCTTGAAGGATATATTGTAGAAGGCTGCTACCTTATTGAAGTCCAAAGGTGTCAAGTAAATTTTTCGGGAAAGCACATCTACTATTATCTTTTAATCATGCCACAGTATGCTAATTAAAAATTATGAATGGTCCATGCAAGAGCCAATAAATTATTTTATCAGCCCTCATTAATTATTCAAAGAACTAATATTTACATTTAAATTACTACCTTCCACACACTACGCTTCTTGATCTGTATTTTTTTTATTCATCAAAATATGCTTTTTGGGCGAATGAACAATGCCAAGAAGAATGATTGGAAGAAAGATAACAACCCCTCAAGGCCAGTTTATGCTGGTCTGGTTTCACTAAGAATCAATCTAAAAGAGTGGACAACATGCATCATCTTATCTGGCAGGTTTCCAACACGAAACTTTCATGTTAGCTAGCAAACCTCAACATCCATTAATGTCAATGCAATCATGCAGGCTTTTGAAGCTTTACTTCTCGATTTAAAGAGTGGAGAAGGTGCTTCAGTTTTTCTTCAAACAACCCTAAAACACTCGTGAGAGAATTAGAATGAGAGGATGTAGGGTTATGTGAGATCAACTTGGCAAACTTCCCCCCCCCCCCCCATTTCTCTTCCAATGAGAATATTATACACATCCAGGAAAAATAACCAATGAACTGTTGAAGTACCCAGAAGGAAAAACTAGAAAGTCACGAGCTTACTGTACAGTGTTGGGCGGCCATGGACAATCTGGCATCTCTTCCCCATTTCTAAAGATGAAACGGCAAGTCATCAATGCTCAGAAAGGCCGTACACAGAATCCACATACCTTTCGACGTCCCAGAGGAAAGAGCCAAACATGACAGCTTCCAACACCAAGTGTTTCAGTGATGAGTAGGTGACTGAGACCGGTTCATCTTCAAGGTTCTGTCCTGCCTTGTCCAGGAAAAGAGCCCGACTGTGCTTCTCAATCAGATTGACTGACTCTCGGGACTTCAGCCTCGCACAGATCTGCAGAGAATTGGGATCAAACTTCATCACGTAGCTCCTCAGATTTTTTATTCTTCTGGGCCTTCTCTGAGAGTACGAAGGGTAGCTAGCATCATCCTCTGTGCAGGCAGGGCCAAAGGGGTGCCGCTGCTTTGTGTACTGCGGATGCTTCACGCTTGGCATCTGGATCAGGTAGCTCAGAGGGTAATCTTTGCTGGTAAGAGAGAAGAGGTACTCCAGATGGTGCCTCAAGCAGGCCGACTTCAGGAAGTACCCGTACATGATTGAGGCAGCATAGATTCGCCCGAGCTGAAGTCTCTTGATCTGAGCTCTTGACTGGTTCATGGTCGCATCGAACGTACCCGTCCGCCCAAGAATGTTCAACAGGTGGATTTTCACCATCTCCAGGGATTCATGGTCATAAATGGATTCCAACTCGTCCTCGTATGATGGACAACTGTCCAAAGATCCGCCCATCAGCCTGGAGAGGTGGGGAAACATTGGCACTTTGATTTTAGAGAACTGGTGGACAATCAGCATGTACATGACTTCTTCGACGGCAATCTGGCATTCGCCCTCCTTCATTTCTGCTATCCTTCTGTGCTCAGTAGATAGAACGCGATATCACTCGTGGGTTTTGGAAGAGATGAATGAGATTTAAAATGAATGGAGTGACTGGTAAGAAGAAGAATCGCATAGATAGAGATGCATTGTAGAGAAGATAAAAAGAGAAGCAGCATGCCAAAATTCAGCCCATGGGCTGACGACCAATTTTCACAGCTCTACCTTCTATGGACTAAAACTTTATTACCAAATGTATACAAGCGTATATTACATTAACTCTATTGAGGATACAAGATGGGAGAGAAAATTACATTTTCCATTTAAATTCAATTAAAGACTAATAAGAAAAAAAACTTGAAACGCTATCAGATGATGAAGACTTATGACAGAATAATATGAGTCAATATAAATGGCCTTCTTGAAGTCATATGATTGATTGAATATGATTGTGTCATTCTAGACTAATGGAATCAATAGGAGGAAAGTGGAAAACAATAAAAACAGATTTTAGATTCATGGGACGATCTCTGAACTGAGTTAGATAACAGACTGCACCTCGTCTTAGACAATCATGAGACAGCTAACTTCACAGGTTTATCATCACAATGGTTGATGGCTACCGATTATCATTTTTTATGGTTACAGATGTTTGAAAATCTGACCACGAGGCATGAAACCCACCTAATATCCCCATATGTGGAGAGGAACCCCAAAATAACTAAAATAAAGTAAAATTTATCATTCAGAAAGCAAAGGTGTGTGTACATCTAAAAAATTGGAAACAGCTTTTCCGCTTGGTTGCCTGTTTCCGTAAAGAACGGACATTAGAGAAAGAAGCAGCAGCTGTCAACACTGACATACTCCACATTATAGCACTCATAAACAATGAGACATCCACACTGAACTGCCACCAGATGAAAAGAAATTATTCAGTAGGGCCAATTCTGATACTCTATTGTGAACGAATCCAAGAGACTAACAAGGGATGATAAAACACTATGTAGCACATTCATAGAGTCAATTCCAAAAATAATAGGATCCCAATTGTAAAGTAGGTGTTCATTACTTAGCAAATGTTAGGGGAGAGAAAATAATTGAGTGCTACCAAATTCAATGTGAGAAATATCAGAAGAAGAGGTTTCAAGAAATGCCATTGATGTCATTGAGGACACTGGTGAAAATAATAATGGAGAAAGTAAGGATAGTTGGAGAGAGAATCACCGATTTAAAATCTAAGACCAACTTTGAAAGGATAGTTGGAGAAAGAATCACCGATTAAAAATCTAAGACCAACTTCGAAAGTAATGAGGCGACTTTAGCTCTATAGGTGAATAGATTACCAAAAGATATCCGAGAACAAATGTTTTTAGGTCAATTGTTTATGTACGAAAATCTTTTCATGACACAAACGGGAAAAATCGCTTTGAGTTTAATCTAACTGTTAAAAGATACCATGAAACCTAATTAATTTCTAACATTAATGACACTAATACAAAGTATGTGAAGCACAATTCTTTTCTAAGAAGAAACCAACATCCAGTATATTTTGAATGCATAAAGTCACCTCAAAAGCTTGTTTCAAGTGTCTAATTTTTTTCTCAGGAAGGACAAAATTACATAGATGCATTCTGCATACTTGGCTAAAATAGAAACAACCTGTGGAGTAAATAATGTTCTGAATTGATTGAACAATGAAACTGTATGTTGCATACATTTGGCCATTCTGTAATAAATCATGTTAACACAATAAGTGATTCAAACAAAAATGTTTAGGTAAACGAGTGAGGTTAATCTAAGACTTTATCTCTGTAATAACATATGCGATGATAATGAAAACAATGATGAGGAGATGAAAAGTCAAGATATGTACAGATTCTACTTTATAAGATGTACAAGGACCGATTACACTTTTTTTAAAAATACTACTAACTAGGTGAATCAAAGATAGTCTTTCCTACACCCTTCTCATATTTCTATTGCGCTCCACACTGTAACATGACGGAAAGGCAAATTCTTAAGACCAATGAGAACAGTTCGCTTTTTAACAACAAAGAAAGAGCGCAGAACCAGGCAAGTCATGGTAGCCTTTTTTCTTCGATTTTTTTTTCTAAGCACTTCACAGATATATGGACCTCGAGGGTTTAAGAAAATTAGTTGCATTTATGAAATTTGAACAAAGTACGAAATAAAGCAATGCAGGCAAGACCAACAGTACTGAACTGATAAAAGGAATTTCATTTTGAAGCAGATCTGTGAATTCAATCGGGCATCAGCTTCGTAGAGTAGTACTTACTCGTGCAGGCACGCTTGAGCAGAGCCTACGCTGTGAGCACGGCGAGCAACAGCTCCATCTCTCTCCGAAGCCAAATTCTCCAGTTGTTCCGCGGCAGCAACAGGGAAGATGTGGGGATGGTCGTTCAATATCCCACCGAGGAACTTTCCCGCTGGCGATTGGGGTACAAGCGGTGTGCTTACGCACCTCGATTCGCATTTGTTGGATTCAGCACTGGCAATCGAGATGGATTTCCCTTTTCTGCAGCGAAATTTAACCACATCCTGGAGAAATACGGAAGAAAAAAAACATTGCAATCATTGGGGGAACGTACGGACAAGATTCTCATGCTAAGGCACACCAGCAGTTCCTTCTAAATTTTGAATCCCTAATTAGCAACCGAGGAGATTGTAACAACCGTTAAACACGCGGCAGTTGCTAGGTTAAGGAACCGAGCCATTTTCAGCAACTGTAAGATGAAGGTATGAGCGGAAATTGATCATCTTGAAAAGAAAATCGGGAGAAGGGAATGCACACCTGAAATCCCCCCCCAAAACCAGAGGGAAATCGAACGCTGCCACGAACCGTGAGACGAAGACGCCCACCTCCGACCCTCGCCGCCACGGCGGACGCTGCCGGCGACGCCTCCATGGCGGTGATCGCTCCACATCGAACTCCGCAGTCCATTAACAACGGCGAGCACTTGTACCCACCCTTACCAGGACACCCACGCCTCGAGACTGAATCCCAGAGAAGCGCAAACCTAGTTTATATCAACAGCAGATACCAACCGTCTGCGGACTCTTCTCCCACGAATTTGCCTCCCGCTGCAACGAACGGCGGCATGGATCAGACCGAGTAACTATCATGGGATTGTGGATGGCCCGCCAAACGAAGATAGATGCGCCACCTCACCATCTCGTCAGAAATTTCTAGGGTTCGCACTCCCTGGCGACGAGAGAGAGAGAGAGAGAGAGAGTCAAAGCCGCCGGTTTCCAGATTCCAAGGTGCTTCCGGTGGCGGCGAACGGGCCACTGGCTGACAGCTAGCTTCGAAGACCACGTCAGCCTGGACTAGGCCTTCAACTTTTTAACGTTTCGGCCCAGCCCAAACTAACACCCGTGGACCGGACCGGACCGGATCGGATCGGATCGGGGAAACCCATATCTGATCGCTTGACCTGTATGGTGGAGCATTTTCAACAACGTCGAAATTATATAAATAAAAAATAACGACCTGATATAATACTTATTGCTGAAAGGAATATTTTTTGGCTTAGAGCGGATAATTTTATTTTTTTATACAAGTATTACTCATCAGAAATTATTTCCAAAAATAGCCACTATTCTACATAAAAAAACTTATGGCAAAATAATAATGTAACACTTTAAAAAAAACCCATTTTCAGATCGGAGATTACAACATTCTATTCATATTTTCTTAAATCATTGAGCATGGGCCTTCATATCATGTAGATGTGTGAACGAGTCAACTATGGTTAAAATTACCATATTTTAGGGTTTAAAACTACGTTTGGCATGTATGAGTAAAGTAGACTTTAATCGTATGCTTTAATAATCAAATGCATAAATACACCCACATTAACCAAAAATGACACAATCGCACATCTTTTTGAATGAGTTTTTTTTTTCTAGAAAAAGAAAAAAAAAGGTTGGTGTGCTGAGCTGGCTTGGAACAACACCTTTAAAGGAAAAGAAAGAGGACATCTTTGTGGGCCAAAGGGTTAACATTCTAACAGGGGGGAGCACGGTTCCAAACACATTAATAGTAGGCTTCTCTACATTATTTAATGGAAAAGATTTCCTTTTATTTTTTTCTTAATTTTAATCCATTCTTAAATTAAATTTTTATTTTATCCCTTAGTTTAAGGCAAGGGAAGTTTGAGCACCATTTAAGATTTAAAATAAAAATTGACCATATTTGCTTCATATTTATTTCTATATATTTTCTCGACAGCATTCCCACGATGATGAAGAACATTAACATGTGCTTTGGCTCTTTAAAAACTTGCTAAGGAGAAACCGTTGAAGATAAAAAACTCATAAAAATATTTACAAGCAGTTTATGACATATAGCACATGCTATCTAGAGTACATTAATGTGCTCCAGAGATGCCATGAAAGAAGCTAGGAGAATATTTTCAGCTATGAACATTAATGTGATCCACTATTAAGAGACCCCATCTACATTAATAATTTCAGTTTTTAAAAATATTTTCAGCAAAATTTGCCTTCTGACCCATACGTGTGCGTGCACTCAAAGCAGCCATGATCTCCGTCAAGTTAAGCTGGTTCTAGTCAACATGTTTGTAGCTTGAAAGAGATGGCTTGCTAGAAGCATAATTAGCTGAAGCTCGTCTCTAGGGTGCTAGATATTATGGAATTTTTTTTTGCCTATGGGTTCTTTCTACTTATGCATTTAAAGGTAAATGTCAAAAAATATGCTTAATTCGATCTAGATTGTTATATACTATGCTAGTTGGATAATGTGCTATATATGTAGATTATATAACTCATTAAGTCAACGCCTTAAACCAGTGAAGCGTTTTCAAACGTGAGCCATAACCTTTAATACAGAGGAAAAATAGTAAAAAACTTGACCCTACCGAGACCTAGAAGCCCGAGCTGATGGTACCCAAGAGCCTCCCACCGACCTTATGGTCAACCTCTCTGCCCTATCCAATGGCCCTCCGCCCCACAACGCGGTGGCCAAAAGCTTCGCCGACACCAGTCCTCGTCGTGTTCGTCACAGGACACGTTGATCGGACACTTCCAGGCAGGTCGTCGTCATCTTCTCCTCCAAATCCCAGAACGACAACAGATTTCGGCCGCGGTCGGAACAGTCCGGTGGAGGCTCCGTCGAGAGTCATTCGGAGAAGAAGAAGAAGAATATCATCGTCTCTGATCCCCTCCTTTGGAGGCAGAAAATCGGAAAAAACTTCAAACGGAGAGACACAGAGAGATAGAGAGAGAGACAGAGAGAGAGAGAGGGGGGGGGGAATAAGATCTGGAGTGTAGGAGACATTTCCATAGTGCTCCGCTTTCTCCATCCCGGATTCCCGGAGTCGCAGAGGGTTCTGATGTCTATATGTATAGGTAACGACTGAGATTGAACAAGTTGTGTCTATCGTTCGGTTGGCGATGGCGACAACAGCAATCTACAGACCTCCTCTTCCTCCTCCTCCATTTCAGTGGATTCGTCTTCACGCCGACACCGAGAGCGAAGACTCCGCCGCGTCTTCGGCGGCGCCACCACCGCCGCCGCCTGCCCTTTTGGTCTTGGCTAGCGACGGCCTGGCGGCAGCCGCCGTCGCTGGCAGCCTGACGCCGTAGTAGTCGACGTACCAGTCGACGAACTTGCGCAGACCGGCGGCGAGACTAGTGGCGGGGCGGTAGCCCAGTTCTCTGCGGGCGAGGCTGACGTTGGCGTGGGTAAAGAAGACGTCCCCGTTCGCCGGCATCCGTACGACCCGCTTCTTGGCCTTCACCCCCAGCAAGCTCTCCAGGATGGCCACCAGCTTCGTCACCGGAACCGGCGAGGTGTTACCGAGGTTGTACACCCGCAGCTGCGCCGGCCCGCTCTTTGCCCCGCCGCCACCGGCGCCGGTGCTCCTCTCCGCCGTGTCCAGCGCCGCCAGGCAGCCCTCTACGACGTCGCCGATGAAGGTGAAATCCCTCGCCACCTCCCCGCCGCCGGCGGCCTCGAAGACGGTGATGTGCTTGCCGGCGAGAATGTCCCTGGTGAAGGAGAAGTAGGCCATGTCGGGGCGCCCCCATGGCCCGTACACGGTGAAGAAGCGGAGCCCCGTGAGGGAGAGCCCGTAGATGTGGTTGTAGACGTGGGCGATCTCCTCGCCGGCCTTCTTGGTGGCGGCGTAGAGCGAGGCGGGGCGGTCGGTGCGGTGGGCCTCCGAGAAGGGGCGACCCTCGTTGAGGCCATAGACGGAGGAGGAGGACGCCCACACGACGGCCGGCGGCGGGTCTGCGCGCTTGGCGGCGGCCTCGAGCAGCGACACGAAACCAGCGACGTTGGAGTGGACGTACGACTGCGGGCTGCGCATGGCGTAGCGCACGCCGGCCTGTGCGGCGAGGTGGAGGACGTGGGTGAACGGAAAGGCGCGGAAGAGCGCCGCCAGCAGGGCACCGTCATTGAGGTCACCCTCCGCCACGAAGACGCCGCGCGCCGACAGGAGCGCCGCGCGGCGCCGCTTCAGCGAGGTGGCGTAGTAGGCGTTGAAGTTGTCAAGCCCCACCACGCCGTCGCCGCGCTCTTTGAGGGCCAGAGAGCAGTGGGTGCCTATGAACCCCGCCGCACCGGTGACGAGCACCGACAGCCCCCCGCCCCGCGGCGGCTCCGCCGACCGCCGGATGGCGGCCTCCCAGCCACCGCCGTACAGGGCGGAGAAGAGGAGGCTCCGGCGGGAGGAGAAGGAAGGGGAACGGGAGAGGATTGGGTGAGGTAGCGTGAAGAAGAGGAGCAGGAGGAAGAGGGCTAGGAGAGTCGCGCGGAAGAGGAGCTTGGAGGCAGCGGGAGCCAGCCTGCCGGAGCCCCCAGGGCGGAGGTAGCTACCGTAGCGCTCCAGTTTGACTGTCTTGGTCTTCTCCGGCGGCGCCATGGGCAGAGACGAGAATGATGGAGAAAGAAGGCGGGTTGTGGGGAGGGAACAGGAACGGGAGGGAGAAGGGGAAGGATGGGAAGCTTGGGATCTGCTTCCTTCCCCCCTCCCCGCAGATTCATATAAAGGAGAGGGCAAGAGAGAGAAAGTAGAGTAGTGAGATACAGTGCAGCTTGTGGGGTTAGAGAGAGAGGGTGTCGAAATGGGGTAAGCTTGAGGCTCCACTCCCCTTCCTCGCTTCTCGATCTAGTTCGTGAATGGAACTTAGAAATTTTTTTGTAAGACCCTCTAGGAAATATCCTGTTGGAGATATGCCCGTTTGCCCTCATGTACGATCCTTCGAAAAGTGAGACTTACTGCTGATATAGTCCCGAGTTTGGGGCCACTTGTCTAAACCCGCGAGAGTGAGGACCCAGATGATAAATTCACAGGGGGAAGGGTAACATGATGAAATCCTCCGACGTGGTCTACTCATGGCAGTGGCAAGACACCTTGTGCCGTATGGATGCTGACTTCTGGTTGGATATCTCACGTCAGTCGGCAGAGAGAGAGAGAGAGAGAGAGAGAGGTCAGCCTATTGTCGTCCAGTCAAACGAGTCAGTTCACCGAGCTTATTTTTTAAAAATAATGCGTAAATTTATTTTCAGACACCTTTGTTTTCACAATAAAAGAGAAATTCAATCTGCTAGCTAGATAACTTTCGGAAAAACTTTTGAACTAAATTGGTCAAAAAATTATAATATAGATGACTCTCTCTCTCTCTCTCTCTCTCTCTCTCTCTCTCTCTCTCTCTCTCTCTCTCTCTCTCTCTCTCTCTCTCTCTCTCTCTCTCTCTCTCTCTCTCTCTCTCTCTCTCTCTCTCTCTATATATATATATATATATATATCAATCTATTTATCTATCTATCTTTCTTTCTCTATCTCTAATGGCAAGATGGAAAGTATTTATTAACTACTCTTTAATCGGATAAGTTTCAATGGGTCCATTAGCTAAGAGATGAACTAGTTTTATAAACATAACACGGGCGAGAGGATAGAGAGGTAGGGACGAATAAACCAGATAGAGAGGAGAGAGGAGATAGAGAGAGAGAGAGAGAGAGAGAGAGAGAGAGAGAGAGAACCAGGCACATGGTGATGAGCCTGGCAGCCCAGCCGCCATGAAAATAACACACTGGAGAGGAGTCGGCGAGCCACGACATCACCCGGACGCCGCACGTACGTGAATCCTCGGTGCCTTGTTCTATGTCCAGCTTTCTCCTTCATTCCCAAGAAGAGAGAAGAGAGAGGAGAGAGAAAGAGTAGAGTCCGCGTTTTACTCTCTCTCCGCGTTACGTTTTACTCTGTTCTTCTCGGGACTCGAGAGGGGGGGGGAGTCCAGCCGGCTTCATTCGACGGCGTAGAGAGACACAGAGAGATGTCGGTGGGAAGAGAGAGAGAGAGAGAGTCCAGCCGGCTTCATTCGATGGCGTAGAGAGACACAGAGAGATGTCGGTGGGAAGAGAGAGAGAGCGTCCATTCGACGCGGAGTCACATGGCGACGGTGGCCCCATGAACCTGAGCTTCTCTTCGTTCCATCATCTTCCGTCTTCGTTCTCACCATTTTGCGCGGAACTCGCGACGATTCTACTTCCCACTGGCTCCTACCATTACTAGGAAAATCCCACCGATCCGAGTTTACAATTAATATGCTCAAATCAAGTCAGAAATGGCGGATTTTGTTTCATCAAACAAGGACCTTGGAATATCGCCCCAGTAAACAAAATTTAAACATTTGCATTTTAAATCGGAGGGCCCATTGGGCCGGGATCTAAACCTTTCCAAGCCAAGAATAATCCTAACATATTTTTAAGAGGCTCCGAGAAAAAATCTAAAACATTTACATGAAGAAGTAAAAAATATATAATTTAGTAATTTTGAATAATCCACCAATTTACTAAAATCAGGAGATATCAGCATTTAATATTTCTAATGAATGAAGATGATATGCCTCATCCATGCATCTTAATGCATACAAATAGTTCATATTCTTCAATTTTTGGTCCAAAGGCCATGAAGCATTAAGAAAGTGTTGGAGTATAAGGAATTAATATTTATTTATACATTTGCTTTTTTCTATTGCATTTTTGTCCTCATACTAGTTTCATCCATTGATGTAGAACAAACATGATCCAATATGGTTTAATTCTTTGGATCTTGTATAAATACAGAACTTAATTTATCTTTAAGAGTGAACTTTAATTTTTTTTCTTCTCCAGCTGAGACTTAACTGGCATTGGCTTAGGCTTTTCTCATCCAATATAGTACTAGAGTTAGAGCTTTGATTGCATCTTCTTATCTCTCATTTACTTTGAACCCATTCTTCTTGTCCACCTTATACCATAAATTATTGGTTCATCTTCCATATATACTACAAATTACTATTTTTCTTCTTATTTTTTGGCTTGCCTATGAATAGAGGTGAGATTACTATTGAAAGCCATTTAGTGAGAGAGTGATTCATGCTTGAAATCATAGAGTTGGCCTCTACATCACAATATACAACATATGGGCATTGTAAACAATGATTAGAATTGTCGAATATCCACATGGAATATAAGCTATATTGAAAGAATTTCCTCTTTTATTTAGGTAGTGTTGAAAGGGAAAGGAAAGATTATCCATCTCTATAACACAACCTGATTCAAAAGATCCTTGATCCATAAGCACAAAGAAGACGATTTGATAATTATGAATGGTTATGGAGTACCATGATCTTGAAAATCTGTTATTGGCTGCATCCAAAGACATTTGAGACACTATTATTCAGACCTACTCCAAAGCTTGAGATGAAAGCGTATGAATAGATAGCAAAACCCATGGCTATAAAGCAAGGAAATAAGATGGTGGCAGAATATCCAATTCAATTGAAGGCAGTGTGGTAGGAAATTGATCATGACATAGTAAAACAAGATGCCTAAAAGATAGACTTATTATAAGGGGGACTATCTAGAATGAGATAAGATATCTATGTTTTTCTATTGGACTCAGTTCATAATTTAATTAGGTGGGAGTCTAGATTATTGGTTAAGAAAATGTCACAAACTTTAATAAAACAATACCACTAGTTAGAAATGAAGAAAGTAGGAGCAACCTCATACTTGAATCACATAAGATGGAAAACTCAAGATTTGTGGCTAGACATAACAATAATTCAACCAAGAAAACAAAGAGCAAGTCCACTCAACCTCCTTCTAGTCAAGGTAAACCTCAAAATACCAACCAGTGACAGGCGGTCTACCTCAAATTATTGCACTTTTTTTTATGACAATCAGTGACATAATCTATTAATAAATAGAATGTGACAATATGGTCAAGTACAGAACTTAAATTCTAAGCAATGACTCCAAGTATATGTCAACTATTTTAAATAAATATGATTATAGAAGATTTAAAAATTAAGAGAGATTTTTCCATAGAGTTATAATTGATCAGCACTTCATTAAAAAAAAGTTCAGAAATTACTTAATTTTTATTAAAAAGACTAACATTCTTAAGTCTTCTATTCAATCTAAGGATGAATGAATGACATCTATTCACTAACTTGGGGAGTATTGAAGTATAAGAACTTGGTGTTTATTGTAATTTGATTGTTTTTATTGCATTTTTATCTTCATACTAATTTGGCGCAATCCAATTCACTATAAGAATCAGTCCAATCCAATATAGTGCACATCTGTCGGCTTGTATCAATACCAGACCGGATTTATCCTTACTATTGAATTTCATTTCTCTCTTATCCACCTGCATCTTGACTAGTAGCGGCCTTTAGGGTTTTCTCCTTCGACCAAAGGAAATATCATTAAGGACATAGTATAAATTTGGCTATAGAATCTATGACTCCATGTCTTCATGGACTTACATAAAAACTCCTACATCTATGACAAATAAACCTTGCCTCAATGGAAAAGTCACTTTACTTACCATGATTCACTAGAATCCGGTTCAACAGAAGATACCTACAAACTTTCTGTAATATACAGGCAAATCTTACCAAGAAACAACTACACTGACAATGGGAATGGCCTTGACTTCCCCTTTTCAAGAGTAGAAAACAGTGGAAACATTAGGCTTTTGATGTCAATCTGTTCAAAGCAGCAATTATCCTGTCGTCAGGGATCACCTGTTTATAAACATCATAAAATTCCAATATCTCCATCGAAATATTCTTGATCTGAAGACACGACGACCCATGTGAGCAAACCAGTGAATACCCAAAAATCCTAAATAGATAAATAAATAATTACCAACACTTCTACCTCATTCATATCGACTCTGAGCTCCTCAAACCATGAGGTTGAGTCTTTTTCCTTGAGCACAGTCGCAATGTAGATGCAGGCCAGAGCGATTTTAAAAGGAGCATAAATGAGAATGAGATCCATCCTGTAAGTGTCGTTGACAATGCCCCTAAAAAGGTTTTAAAAAGCCTGGTCAGAACAACTCTCCCCCATCTTGAACCACCTCTTCATAGAAATCTAGCATCTTTTCCCTTTTTTACCAGGATAGGTGTGTTAGATCCGCCATGCCCGCATCCTGCAATAATCTAAACAAAGAAGAACAACCGCATAGTAAGAGAAGCTGAGGACAATAAGACCGGGGTAACCACCACTAGACTGGTCCACACTGGACTTGTTTTCCTTTCGGGCTTGAATCAAAGGGCCTGAGGACCAAGAACCATGAGTGGGGCGGATGAAGGCAACTGATCCTCGATGCTCATGAACCATTGGTCAAATTTTAGTATAAGATGGGGATCAAATTCTAGTATAAGATATCAGTCTGGTGAAGAACAAATAAGTTTATCTGATAACTATCTCATGAGTTAAATCTTGTCACTTGGACTACTATATCAGACAAAGCTTATCTGATAAATCTCAATAACTATCTAATCAGTCAAATCTTGTCACTTGGACTACTACCATTTGGGGGCCCTGGATCAGATTCTGACTATTTTTAGTTTAGGACTACCTCAATGTACAATCGACAGCCAGGACCGCTTTATAGTCATTCGGCAGGCAGTATGGCACCTGACTTCAGATTATAAAGCCAAAAAAAAAACCGATAGCATGAGATAAAGGGAGGAAATGAGATACGTACTGAGCCAACGAACGGTAAGGATGGTAAACAATCAGATAGTAGTCGAGTGCTTCAAGAAGCTTCATTTCCATTTCAAGAATGTCCTTTACCTCGAAGCGGTATTTTTCATCTGTACCTGCTCGAAGAGCGAACCAGACCAACTGAGCAATGAAATGAAATAATGACCATCGGGAGATGCTCAACCAAATTGAAGAATAAAACATGTTCGTTCGCGAAAACTAACACTTACTATGCTTCTTTATGTAGAACACAATCAGTCTTGCCTGGACGGTGCTTTCTTCTGCTTTTGATGCCAGATATAAGCAAGTTGGAGCCAGTAAACGCGGATCATATTCACTCATGCTCTTTCTACAATCAGACAAATTACATATCAAGCACTCGGTGGGAGAAATATGGATTAGTAAGTGCTCCCCACTTGGTAAACTAACATAATTGATGGGTCAAATGCAGTGTGATGAAGGTTCTGCGGGAATATAGCACATAAGGATGCATATGTGCAGGTGTCAAGTCGAAAATCCAACTCTCCATATGTGAAGAAGATGCCAAAGAGTAGCAAAAAGGTAAAATTCATCCTTTCTGATACCCCATAGAATTCATGACTGAAAACTATCATTGCTTGGAATAATAGAAAGATAAGTAAATGAGCAATAGCACCTATTTTTAACATAATAGAAATAATATTCGCTCCGTACATGATAATATTCCCAGTCAGGTCCTGATTTTTTGATGGACGGGGAATAATAATCTTCAAAGGTATCTGTTTATCTAACAATAAAATCTTTCCACATAAAATTTCGTTAAAACTCAACGATGCAGTTAAGTACTCCATCCGAGCAAATCAAACCAACAGAAGCTTCTGCTTGCAGATAGTAGATTCCGAAATTATAACGAAGTGAACTACATATGTCATATACATTATATAATGATCTCGGTAGAGAAAAAATGCCCTGCCTTAAGAATGAGAAAGTTCATTGCACCTTGTATATACACGCCTGAAATAAGTAACTGCGGTTGCAATAACCCTGGAACATTGAAAAATACGTTACAATTTTGTGTTAAAACCTAGTTTTCCTGAAAGAAAAACAGCATTAATGTCTGATTTTCTCAGACTCCTTAGAAGCACAATTGGATTCAATAAGTGACCTTTTTGATATGATAAAAACTAACATGGGCTCAACACTTGCAAGGCATTCTAAACATAGATCAATACAGAAAAATTTACAACCAGGAAAAAATGTGCACCATCATGGTTAATGAAAGAATCATATATTGAGGAATTTAGTTTGTTGTTTTTCAAGCGACCTATCAATATATGAATGCTATGAGATAATATCCGAGGAATCAGGTGCAAACCTTTGCCTCACTTTAATGAGTTGAGCGAGTTTCCATATATCTGCAATCATATTTCAAATTAGTAAAACATAGACATGGACCTTCTTTGCACAGAGAATGCGAAAAAAAACCATGTCAGAAAACCATCAATACTGGGTGTCATCCCTCACACATGAGCAATGATTAGCAAGACACAGAAAAGATACCTACTCACTATGGAAGATAGCGAAGAAGTGGTTCGTAAAAAAATTATAATCCAATAGATCTGACCAACTTCTTACTATTGAAATAGCTATTGATGTCACAAGGAGACTGCAGTGCCTCAAGATATAGGTCAATCTTCCAAACTTTGTTTCAAAGAGACCCAGAAAAGATACCGAAGAATTCATAAAAAAAACATACCAAGAAGGGTTTATACAACACATTAAATGTTACTATAGATAAAAAATGAACTGGAATATTATATTATAAAATAAATAAATAACAGGTATAAATATGAAGCCACATAATGAGGCCTACAAGTTCATTCAATGTACTCTTTCAATTCTAGCACATAATTCCGAGTAGTAGGTTTATTTTTATTTCATCAAGCAATAAGAAATATAATTCCCTACCATAGTATTATGGATAATCCATTTGGAAGAATGGATCACCAGATATATTTGCGCCAAATGAATCACTATTATTGATTCTAATGAACCATCCAGAAGGTATGCTGATTTAAAGATATGAAGCCAAAAAGCTTTTTGCAGTATCTGTGATTTCAATTTCTATTTCGGCTACAATTACAGGAATTAAATTAAACCGACAACAGCAATATAGAAATAGTTACCAAACATTTCAAAACAAGCATAAGTTCATAATTGAGACAAGACTTGACATCCATTGTAACTCAGATATTTAAAATGTTGGATAAGCTTAAAGGTATGGAATCTGTCTGATCACAATGGTTATGGTGAATGTAATAACAAAAAATCGTCCTCTAGCCAAACTGTACTACGGTTAAAACTTTTTGCAATGAACATTCATCAAAGATAGGTAAGTATATCTGATCCCAAAGAAATCATAACATCTGCTCATTTCTAATTCTGAGTCGATATATAAATCAACTTTATCGCGTCCAGTTACATGGAGATTAGAAAACGATTTCGTTTCAGTCTACCGACAGTTTTTAGTTCCCTCAGTTATCTCTTTTTCTTTGGATAGGTGTCACACCGAGATATAGGCCTTTTTGTTCCCCTTCGTCTCCTAACTCAGAAGCGAACAAGTACAGAGTGAACTGGTATTATAGATCTATCTCACCTAAACGTCTTCTTTTAGCATAGTCTTGTACTTATCAATGTGCCTTCAAATTATCCCTTATTCAGCTTCAATACAGAAGATAATAAGTGACTACGGTGACACAGGGCATCAGTTATTTGCATTCTGACAATTTAATATGTGTTATCTACTTTTCTGAACATTCAGCTAAAGATAGAGAGAGAGAGAGAAAGAGAGAGAGAGAGAGAGAGAGAGAGAGAGAGAGAGATCACCGGTCACCAGTTCTAAGGTAAGGATTAGCTCAAGTAATTTAGACGATAAATTTTAGATGAGAATTAGGAGGCACAGTATGTGTGGAGTGAATAACAGAATCAGAATTTTCCAATACGTAGCTACCCTGGGAAAACTCTTTGTCATGTAACTCAGGCAAAGTTCTGGTAGGCAACATAGGAGCATCCGTTTTGAACAAAGGAGCATCTTTGAATGCTTATCCCCGGGATAGACAGAAACTATACCAGCTCAACAATCTACTGAAGTATGGCAAACCTTGAGATGGGAGAAAACAGATAGACGTGGATCCTATGTGAGGGGTAATATGCCTGGAAGTTAAAGTAAGAATCTTCAGCCCATTTTCAGCAAGAGTGATATTATCGTTCCCTTAGAGGCGCTACAATGGTGGTGTTGAATCTTTAGAAGGAACTTTAGAAGCGTAAGGGAAACTTTCTAGCATCTCTCAGAGGCGCTACAATGGTGGTGTTGAATAATAGTTGCATAATCATATAAAAACAAAACCTAGTCTGATGTACCCCTGAAAGAACACTATTGATCCCAATTGAAATTTATAATAGCAATAATATTTAGCTAGCACTCCCTATTCTAGATCAGATGAAACACGATTTTAAGTGCTTCAAAGTTATACAGATGAATGCTGCAACAAGCTGGAGCATTTCACTCAAGATATGCTACATAGTCATGTCAACGTGTAGACATGCTGACGAGATAAGTTAGAATCTAGTTGAGAATTGAGGATCACCTCAATGAACCAAACCACTAAATATACCCATTAAAGGTATCCCGTTCGGTAAATCAGTAATTGTACAAAACTGTCTGCAATATGCATCATTTAACTCGGTTCAAGTTTTTAGAAAAAAAATCGAAGAATTTCAAGTGAATTTACGTTCGGGCAATCTAGATGATTTTCCAATTAAATAAGCACATCTCTCGGTGTTCCTGTCTCGGATGCCCCTCCTATTTCATAAGGGCCGACTCAGTATCCATTCTCCGAGCACCGAGAACACATGACAGACCAATGCACAGGGCGACCCGACCCATTCCAGATAGGTAAGATATTTCCGACCATTAAAAGAAAAACCCTCAATCTCCGAAGCCAGTTAATCCCAATTTTTAAGTAATTTCAAACTTCCTCACGCGCAGAAAAAGATGGCCCGTGTGAATGAAACAGGGAAACCCTAGATAGACGCAAGACGGAGAAAATCCGCCGACGAGGATCGGGGGCCATTAGGATATGGAGGGTTACAGTTGGTCATATGGATCTTGATGAGCTTGAAGTCCTCCAAGGTGAGGCCCTTCTCCTTGTCCATAGACGGCACCATGTCAACCTCGTCTTGATCGAGAAGCAGCTTGCTGCGCCATCCATACGTTTACAAATGGAAGAATAACAACAACAACAACAACAACAACAAAGAGGAAGAGAATGAGAGACAGACGCAGGAGACAAGGGGAAAGGCAGATCAAAGCTACGTCAATCTCTGCAGAAGAAGAGCTACCTACCTGTGAGAGGACGTCCAGAAATTCGCCGCCATCGCGACGGAGGACAACGACGGGAAACCGGGCTGCCCGTAGGTTGCCGCCGGAATAAGGAAAACAAGCTTCTCTCCAAGAAGAAGAGCAATCAAACCCGGGAGACAAATGGTTTCTACAAAAAGTTCGTAAAAGAACTTTTTTTTCGGAAAATACTTTTTTTTTGCATTTTTCTAAAAATTATTACCTGCTTTCCAGAGACCAAACCGCATAAAAAAAAAATACTAATTAAGTATTACAAACGATTTGGGCTATGCATTATCTTTGTTATAATAGAGTAGCTATATTTAGCTATGCATTTTTATTAATAATAATAATCATAGAGTAATAATATTAGGAGCGGCAGAAGTATCTACGTTTCATTATTTGTCAAAATATTGCCTAATTTCTATTTTCAGAACATATTCCGAGGAAAATTAAGGAGAGTCGCAGGAAAATCCGAGTTCCTGGGGATTAAAGTAATAAACCGGAAAAAGGACAGGACTCATCAATTTTGGGAAAATAATAATAATTATAAATGAAAGGAAAGAGAAAACAATTCAGGTCGTCCTCCAAAAGTACCCAAATTGACAGCTCAGCGAACATGACAACACGGCTAGCTGATCGATTATACTGAAGAGGAGGAGGCGGAGGAGGAGGGTCATAAATGCGGGGGCCAGCCTTTCAAATAGATGGCAAGTCTTCTCTGCTCTCCGAGAGCACATCCAAATAGAAAGCTTCCAAAACTCTAAGTCAACCATCAGATCTCCATTGACCTAAAGCTGAGGAGGATTCAGTCATGCCGGGGCAGACACTCCTGGGGCGACCTCCTTGAAGGATGAATTCACAGAGAGGCCGCCGTCGGTGGCGCCGCCGCCGCCGCTTGCTCGGCTGCCGTGGCTACCGGCGGCACTGTCCACCCTCTGATATGTGGCGTCCCCACGGCCACCCCTGCCACCGCCACCCCAACCGGCAGAGATGTCGGGCCTGCCACTGTAATCTCCCCGGCCATAGCCTCTCCCGTTGCCGTAGTAACCGCCACGGCCCCTCATGCCGTCTCCCCGGAAACCGCCACCCCTTCCAGGGAGATGCCGGCCACGGCCGCTGGCTGCAGGTGATCAAAATATGAAACCCCCACAGGTGTCAGCAGTTAGAGAACTAGGTAAAAATTATGCCAAATTAAGAAATCATGAGTGCTTCCAACCTGCTCAAAGTCAGGTTCTTTGATTCGTTTCAAAGAAAGAGAGAGGAGAGGGAGAGGGAGAGGGAGAGAGAAAGAAGGGGGGGGTTTAAACGGCTTACGTCTAGAACCAGCAGGTCGTTTTTCCTCAACGTAAGCTTGGCGGCCGCCAATCAAAACTGGAGAAGCCTGAAAACAGAAGCCATACCAAAATCATTTGACGGAATCTGGAATACGGATTCGTCTCTGGGTATACCGGATAACTTATTATTCCAATTTTGGCAAGACCCATTTAATAAAAAATAAAAAAGAGCAGTGATTGCAGTTTAAAGCCCTAACAATGGAGCAGAAAACTCAGATGGATGGATATCTGAAAAGAACCAAATTCATATGCATGAACTGCACAGAGAGATCCGATGGAAGTGGAATTGCATTAACACCTGGTTAACAGGTCGGCTAATTTCTTCATTGTCGTCGATCTCATCAAGTATCCCAAGTTCGGTAGTAATGATTTCGACAAAACATGATTACAGCAGATTCCCAGTTGCCTTCTAAAGATAAATATGGTGTTCCCTTCTCTCCCAAGATACTGAGATATGCATTAAACATGATTTTAAACCAATCGATGCACAGAAGTACACCGCAAGTAGTTGAAACTCAACAAAGCCACTGACACATGATTTTCAACAGATGTAAATTTGATTCCACTATATTCTCTCCTATCATACACTCTGAAAACAACCTCTATGAAGGCCTCCTTAATGAAAGAGCCTTAAGCTTTTTAATTCAACATACTTCCACTTATCCATGATCATCACAGGTTCCAGCATATTCACCACGCTTACTATACAAGCAATAGAAGGCAACGTTGCATGTTGGGAACCTGCGGGCGCCAAGAAAAAGGGGGAAGTGACTTGCAATTGGGCCCTGCAGAGAAAAAGGGTTCATCCCGCCTCTAAACTTAAGCAGTTGAGCCAAAGCCCTCCGACAGGCATTATTCCCAACAATTTATTACCAGCACTTGATTCCTATTCCATTAGTAAGTTTTGCAGTCAATCCACCCCAATTTATATCGTGTATGTCATGAGACATGGTTAAGAGAGTGGAGTCTCGTTCCAATTTCACAACCAAATAGATGCTCATACACACTAATAGAAAAAAAATTGGTAAATGGAATAAGTGAGAGAAAACTTAACATGCTCCAAAAGAGCCACTGAAACATATTTCAAAATAATTATTTGAAAAAACTTCGACACCAAGTAAATACGACAAGGTTAGTTGGAAACGGATTACTGTCTCCAAACATGTGAAATTGTTTACCTCTATTGCTTGTTGAACAGCACTTGCCACCTCAAATTCCACGAAACCAAAACAGAAACCTTGTTGCTGCACCCAAATGTAAAAAATAAAATAAAATAAAATAAAATAAATTTGTTGACGTATTTTCAAAAGGAGTGAAATAAAACTGAAACTAAAGAGAACTGAAAATAGGACCTTGTTGCTTCTAACTTGAATGCCACCTGACTTGATAGGCCCAAACCTCTTAAATTCCTCCTCAAGCTGTGCAGGTGTAGCATTCAAAGGAAGGTTTTTTATGTATACTGAGCACACATCTGCTGCAAGGAACAATAGATAACCAAGATTAAACAATAAAAGAAATGTGTGCACGAAAATCAAAAGATGCAATACGAAAAAGAGGGGCAAAACCTTCGGACTCTCGCACATCAGTGTTTTCAGTAGCATGTGAACCAGAGGCAGGTGCTTCAGATGTTCCTGTCGGGGCAGCAGATGAATGATTTTCTGGGGGTATGATGATAGCAGGTCTAGCAGGAGGAGCTGCAAATGCTGATGAAGGCACTGCGTTTTCTTTCAAAACCTTCACCTGCATGAATTACAGTCCAATAAGACAACCAGGAGTAAAATGAAAATTTCATCATCAATCCGACTAAATTCGAGCACTAAATCATGCACAATGGTAGTTGAGGATAAAGAACGCCAGACTGAAATTAAACTAAATTTATGATCTGCTTCAGTTCGGAGGGTAACTAGCATGCACATGCGCTGTCTATCTTCCTTTAAATTTATCCATACCTAAATGTAGACGTTATTCAACTATAATAAACGGTAACACTTCAAAAGTATTCGATTTCACACTAACAAGAAGAAAATGCTATGGATATTAATATAAGCTGCACTGTATTCCAAGATAATATGCATAAAATTCACCATATGGACGTCGCTTCTCATATAATGCTGGAGAATCCCTAAATAGAATTCTTACAATTGAAGCATAAGACTTCTTTGGTGCTTCTCCCTGGACTCCAGCCGGCCTTGAATCAACGACAGTTGCTGAATCCTGCGGAGCTTTATCAACCGTCTTGCTTTTTGGGGTTTCCTCGACCGCAACTGGTTCTTCCCTCGTGTCTGAAGGTTTATCCGCCACCTTCACGTTCACAGCTTCCTCTTCCACTCCCTCAGATGGTGTTTTCTGCTCAGGAGTTGACTGCACTTGAGGTTGCAGGAAATCTACAATAATAGGAAAAAAAAAAATCAAATCTCATTAAAGCTACTGCAAAGTAGGGTTAAAGAAGTAAGGACGACATATTAGGAATGGCATTCGAAATACCATGCTCATGCGACATGGACACCTCAGGTGCTATTGTTGAAGCATTTTTAACCTGCTGCTGATGATGAGTTGCATCAGTGTACCTAAATATATCATTCAGAACGAAATAACCCTTCTCTTGTGGTGCCAAGAAGAAGGTCTGGGTGAAACTTCTCTTGACGTTGTCCTTCCCAGTAAGATGTCCAGTCACGAGAATGAGTACTCCACCATTGTACGACTCCTGTGCGTCGACGGTTAGGATCTCTGACTGGTATTCGCTGGAGTCCGAGGATAATATCTTCTCGTTTATTGCCTTATTTCGCCAAAAAAACATTCAGAAGAAGGTAGCAATTGATCCACTTTAGACAACAACGTACAGAAGAAGGCTAGCCGCAAACCCCATAATAGCATACTCCAAAAACAGACGGCTCCTACCAAACAGAGAAAAAGCTTAATCAACGGGAGAACGTCAACTACCTCCATCGTGCTGACGGAGTTCAAAGTGCCAGCTCCATCAGGCCGGCCAAGCTTGCTGATATCCTGGTAGAACCGGTGGACAAGCTCTGGAGAGTGAAATAGGATGTGGTAGTACTGGTGAACAAATGCCTCTCCCACCTACGCATACAATTCCCAAACAAAAAAGCATTCGTAAAAATAACGAAAATTGCTTAACTGGAAATAACTCAACCAGAAAAAGAAAACAATTGAGAGGGTAGGAGAAGATGAGAGAGGAAGAAAGGTGATCAGATAGAGACAGCAAACGAGGTAAATGAAGCCCATACCATGCGGGGGTCAGTAGCCACTGTGTGTTGCTGCTCCGCGGCCATCTTCCCGGCCGAGATGAAAGCAGTTCAGTAGGCGCAGGGCACAAGAAAGCCGAAACCCTACCAGATCACGGAAAACAGAGGCAAATCAGCATCCTGGCACTCGGTAAACTCCAGAAATTCCAGTACAAGCGCGAGATCAGCGAAGAAAATCGGGAATGGGCCAAAATCCATGGATCGGGCGGCACTGACCTCCTGCGAGCAACCGATCAGAAGGAAAGACCCCACAAGCCGCTCCTCGCCCCCGCGTCAGGTTCTAGGGTTCCAAAGCTCCACGTACCAGGGCACAGTGACTGCCCAGGGTAAGCAAAAGTACAAAACCGATCGTAAGACCCAATTCCTTCTTTTTTTTATTTATAGATAATTGGACCGGCCCAACTCCACCGTCTAGGGATGGGCCTAATATGAAACGAAAAGCCCACTACCATAATGCACACCAAAGTTTGCAGACAGCCCAATAGACCCATTATGCACAGGCCCAGTCGGTCAGTCAGCTGCATGTCTTCATCTCATGCCTTTGAACACGTCTCTCTCTCTCTCTCTCATGGGCTTCGTGGCTCTCACAGATTTGGAGAGATAAAGGGCAATATGAGCCCATTTTACCTTAAATTAGTCTCAGTTCTGTATATATTTATACATACTTAGATACATGGTAGAGATGACATCTCGCTATTATCCCGCGATCCAAACGCTCCTTAGCCTGGAATCAATCTAATATATATCGGAATCAATGGCGGCAAATATGGATCGAATGCCCCATTCCTGATCAATGGACCTGGCAACCCGATGGGTAGCTGACAATCTTGAATAATCTGCAGTTTTATTGACTTCTGGACCAACCCCTGAAACACTTCAGAGGTCAACTGTCTCCTTGGAAACACGTTTTACGATGCCAAATTCATATTTTTCGTTCAGTATTTTGCCTAAAATGTGTAAAAGATTGAAGATTGGAGAGAACTGGACGAAGAACCATGCCCACATATGCAGGCAAAAGTTCTGGGGAAATATCGGATGAATGCCAGACTATATAACATCAAGAAAATGATCCAATAGGCCTAAGTCCGTTCTACCATGTTTTTCAATGTGGGTGTCCTGGACCTTGTATGAAGTCAACGCCACCCAGCTCACAGTAGGCTGCAGCCTGATGATCCAGTGAAAACAGAGGCTTCACAATAATAGTAAGTTCAACATATTACATCACCTAGGACGAATTCATCACCACAAAAAAGAACCTGAAAGGGGAAAAGCTTGCTGTTTTCCAGAGAAAAAAAAGGAATGGACCCAACATGAACCCAGAAGAGGAAGAATCTTGCTGTTTTCCATTGAACCCAGGTCAAACTCTAAGGGAGATGGCGTAAAAACATGGGGGCTCCGACCTCAACGGTTGGCCTTGGCGACACGTTCGACCTCGTCCTTCTTCTTGATGGCGTAGCTGTTGGAAGAGCCCTTCGCGGCATTGATGAGCTCATCTGCGAGGCACTCGGCGATGGTCTTTATGTTCCGGAAGGCACTCTCGCGGGCACCAGTGGTCAGGAGGTATATCGCCTGGTTGACTCTTCTCAGCGGCGAGATATCAACAGCCTGCCGACGTACAACTCCAGCCGAGCCGATTCGGGTGGCATCCTCTCTTGGTCCACTGATAATCAAAGATGGATGGAGATATCAAAAAAGAGCGTCAGGGTTTAGGAGATTGGACCCCAGATAGAAACTCGGAGGTGGAAAAAATAAGAACATATCAGCTAAGATGAACAAAACAGGAGTTTCAGACTGATCACTAGAGCAGTATTACTAAAAATGCCGATTCATGCATGGAACTTCCATAAGTATCACCATCATCCCCTAACACCACATATGACGGTAGTTAACAGGCTATGAACGCCCAGAAAAGCCTGGCTTGCATTCTCCAGAGTTCATATCTCAGAGCACTGGTCTGGTGAGAAGTCTTCTGAGACTCTGCATACTAGTCCAATTCAGGCATTCCACACTTGTAGGATGAACGATGAACACTAACTCGAATAGTTGACCACTTACTTCTAATGCACGAACCATAAAAAATAAGAACACAAGCATTACTTTCGATAAAAAAAAAAAAATCTCAAATTATGACATTCATGGTCAACGGATGCTGTCATTTAGTAGAGACAGCAGGGTTGATTCGATATTTTAACTTGTGAACATCATCCTTCACTAAAATCAACAAAAAAAGGGGTAATTTTCAGTGATTGTGTAAGGATTACCTGTTGATGATTGCATCTACAATTATTTGGATTGGGTTGGCATCGGTAAGCAGATGGATGATCTCCATTGCATGCTTGACAATGCGGACCGCCATTAGTTTCTTGCCATTATTACGCCCATGCATCATCAGCGAATTGGTCAACCTCTCGATAATGGGGCACTGAGCCTTACGGAACCTCTTGACAGAGTATCGGCCAGCTGTATGGGGGACATAGGTAGCATGCTTCCCAGGGGTAATAGCAATGTAATCTGCCAAGGATATGTCACTGACCTACAAAAAAATGGAATGATGTCGGTCAAGGATAAAAAGCAACGCAAGAAACTAAGGTACGCAGCATTAATACAAGTACACTTCATGTTTCTAATTAAAGAACAATCAACTACCACTTAGTATTTCAAAACTGATTTAGCATGGTACAGTATAAAATCACAGCCATTATACATTTAATAAAGTATGGAAAGATTTGAATTTTTGACAGCGAATGATACATTGGCGTCCTATCAGGCCATCAACCGTATATCCATAAAATTTATCGTGTTCTTCAACCGAAGGCTTTTCTGAAGTCATAAGCACTATTTCTATATCTCTGATGATTTTTAACGAGATATGATCCAAATTCTATACGATCAAGGCCAAAGCCAAAATAAGGGATGGTTTAATATTCAAGTTAAGCAGATAAACCCTCATGATATATAAAATAAAAACTAAAACCCTCAAAATCTTGAAAACCTCCTCTGATATATGCATAGGTTATATAGAAACACATCTTGTGTAGAAAACCCAATTTCAATGATCAAGGGTAAGGCCGTGGTAAATACCCTTTCAACTACAACATCATCAGACTGAAATTATGTCATGATGGCTTCAATTATACGTGCCAAAAAGAGATAACTGCGCACTCAAGAAATGATGAGTGACTCGGGAATTAAAATCGGAGTCGGCCGATTAATAGGGAATGCAATTAGATGGCCAAACGACACATCCGACTGTCTGTTAATCATTACCGAGAGTTGAAAAGGTAGTCTGAAAGAGTTCATTGCGGAAAAAAAAATGCACTAAAACCCACCCATGGAATGTACAAAAAGCATTAAAACATTATAATAGCTGTAAATAAACCAGCAAAGTTACATCCAATAGGGAAAAATAATGCTGTGTAATAGCTGTATCCCAAGCTGTCATACGAAATCCTTCATAAAGCATTTCCATAGTCCCATCCCGTCCGCACTACATCTCTGGCACGAAGAAATAACAGGCCCTAATGCATTTCTCATTTACGACCGAAAAAATCGGAACACTTGTTACCATAGCAACCTGACGGAAGACCAGAGGTATGATTATAGAAGAACCCTTCGTCCAGGATCAGTGATGACCACACCCTCGATCAGCGAGAGCAAGGTCTACAGAGACGCGCGCACCCAAGAGTTCCCGACCAAATGAACATCAAATCCCGGTTATAGATACAACGGAGAGATCCGATCAAGGAGACAGAATGAAGAGGGGCGAAACTCAGCTGACCTCGACGTCCTCGAAGGACCACCGGTTGAAGAGCTTCACCTCTGGCGGAGGCAACGCCTCGGCCGCCATCCTTACGACTTGGTCCTCCCGCTCGAGTACTGGGGGAGAGGAGCAGAGACCTCTTAGGGAGAGCCGCCGCACAGTCGGATGGGAGAAGAGAAAACTAGGGTTTGGGGAGGAGGGATTTTCAAGGGATGTTCTTTGGTTCGATTGGCCTGGGGCCCACGTGGTTTCTTATGGGTCCAATAATAAATGGGCCGATCAGAAACCCAATTACGCGATTCCAGCCACCGCTTTTTACAGAAATAATAATAATAATAATAATCATCTTGTGACTAATATGAGAGAGAAAGAACTCAGAGAATTTATAGTATAAAAAAATGTCAATTTTTTTACGATTTTAAGGCATTATTAAACCCATTGTAGTAATATAATACATGTGTCCTATTTAAGTTTTTTATGCCAAAATTATTAATATTAAAACCGTTGACCACAAGTCAACAACATCTGTTACCAACTAGGGTATGGGCAATCTTTACTTGGATAGGTCAATCTATCTATTTATTATTTATTAATTATATAAGTATTGAAAATTCAAGGAAAATACATGCTATTTTGCTTCATCCCAAGTTTAATGTATTGGGTGGAAGCTCTCATAGGATTATGGAAAGGTTTTGCATAGAGTTTAACGAGGGGTAGGAGTTCTCAATAAATAGTAGATTTTACAGGTACTGAAAAATAAATAACCATAGAATAAATTTATTTATAAGAAAACGTATAAATACCCTTTTTTTAAGGAAAAAAGTGGAAATATGCATGATTGGTCAGCCATCTGCTTTTATAATTTTTATTACAGGAAACTGAAAAATAAATAACCATGGAGGAATAAATAAATATATATATATATATATGCATGGCGGAACTATGCAATATAGCTCAGCCGTATGACTCAATAAATAGTATTTTTACAGGAGCTGAAAAATGAATAATTAGGGAATCAACTTACTCTGAAGAAAATATGCATCTGCCCTTTCGTTTTGTAAAAAAAAAAAAAAAGAAAAAAAAAAGGCGGAACTTTGTATGTTAGTTCAGCCGTCTGCCTCATCGAGCGGGGAAAATACTGAAGAGAGAACCTTGGAGTTGTCTTCAATCTGGCGCTTCTAGGAAGTCCGCCCAGCGGAGGCAGGCAACCAGAGAGTAGATGAGATGGGCCGCAGGGAGAGTGAGGGCTGCCGTCGAAGATCTGATATTTCCATGGAATCTCCCCCTCTATCCTTCTCGTCTGCTGACCACCGCCGCTCCCTCGTCGGAGCCCACCGGCGACTCGCCGCTCTGGATCTCGCCGGAATACCCGCCGCCGACGTCAGACGTGCATCCCCGAAACCCCCGTTGGTCTTCTACATTTCCTATGGAGGACCCGGGAAGGAGCTTCTTGGACATGTTGAAGAGCGCATCGAGAAGCTTGAAGAGCACCGCAGAGGTTGGAATTTTCCATCTGCGGGCGGCTAAGCTCGGGTTGTCGGTGGATGTTCAGGTGGGCACCCATCTGATGAGTTCATACTCAAAATGCGGCTGCTTGGAATCCGCGTGTAAGCTGTTCGGTGAAATGCCCCACAGGAACACCGTCAGCTGGACCGTCCTCATCACAGGCTTCTCCGACATCAGGCAATTCTCTCAGGCATTGGGGATTTTCTCCCAGATGCTGAATGATGGGGCCTTGCCGAACTGCGTCACTCTGGCCAGCGCCTTCAGGTGCTGTGCCGGGAGTAGGGATGTGACGCGCGGCAAGGGCCTGCATGGTTGGATTCTGAGGAACGGAGTAGGACCAGATGCTATTTTGGGTAACTCCATGGTCGATTTTTATGCGAAGTGCGGCGATTTCCATCACGCAGCCACAGTGTTCGACTCAATGCCTGACAGAGACCGCGCGTCGTGGAATATAATGATTGGAGCGCATCTACAGACCGGGGACGTTCAAGGATCGGTTGAGTTGTTCAAGAAATTATCCTTTCGGGATGTTGTGAGCTGGAACACGCTCATCAATGGCCAAATTCAAAACGGCTGCCATAAGATGGCGTTGGAATTTCTCTATCAGATGGCAGAAGCTGGTCCAGCCTTTAGCCACTTCACTTTCTCAATAGCTCTGTCTCTCGTTGGCACTCTTTCTATGCCAGAATTAGGGAGACAGATTCACGGTAAGCTTTTACGCTCGCAGGCTGGCCTCGACGGGTTCATCAGAAGCTCACTTGTAGATATGTACGGCAAATGTGGTAATATGGAATCTGCATCCACCGTCTTTAGCAACATCAGAGACCCATTAAATACGATTTCCTGGAGCTCCATGGTGGCCGGGTATGTTCATAACCAGAGGCATGGAGAAGCCCTCAGCTTCTTCCAAAGGATGTTAGATGAACATGTCGAGGTCGACTTGTACACTCTGACGAGCATTGCCACTGCCTGTTCCCATTTGGGAATTCTAGCTCAAGGGAGGCAGATCCATGCCTTTGCAGAGAAACTGGGGCATGCTTCTGACATCTATTTATCAGCTGCAATCACCGACATGTATGGAAAATGCGGAAGCTTGGAAGATGCTCGAGCAGTGTTTGAGAAAGCTAACAAGGGCAATCTCGTGTTGTGGACCTCAATGATAGCTTCTTATGCCTCTCACGGCCGGGGGAGGGAAGCCATTCAGGCTTTTGAACTGTTGCTGGAGAATAAGATAAGCCCAAACGAGGTGACCTTTGTCAGTGTCCTGTGTGCTTGCAGCCATGCAGGACTAGTGAGAGAAGGATACGAGTATTTGAGGATGATGAGAGAGGACTTCGGGCTTGTCCCAGGCGTCGAGCACCTCACTTGTGTGGTTGATCTCCTTGGAAGAGCGGGCCTCGTAGAGGAAGCGAGGAACTTCATTTGTGAGAATAATATTTCCAATGTGAGCGCTTCATGGAAGACATTGCTGTCGGCATGCCGACTCCAGGGCAATGTGGATATGGCAAGATTCGCTTCTGAGCAGCTGGTAAAGCTGGAGCCTTTTGATGCCGGGTCTTACTTACTATTATCGAATATTTATTCGACCACCCGCCAGTGGGCCGATGCTTCCAGAATCAGGAGGAAAATGGAGGAAAATGGAGTCCGGAGCCACCCAGGAATGTCTTGGATCCAGCTGAAGAACAGCGTCCATATGTTCATCGCCGGAGACCGGTCTCACCCACAAACGGAAGAGATACATTCTTGCTTGAGTAAACTAATTCCGAGGTTGAAAGGAACGGATTTCCACAATGAGCTGAACCTGGTGCTTCAGGGTGTGGGGGAAGAACAAAGCAAGAGGTCCTACTAAGCAATGCCTGTTTGTTGGTTTATTGGTAGATCAAATGGAGCATACTTTAAGTGGACCACTGTTTGGTTTGTGGGAAAGCAAAGAAGAATTCTTGGTACATTTCCGAATTAGGGGACTGGCATTTCCGTATTCAATCCATGGGAATCAGTCCACGGATTAAATCACGTATACTCGAAGTGGAAACCAAATCAGAGCAAATCCATCGTTTGTTTTCTTGGAAACCGAAGAAGAATTCTTCATATGGAGAACGTGTAGAATGCAGCCGGGTTTGGGGATCCTTAGCGAGCCTGTGATTGGGCATTGCAGAGATTAAACTCCATTGTAGGCCACACTGCACTTATTCCAACAAGCCAAAAGGGAACATACTGATGAATTCTTTGAGGTACCTAATCTCAAGTCGTCTGGATCTGAGAATTGTTGGGACCCAAACGCCAGAAACTACTCGTTTGAAGATCTTCACGAATTATGGCAGATTTATTGAGAACTGAAGAAGAAATCCAGAGGAGATGGGTACGTGTGTCTCTACTTCTCTTATGAGTTACTTATGAGGTGTAGCATCTTACTAAATATGCGGTAGCTGCATATCCAATCAAGGGGAATGTGTTGAGGGGTTCAGTTCTGAAAGAGGGCCCATTTGGATTGGAATGTTTTCAAATAAAATGAGTGATATTTTACATTAAAAATAGTCATCCTCAGGTCATTTTTTATTTCATTCCTCTTTTATGATGTCATAAACATGGGTATATGACATCATCACAGTCAGATCGTACTCCATGGGCTTGGTCTTTCTGTAGCATTCAAGAGGATTATTCCCACAGTCTCGGATATAATTCTGATAATAATTTCGAATCTTTGACTTCAAGGATCAGCGAGGAAGCCTTGGTGAGAGAAAGAGAGGTGGTTGGAGGGGGTGCGGAGAGGATTCTTGAGGAAGGAAGAGAAAATTTGGAGGGCGGATGTCTTGGCCTGGAAGAGCGGCAACAGAGGAAGACCCCACAGACCCACCTCGCAGACCTTAAAAGCCACTCCTTGCCTGACTCCCCACTCCTCGCTCTGAACTTCTCTGGGTTGTTCATGCAGGGAGCCCTCAGGGACCGCATGGAGAGGCTCGTTGTCCTGCCTTTCTCCGTCGGCTGCGTCTCTCACTCCAGCGTCGCCGTGGGCCGCGGCCACCCCAAAAGGACCCTCACGGCCGGTGACCCATCCCCTGTACGGCGGAAGATAGCGAAGAGCCTCAGCGGCTTCTCCCGGCTATTCGTCCTCTTCAAAGAGAAAGACGAAGAGCGGAAGATGGAGATCAGTGCACCGACGGGCGTTATACACGTCGCTCACGTCGGGTGGGAAGGCGGCGCCGCCGGTGCGCCACCAGGATGGGACCTGGGGCCCGAGCTGCTCTCCCCCTCGACCGTCTCCGTCGGGCAGTCCGGGCCGGCCATGGCGCCGCCGCCCGCCGTTCCTACCCGGGTTGCCTTGGTCGCTCTAGCTTAGACCTCCTATGGCGGGCTTGTTGTGCACGTTCATGGATGGAGAAGATGGGGGAAAGGAGGTCAGGTCGTACGGACCCCCGCACTCCTATTCTTGCAAATCATACGAGAAAAATGATGGGCGTAATTAGATATAAAGAAATTGAAAGATCGACGACATATAATTTAAAAAATAAATATGGGTTCTTAAGATCGAATTCTGACAACTAGAAGATTGAACTTTAAAAGAAGAAACTTTAATGCTATAGAGAATATGCAAGCGATTACAAAATTTCTTTATCACAATAAATGAAATTTGGAATATGATTTATATCTCATTCTTGAAATATATTTTCTTCTTCTTGAAAAGCCATTTACATATATAAACCATCATTTATCTATATATGCATTTGTATATATCTAGAGAGAGAGAGAGAGAGACCTGCCAAACCCCTTCCCACAATAGAAAATTGCTAGCATTTGGGCGAAGCAATTAGATATGAAAGACATAAAATCCATTATAAATCATTTTTCAAACATTTTAAGCCCAACATTTGTAGGCAAATGTCGTATAAAAAGATTAATCCTTCTAGCATGCTAGAGAAAGAGATTTCACACTCAAAGAACAACATTTCAGATCATTATCAAGCATTCAAGGAAGCTTCTTGCCAAAATTGTCCAAAATACTCATTCTATTATTTCATACTTGGATTGGACTGCTTCAAAAAGATTGGCCTACCTGAAGCTTGAAATCTATAACTGATTAATTAGTGCTAATCTAATTTGGCCACATAAAGTTTTTAGTAAATAAGAGATTAATGGAGTGCTATTTTCTTAATCCTCAGAACCATAAATTTATAATAAGTATTTTAGGTGAACACTTGGGTTAAGTAGAGTGGTTAATCTGGTGGGGGCTAGTGGAAGGCCATATGTTCATCAATCTATGTTAACAACTTAGTGGAACCTAAGGGAATGATCTTTAGACAATCAAGTAAGAAACCTAAATTTTATTACAAGTCTGAAATTGAAAATTCACCTCCTTTCTTAGTTCTTTTCTTATTAACTTCTAAAACCTAAACAGCATGTAAGGCTTGAGAATATCACATAATTAGTCATTGGAATAATCATTGGGGATCAGTTTTTGAATGTTACGAGCCCAAAATTGAAAGATAAAATTGTCTTATATAAAGGTCAACCCCTCTAACATTTCAAGTGAGATTTCCACTCTTTGAAAACAATGTACTCACATCTTTCATGAGCATTCAAGCAGCTCTTCATCTAAAGAAGCTTCAGCGTCACTCAACCCATGCACTTAAGTCAAAGGAAGCTTCATGAGAGAATAATAAAATCATTTATTCTTTAAATTATTGTATTTTAGTACATCACATGTATTCAAACTAACATAGAACTATCAATCTAGATGAGATTAATTAAGAGCTACTCAAATTTGGCCCCATAGATGCATAAATCTAGAAGTATTTGGAGAACGGAGGTTGGTTTGAGCCATGAAAATAAGTGAAGACTAGATGAAACCTTGATATTTAGTTCATGTCCTAACAAGAGTTAGTAGGACCTAAGGACATAGTCCTAAGAGAGTGGAGTAGGCATAGTGTGCTGAACAAATATAATTATTGAATTTAGGAATTTTAGAAAACCTAAAGTTAGCTGGAAGCCTAAAAAAGACTAATTTAACCCTTTCTTGGTTCTACCTATGGCTATGGCCTCCTTAAAACCAACATTTCTAAGTTCATCAATCATAAGAAAAAGTAAAAAAGAGATCATACACTTTATTTTACATGCGATGAAAATTATGCTCCTCACATTTGCAAAAACAAGATGCCCATTTTTTATTCATAGGGTGAAGTTGAAAATATCTAAACTAATGAGAAATAGAGCTTGAGTTTAATGGAAGATCTAAAACCCTAGGCCTCATTGCTTGCTTTCACTAGAGTTGAGAGGAACAATCCAAACCTTGATTGATTCAGCTAGCACACAACCTCATAGATGTAAACCTAGTTACAAAATCAGACAAAAAGTTGAAGGAAATAGACATCATGATATGGTAGTTCATGGTGAAGGGATCAAGATAATGAATACATATAAAATTCATAATAATTATTTAATTTAACTATTGATGAAAATGTTAATATTCTTACCTTAGGTGGCTATGACTTAATTATTGTAGCAGCATGAATGAATGTTATAAGAAAATTGCCATAGATCTATTCAATTCAAGCAATGAGTTTGATCATTTAGTGAATAACATATAATTTAATGATTTTAGTATTGTATGATTTTAGTAGTATATAATCAATGATTCATTGATGAGGATTCATAGATTGTTTTGACATACTTTATAGAGACTTTTTCGTGGCCATAAGTCATAAGGTTTATTTGATAATTAAGCTAGATATCACATCATTCAACTAAAATATGAAACTAAACCCAAGGTTAACTCTACATGTATGCACATTTTTAGATATCTATCATGAAGAGTCTCACATAGGGAACTTTATAAAAGTGATCACTATGGAAAGTTGCAGTCCCTTTTCTTCACCAACTTTGTTAGTAAAGAATCATGACTGGAGTTCAAAATGTGTGTTGACTACTAATCATTGAATGAGCAAATTACATGGGTTCAATTTCCTATACATTAATGGAGTCAAATACTGACCACTATTAGATTAATTAAATAGAATCAAATTTTTTTCAAAATTAGACTTTACATCAAGGTACCAACTAACCTATGCCAAAGAAAAAGTCATACCTTAGATTTCTTCCAAAACATTCTGAGGTCTTTACAAATTTTGGTCATACCTTTCAGCCTTTCAGTTGCACATTCTACCTTTGGGTTGATTAATTTAACTTCTAAGTATGAATTAAAAATATTATATTTGATATATATATATATTGTCATTCTTGTGTACAGTAGTTGTATAAACATTTAGGGTATTTAAGATTAATCCTGCAAACTCGTTATATGTAGAAATTAAAGGTCGTACATTATGACTTGAGTCAACTGCTTAAGATCATAAAGAGACTTTTCCTATAATATGTTCATTAGCAAGACAGCGAACTTCTCAATTTCTGAATGATTATCCAATTCTAGTAACTTTCCATTCAAAATTCATTGAACTATCTCAAAAAGATCCTTTCTCACAAAACCTTCATAATTCCATCTTTAAAATTTTCAACAAAAAGATTTCATAAAGAAAAAGAAAATTATGAACAAACTCCTTTAAAACCCATAGCTCTTTTGTTTTGAATTTTTTAACCTTTTGAATTCACAATATAATAAGCCACAGCTCTACTAACGTTGTATTATTTCCTTTTAGCTATTTGGTATAAAATATATTTTCTTCCAATAATAATACATCTCCCTTCCATCCTCAGTACCTGTAGCAACAGTCTTTTGTGAATGCCTCAGGAGTCACAGACGACTATGGAGGAGAGTTGGCAATCGGCGGCTCCACTGATGGCGGCGCCCTTCTCCCTCGCCTCCAGCAGGAACTCGAGGGCCTCCTCTGTTATAACCTCCCCCGGGGCCAGCACCGGAATCCCCGGCGGGTACGTGCAGATGAGCTCACCGCACACCTCGCCGGCGCTCCGCCGGACCTCCACCTTCCTTTTCCGGGCGAAGAACGCCTCCCTGGGGCTCAGCGCCACCGAGGGGACCTCAAAGGGAACCTCCAATGGCGCCGCCCTCCTCCGGCCGCTGCTATCTTGAACCTCGCGGCTTCCTTCCCCCGCCGAAGCCGACAGGCGGCCCAGCCCGGCGGCGAGCCTCTCCACGTCCTCCCGGCGGGTCCCCAGATTGATGGCGAAGGTCACCGTGCTGGGCCCTGCAAGCTCGGAGAGGATCCGGTGCTCCTCCGCCAGGATCTCATCGGCCTCGTAGCCGGAGATGCCGAGCCCCGCAACGAGTACGGTCACCCGCAGAGGGTCCATCACTGGCGACCCAGAAAACTCGCCGGAGCTGCCGAGGACAGAGATTCCGGCGATCTTCCCGATCCGGTCCCTGGCTTCGCTGGCCAAGGCCACGGCTTCGTCGAAGATTCCTGCCGGGTTCTCGCTGAGCTGAGCTCTGGCAGCGTCGAGAGAAGCGAGAAGCAGGTAGCTGGGGCTGGAGCTCTGCAGGGCCTGGAGGCACCTCCCCACCCGGTCCCTGTCGACCATATCACCGGCAAGGTGCAGCATCGACGATTGGGTCAGGGAGCAGAGCACCTTGTGGGTGGACTGCACGGCCAGGTCGGCGCCCTGCTCCATGGCCGCGGCGGGGAACTCCCGGTGGAACTTGAAGTGGCCGCCGTGAGCTTCGTCGACCACCAGCGGCACACCGGCGAGGTGACAGAGACCGGCGATCTCACCCACTCGGCTGCAGATCCCGTGGTACGTCGGAGAAGTCACTAGCATGGCGGCGGGCCTCTTCCCGTCCCGGGCCAGGTCCCCCATCGCCGCCGCTACCTGCGACGGGGAGACGCCGCCGGCAATACCCCAGTGGGGGTCGTACTCCGGTAGGACGTACTTGGGCACCGCGCCCGAGATGACCATGGCAGAGGTGGCGGAGATGTGGGAGTTCCGGGGGAGGATGAGGGTCTCGCCGGGGGAGCAGGTGGCCATGACGGAGGCCTGGACGCCGCAGGTGGTGCCGCCGACGAGGAACCATGTCTCCGACGACCCGAAAAGTTTCGAGGCCTCTCTCTGGGCTTGCAGGATGGCCCCCCGGGGGGAGAAGAGGTCGTCGAGCTCGGTGAGCTCCGGCAAGTCGTGGGCGAACGCCGCCGGTCCGATGAGCTGAGCCAGAGACGGCGGCGCCGCACTCCCTCTCCGGTGACCGGGGAAATGGAAGCAAGCTACGTCTTCCTCGGCGGCGGCTCCCAGCACGCTGACCAGAGGAGGGCGGCTGCCATTATCTTGGGTCAAACCGTGGAGGGCCTTATCTGGCCTCTCTGTTGGCTCATCGCCTCTTTCCTGTAGGAGAGGATCGATGGAGAAATTAGGAAGATGAAGCTCCAAAAGAGAGAAGAAGATTCCTTGGCAGGAAAACGCACCAGAATGGGGGAGGAAGGGGAGCAGCGGAGAGGGCGAGGCTGCGCCGTCGTCGTGCGCCGCCGTGGGGGCTGCTCGCCTTTGAAAACCCTAATCCGGAGGCCCTGAGAAGAGATTGCAGCGGGACGTGATCAGGAACTGCGCATTCGATCGGGAGATTTTCTGATATCCATCCATTTTCCGCACTCACGTCTGGTGGGCGGCGGTCGATTGGCGCTGCCGCCGCAGAAATCATCGCCCCAACGCTTGGGATCCTCAGGAGAGAGAGAGAGAGAGGCGGCCGCAGACCCCTGAGACACAGACGGAGTTCGCAATACATTTTATCAACTAATTTCTTGTAAAAATAATTTTTTTTTGCTAACTAATATTTTCTTCAATGCTGCGCTCAAAATATTCATATGGGCATGAGTTCATCTTCTTTCAGAAGCTTAGGATAGTGGATAATCCCTTGTTCATCATGGTTCTCATCGCCACCCATTCATGTCCAATGCCTTGCTCATAGCAGTATACTAATGCCTCTTGTAATAAATAATACATGTTCTATTCAATGATTTTGATGTTAAGGATCAACAAGATGACAGATACGCCTTGGAAAAATCATTGAGAAGGTGACTCAAAGAGGAATCTAGAGCCATAATCCTTTTCAAAAAATTCCAAGGTATTAAGAAGGTTGTAAATATTTTATTATTTACGAATCACTTTTATATTTTCCAAGATTCTAGAATGGCCCATTAAGGCCCATTTTAAGCTGATTGTTTGACCTGATAAGGGGCAAAAGGGGGCAACCCACCCTACCTATAAATAGGATATTTTGCTTAGATTAGGGTTACAGAGGAAATATAAGATTTTCAAGCATTGGCTGCTGCTTTAACTACAACTTTTCTTCTATGTTGACTTACTTTCAAATCTCCAAGGTTCAAGGGTGAGATAAATTGATTCAATGGAACTTCATGCATCTGTCCAACAGCTTAAAAGCTTCTTCCTTCAACTCAACATACTCCAATATCCTTTAACAACCAATTTTGGGAACGAAAAACAACTCTTGAAGGCTACATTAAACTTGTTCCTCACTATTTTCTTGTTTATAATTTATTTTGTAGTGTGTGAATTAGTTGAGACATGTCTAGTATATCCTCAACACGGTCACATAAGTTGTTGAAACATAAGAGGTGTGACTACAATAAGAAAATCAAAAAACTTAGAAATTTGAAGGTTAGAGTTGTAGGTTAAGTGGTTAAAATCTCGTAGAGCTTGATTGTAAAAAGTGTTCTTGATTCTCATAAAATTAAGAGTATTTTTCAATGGTGAGATAGTGGAAACAAGATAGTTCTTTCAAAGTGGATGTAGGTCAAAGGAATTTGGCCAAACCACTATAAAAATATAGTAATTTTTTTTTTCCATCTTATTGTACTATGAAATCTTATCATAGTTCTCTTACGAAATCAATACAAGGGCTTCATTGGTAATAGGTGGAATAATATGAAAAAGTAATAAGAAAAGAGTTCATATACCTCTTGTTTTAATTTTACGACTCCTCTACCTCTAAAGGTTATCAGAAGGCTGGCACAAAGATTTTGAACTAGATTGTTGTTATCTTCTTTTGACTAGAACAATTTGAAATGGAAAAGAGTAAGGGAACATAACAAGACTTAAAATAGTAATAGACCAATGTGAATGACTAATTTAACTTTATCATGTCTTTACAATTGAAAAGTCGTAATTTTATAAATAACATATCAATAATTGATGAATTATGATTAGAATAATGAAAGAACTAAGTTTGAATGACAAATATTATTAAAATTTTGATCTTTCTTTTTTGAATCCTTCTTCACAAGATTGAGAAAATTAACATTTCTTTTCAAAATCTTATTAGAGTAAGCCTATCCTAATACCATGTTATGGCTAAGATCAAGAGTCTTAGAGGAAAGAGAAAGAGGTTAACAAAAATTAGACTCTCGGAGAGTGGGTATACCTCCGAAGCTCTTTCCTACATGTGATTATGAACACCAATGGGTCACCCTAGCCTTCTTCTCCTTAGGATGTCATAAAAGTTTAAACTCAAATAATATAAGTTTTATTAACTAAAAAGAACTTCGGATAGGGGTGGGACCAGTTCATCCACCACTCACATATTACTTGCTTAATCATTAGGTTAATGAACCCTTCTTATTAATAAGGGAGAGCTACCTATGATAGATTCCTACTTTAACCCTTTCCACTTCATACTCTTGATGAGACATCTTTCAACATGAAACTCATAACCATCTAAAACCATCACTTACTTCTTTGTGGTTAAGCCATTTTCCCAAAACAATACCTTAACAACAAGAGTTCTCATGATGTGTAATCCTAGTAAAGTTAGTTAAATTAGTCCATGAACCTTCCAGCCCAACACATCAATACTTACATTCTTGTGCTGAACATACACACATACATATGACCATATGCCCATTCCTCTATGTGTACCAATACTATCTCACACCATATTGTTATGTGCTCCTGCAAACTCAAACCTCACTCATTTATGTACTTTGTCACCATCGTGTCATTACTATGCGTATTAGATTCATTGATAGTTCCCTCAAATCTCACCTTACCCTATTAGATTTGACCACTCATGTCATATATGTTCATGCATATCTATTATACTATTACTCATGTTGTGGCATGCTAGTGTGTTTTTTCGTTCATGTAATGTTAGATGTACATGACATGTCATGTCATGTCAATGCACCTGCCACATATGCACACACACACCTAAATCAAAGTTCTTTTGAAAGAACATTGCTCTCCCAAGCAACAGATGTGACAATAACCCTTCACCATATACTCTTTTTAAGTCCTTGGCACCTTACTAAAGTTCATAGTTCTATTAACCTTATCATTTTATGTGTATCATGTGCATCCTGCTTTACCAACCCTTGACACAATATGATATCATCACATGTGCTCTACCGTATCAAAGATCAAATGGCAAGTAAACTTAAGGAAATAACTTAATAACATCACATCAGATAGCTATGGTGATTTCAACCTAAAGGAGGTCAATGATGTCATTGAATTGTGGAGGCTTGAGTAAAAGGTGATCAGTCAATAATTAACATACTTTAGAGTTCTCAATCTTTATCAAACCTAGGTCAAGGATGAATGAAGAAGAGAAGACTTAAAACACACCCTCTGCTCAATTTCTCTGTGGTTTCATTGCATTTCAATGCCATAACTTGGGCAATATGTCATCTTTTATCAACAAACTTAGTGGCATGTCTTATCTTGTCTAACACACATTAAGATTAGGTTGCTCTTACTTCTAGATCTTAATACATCCATCAGATTTGGGAAACACATGATATTAGAATCATCAATTAGTCACTTGTTATGCTACCTTTTTTTGGGTGTACATATTTGATCAACCCCCCCATTTGTAGTTTAAGCCTCTTTGGGTCTATTGATCTCATGTTATTATGCCAAATATGTGGGTTTAATATGAATGCACCTTAGAGGGCTGTTTCTATTGTCTATTTTATACTATTTATGAAAAATGAAGTAAAAATACACTTACACGGTAAACATCATATAAATTTCATATTTAAATATTTGTTCAAACTGATTGAAAGGTTGAATTCATTTTCTCTTCAACTTCCACAATAGTTTCATCAACTTTATATCATGTTCACGAAGCTAATTCAATCCATTAAACTCAATAAAATCAAATCACAACATGAGACCAAATTTTAGAAAGAAAACCTAAAAGAGAGATACGAGTGTGTCAACCCACTAAAATAGGTGTTGACCTCCTAGAGAAAAAAAAAAGCATGTCATGGCACAGAAGTGTGTTCAGAATATCTAAGATATATCAGATGATCAAATATATGACAAATAATCTTTAACTAACACACTTATAATCTAACCTAGTCAAAAGTTTATCATACTAATGATCTAAAACCAATTAAAGTATGTTATTGATATTCTTTGACTACACATATCCCAAAGATTTGACCTCCAAAAATCAAGATTTTAGGCATAATAAAAAACCCTCCATGAGTACTTTAAGATAGTGCATAAAAAACCAACCATCTCATCCTTCACATCTATTGTAGTAAATTGAGATCTATTATCTAGTGACAGATTTCTAGTTGACATTTCTAGAACTATGAGTCTAGTGCACTTAGCATCACATTTATTAGGCTTTAAAGTCATTCTCACCTTATTAATTAGCACTAAAACTTTAGAATAAACCCAAGTGAGATAATCTTCAAATAGTGGAGCAATTAATACAATTAGGTTATAACCCTCATTTTGTACTCACTTGCTTAATTTTTTTTGTTCATAAGAACATAAACACTTATAATTCTCATTATAGTCCCTTTAGAACACAAGATATTATCATATGAATCTTCCTCATTTTTAAAAGTTTATGTAAATATATTCAAATGAAAATTTTATCACATCTAATGTGAAGCCTTTCTACGATACTTTATTTGAATTTTGTCTTGTATTTTGTTTAGAGTTGTATCTAATCTTTACTAAATAAAGACTATAATCAAATTTCATACTAAAACATAGAAGACTTATTTAGGACATCAATTAGAGATTGTGTCCAAAGCATGTGAGATTCTATGTATATTTTCATATTTTGAACTCTAGCTCTCTCACAATCGAAAGAAGTTGATGTATATTAATAATATGTAAAAAAATAAATTCATCTCTTTTAGTAAAATTTCATAAATAAAATATTGAATTTTAAAATGACATGTTGAAAAGACTTGTAGTCATGATACATTAAACCTAAATGTATCTATTATTCCTACTTGAAGTATTTAGTACATCATTGACTCTCAGCATAGCACACAAGCTATCACCACTCAAATTTAGGGCTTTGCAATTAGCAATTATCTTTTATATGAAGTTTGAAATCCGAAGATAAATATTGCATAAATTGAACCTTTTATTTACATGCAATAAAGAACATTAGGTTAAGTGCATTTGAAAAATAAGTGGCTTTGCCCCACTCCTATGACCATACATGAGAATATAAGCCATATACTCTCTAGCATGCTCTCAAAGTGACGGGCCAACCCTCCCACCAATGTGGAGCCCACAAGCTAACCCTTATCCTATCCTCAAGGAGGGTTGGGCCCACAAGCCCCTCCCCCAAGGCAGTACGTTAGGTTTGTCAAACTTTAGGAAACTGCACGTTATGTTATAAAAATGTTTCTTCTAGGGTGAATTTAAATTCATATAATATGAGGCCTGGGCGTGTCAATAATGAAAGATATAGGGGGCTGATTTGATTTTTCCCAAATTCGGGTCAGAAGACCGTTGCCGCGTGTGAGTCGAGGGCACTTCCAAAAGGAGGGTGGGACGAGACCGACCTGCCGGTTGGACTCGTCCGGGGACCGCACCCTCCGGTCCCCGGCGGCGGCCCACGAAAGAACACCGCAACGGACATACCCGCCGTCTGCCGTTCGCACGATCGGAGTGGGACCCACAAATTGGGCAAACCCGAAAGGGTCAATTCCACTTAGGCCCCACTTCTCTCCCTCGACCACGACTGCTTTAATTTAGGTCAGAGACCCCAGCCCGGGCCCACTTCCTCCTCGACATCATCTTCTCCCCCCCCAGTTTCTTCAGAGAGAGAGAGAGAGAGAGAGAGAGAGGGGGGGATCTGGGAAGTATTCTTAGCCCCGGTCTGGTTCCTTCCTCGCTTACCCTTTTTCTGGCCCTGTGGCCTCATTTCTGTCTTTAATGGCGGAAGGCCATCTTCCGCCTGATCTCCCTTGATTTTCTTCTATATAGGTCGCCGGATCGCGGTTTCTTCTCGTTGATTGGGGCCGGGAAGATAAGAGGAGGAAGAAGAAGGCGGAGCACGGTTCCTCAGATCCGGAGCGACGAGGAGGGCTCTTCTTGCCTCGAGGATGGAGGTGGTGCCGGAGAATCACCGGAGGACGACGCTGGCGGAGCAGCTTGCTGCGGCGGCGGCCGCCGCCGCCTCTGCGCCGGAGATCTCCTCCTCCTCTCCCTCCCCTAACCTCCGGGACCTCCTCAAGGTCAGCCAGGACGACCGCCACCAAGACCGGCAACATTCCGCCGCCCGCCGCATATCACTCGGGACATTCCTCGCCTGCGAGAAGAGGGAGCTCTCGCGCGGCCGGGAAGCGCCTGCTGCCGCCACCAGAACGCTTCTCGACGTCATCCGGGACGAGGGGGATTCCGCCGCTGGGGACGGCGGAGAAGCCGCGCCGCCGGCTGCACAGCCGGAACCTCCCCCGTCGGCTGCGGCGCCGGCAGAGCAGCCGCAGCAGATCAGGGTGTCGTTGATGGCGTTGCTGGAGCAGGCGGATAAGCACGGCGGCGGGGCGGCGCTTCTGGAGGAAGGGGAAGAAGAGGAGCGGGAAGTCGGAGGAGGAGGAAGAACGGGAACGAAGTGCTGCGTGTGCATGGTGAGGGAGAAGGGGGCGGCGTTCATCCCCTGCGGGCACACCTTCTGCCGGCTCTGCTCCCGGGAGCTCTGGATCAGCCGCGGCAACTGCCCCCTCTGCAACGGCCTCATCCTCGAGATCCTCGACATCTTCTGAAACCCCTGCAGCTCCTCCGCCGGACCTCTTCCGCCGCCGATGCACCAGCGGAGCGACTTCAAATTTCCTCCCAAAACCAGGCATATCCGAAGCGATTGGCAAGATTATTGTCCCAAATCCCGCACCAGGAGGCAAGCACCCGCCATGATTTCTACTTCTTCCTCTCCCTCCTCCGGCGAGATCTTCTTCCTCTCTGCGCGACCCTCGCCGGAAGATCCCGTAGAACCCCAGCCACCGGAAGCAGGACACCGGGAAGGTAGGGTCCCCTTCAACAGCTCTCTCCCCCGCCGGTGACGGCTTCAGCGGTGGCGCATCGGTGGAGTCCGGCAAGGAGGGAGAGTCGCCGGCGAACTGGGCATCCTCTGACCTCTGCAGAAAAAGGACGGCGATAACTGCGATGCCCGGCGAGGTGATGGCGATGCGGGATTCATGTGATGTCTTGGCTTTTTCCGCCATTAATGAGCATGATTAAAATCATGGTGAAAGGAGGGTCTCCTCCCCTGCAGAACTCCGCCCCCTCCGGTCGGCTGATCGATCCACAACTTTTAATCCGATTATAATTCCGACTTCCATTCCACCCCAGTTCTTCGACCCCCTTCCATCCCAACTCTGATCCATCCGCAGCTTTTGATCCGGTCTAGCTACCCACTTCCACACTAACCAGTTTGTCAACTACGCGCTTTGACTTTCTCCTCTTTTGGTCAAACTCTCTCATGATGAGGGAGAATATCATATGCTTGTAAGATTATTTTAATTATCCATAAACTTAAACCAGCAAAAAAATTAAAAAATATATAGACAATAAAAACCTAATTTGGGTGATAATTTCTTGAGCATGGCCCAGATCTTTGTCACATCCAAACCCAATTGAGGGTTACATCGCTCAACCCCTATTGTCAATGTATATTAATTGATAATAATATTGATATTTTCTTATTGATCCAACCCATCTTTGACTTCTAGCTGCATTACTATTTTTAGCATTTTTTATCATTTAACATAAGTCAGCGATCTCTTATTTTTCAAGAACTTTTCTCCTAACCCAGCGTCAGTATCCCCATCTTACCCTTTCTCTCTCTCCTCTCTCTCTCGCTAGAGACGCCGTTTGTTGCTTACACGCTAAAGAACTCGGCGGCGGCCGTCATCCGCAAATCCCTCCCATTCCATACGCCGTCGGAAAGCACACAATTGGTGGGGACCAGATCCCCCCATCCTCTGGTAATATTAGACCCTTTATTAATTACCTCCAATTAATATTCCTAATAATTGCTACCAAGTTATTTAATCAAATAATCCAAATTAACATACAGTGCCTCAAGCCACTGCTACTTGCCCAATATGACTAGCTCCCCCACTTGCACACCCCCCCCCCCGTTGACTACTTGCGTCAACCCTACGACGGACGACCATCAAATAGGATAATTACGAATGTGGGCACGGGGGGTTGAGAGCTTGGGCCCCACAGGGCATCGGGCAGGCTGCCTAACGATGAAGATCTGATCACCACCGGTGCTGTTATACAAGTCCTGGTTGCGATGCCACGTCCACAGAGCAAAGGTCTCATTTTTCACCTGCAGATAGGGTAGTCGTCGGTCAACACACGTCAGTGGTTTGTTCTTAGCTCCAGCTCCCTGCGAATACTTCGGATCAGCTAAAAGGCCCATTTTTTTCCGATATTATTTGTGCCCCTGCCATTGTGTCGACTCCTAGATTCTCCACGTAATATTATCTGTTATTAAGGGCTCTGTTTCGCTTTATGACCATCTGAATATAATATCCCGGATGGGCTAAAAGACCCCGGAGTTATTATTTTTTTGTGTTTGCCCTTTGGATCCTAAATCCTTGGGGTGCGGTTTTTTAGTTTCAGCCCCTGTAAATAATTGTATTAACTAAAAAGCCCTCAAGGTTTATGATAATACTCATGGCTAACTCAACAATGGTCTTGTGCAACAAACCGTTTGGCACACACTGCAGATGGGTAATTCCAACCAACCAAAATCTCACGATCCTTGATGTAAGGCTATTAATGCATGTGAAGAATATTCTCAGGGACCTATTAATATTATCAGAAAAAATAGAGCCAGTTAGGTAATCTTGAGTGCTTGGAGGGACCTAAAGCTAAACAGGCCCTAAAAAGCCTTAAACCATATGGGAGATTCTCTCAACCTGTGAATGAAGATGAGCTTAACCATGGTTAACCAACATAGAGCATGTGAAGAAAATTCTCAGTAACCCATGAATATTATCAGAAAATATAAGGCCAGTAAGGTAATCTGGAGTATTTGGAGGGACCTACAGCAAAACAGACTCTAAAAATCATTACCATCTGGGAAATCTTCTCAACCAATGAGTGAAGATGAGCTTAACCATGGTTAACTAACATAAGGGCAGGCTCATAAATACTATCCCGAGGATCCATTATTAATAATTACCAGAAAGTAGGGGAGTTTTAGCTAATCCGGACTATTTACATGCCCATAAAAGTAAGCAAAACCTTAAGGGCATGGAAGCTTTTTAGTTATTCTGGAACGCTTACAGGAACCTAAAGCTGATGGTGTAAGGCTTTGTAGGGTTTGTTGACACTTACATCCCACTATATTTTATGACAACATTAACGGGGTCCCTAAGAATATTATTTGCATGCATGTCCTTTCTTTTGCTAACCGTAGTTAAACACAGTCAACGGGCTAACCCATGCTTGTGAGATGACCCCAGTGACCCCATTCCCAGGTGATCTCATGTCCCTTCTATTATCAGAAAATATCGACCCTAAATCCTCCTTGAGGTATTTACAGGGAGCTGAAACTAATTAAGGCAGCTAATACATAAATATATATATATATATATGCCAGCTATGATATCGAAAAGAGAGGCCAAGTCAAGAGGAGTACCTCTAAAATTCCATGGCCAAAGCTGCTTTCTCTGTATGCGCTGTAGTCGGGCTGATGGTCCCAGCAGAATCTACCAGCAGCAGGGCCTTCTGTGAAGTTGAAGGCACAGAAACCGCCCATGAAATCATCAGGTGTGTCCAGTGGATCTGGGCAGCGGCCAGGATCATCAGCATGATCAATGGCCATCTTCTCCCTATTTCCACCGTCACCCACTGTGATATGAACCGGGCCACAGGGATCCAATGAGTAATTGAAAACCCGGTTCGATCTTTCATAGGCATGAACCTTCATATTAGGTCAAAGAATCATATCAGAGGACCGGAAGTAGATCCAACAGGTATGAATGAATAGATTATTTTTTCTCTTCATTTCCTCTTTAAATTCTTCTCTTCATATTATGCATGTGACCTACCAAGATTATTATTTATCATATAGTTTCAAACCAATTTCAGCAGAATATCAAATTGCCAGAGTTACACTGAATTCCTTCTCAAATATCATAGGAAATGGCGGGAAATTTTGGAAGGATGGGAAAACTTACATGCCCATTGAAGATAATGTCAACGCCGTGAGAATAGAGTAACTCTTCCATCTCTATCCTCATGCATTCTGCTTCCCTGTAATGGGCTCTGTACGTGCTATACCATGGAGCATGCCAAGTAGCTATCAGCCAGGGAGTAGTTGATCTGTCAACTTTGGCCAAATCTCTCTCCAGCCACTTGTATTGATTCCCTTTAACAAAGAACACACGAGATTAAGCTTCACATAGAAAGCTGTTGGATCTATTCTTCCTCACATGTGATGTGAATATTATAAAATAAGAAGTAATCGATTGCCAGATAAATGGAGGAATAAATAAATAGATAAGCTCATCAAGGTGATCTGCAGCAATGCATGTCGTCATCTTCTCATTCTCTACTGATAAGCCCTATATCCTCATGGCAGCACGCTTTCTACAGTTCCACATCTCTCCTTGATCCTATATGGCATTCGATGGAAACACAGGCTATTTCCATTGCAAAGCTTTTCCTGAACTATGGGAAGTCATTTGATAGTCTTTGCTAGTAAGTATTGAATTCTCAATTTCAACCCTTTGTCAAACTTATTTCACTAGTAACGTAAGTTATTTTTGCCTAGGTGAGCATCCTTAGCCTAGTCTCTATGCCGGAATATCAAGGATTGTCCTCTGGGTTTATTCTGGTTTTACCTGATCTGTTGTAGGAAACATAGGCACCCAGCATTATGAAGTGTATTCCCCCAGCGTCAAAGGAGTAGTAAAATGGAGAGAAAGATCCACTATCTTCAGAAGGGAAAGCGAATCTGGAGCTGTAAGCTACAAACGTCTGATTTTTGGCCTGCATTTCTATCTCGTGGTTTCCTTCTATCACCATCAATGGAACTTCTGACACAAAGGGCTCCATAAACCTGAAAAAGAGAGCATGAAAAAATTAACCACAAAAAACATAGATAAAAGGATTGAGAAAACTCTTAAAAACTTAAAAGATTATACACCATTTGTGCGTCGAAGTAAAAAACTGGACATCATCACTGACATGTGCTTATTTCTTGTGGTGACAACTTCTCAAAAAGTTTATAGGTGATACTGAGGTCTGAAACCAGACATGGAACAGCCTCGATCTGGCTATCATAGGCTACCCTCTGATCAAATGGCATTTGAAATTTACTGGTTATCTCAAATACGTTGGTCAACAACATTCTTTGTTAGTATTGGTGCTTGAAATTATCAATTAACTAAAAAAAAAAATGTTGAAATATCAAGGGATTGCAGATCCTTCTGGAACCAAGCATGCAATTATGAAAACAAAATTAAACTAAGAGAGAAATAAGGAATTACCTGCCCCAATAATCCCAACGAGGCTGGTATGTCTCATGTATAGGAGTTTGCGAAAACGAGCAAGAGTAGCAATCAGATCCAGTTCCATTGGTGAGGTACAGGTTTGCATAAGAGACATCGCCAAGTAGTAGAACCAGATCAGGATGATTTTTTCTCATGTGATTAACAGTAGAAGTAGAATTGTATGTGAGGCCTAGATCGCCAATCACAGCAATTCGTTTTGGGTAGCTCTGAGGGCTTGCAATGGGCATCGTCCTGAACACATGAATGCTGCTCATGGCTGGTATAGAGGGATCACCACATCGATAGTAATATCTAGTCCCAGGCTTCAGTCCTACAATGACGAAAGGATAAATACATGATTGGTGATGCATACCAAAAAAGAGAAATGGTGAACAAAAGACCGTTGATATATCATAACTATCATTTCTCTGTCTGCACTTGTGCCTTCTAATGACCTAGGACTCATATCAACAAGCAATGGCTGGTTGCAACCCTGGCCAAGGATGTATATTTCAATCATGCACATAACGATAATTTCAACTTTATCAAAAGTATGTTCAAACAGAAAATCGAGATCAACATGAGCATCCGAATGCAGGATGCTGGCAACAAAGGTTATTATCAGCTCCATATTCATTTGTTCTTCTAAGCTCTAACTACTTGAACGTTTTTTCTGTGTGAAACTCGTAAATTATTTGAAAGATACCATACAGATACTACCCTGCACATCTTCTTTTTTTTTTACTTTTTACAACTCACATTTTGAAATATCAGACTAGCCATTCTTATACTATAGCAAGACCGTACAGCTTAAGACGTGCCTTTTGCAGACCTGTGCGACTACAGTTAAGATCAAGACTGTGACTCCCAGATTAAGAGGGGATCTCTTCGCTTAATAAACTCCCACAATACTGGAGATTATGTTCGAGATAGCCGGACAAAGAGTAGCTACAAAAAACTGGGGAGTAATAGGACCATCAAACTCATCCTACTCTTGAATACTATGGCGTTCCCTCATATTTTTATTTCATTAAAGACTGTCTTCAGGAGAAATTGCCAGGACAGGAAGGGTACTTGGTAAAATTAAGAAAAGAATGTAGTCACATATTAGACCAGGAAAGTTTCGAAAAGAAAATTATAATTTACAGAAGTCCCCAAACAAGGAACAATAAAGGTTGAGACCAATGCACCTGTGAGTCGAACATGGTGGATTATCCCAGATGTGTAGTTCTGCAGGCCGTCAAATGGATAAAGCTGGCTGTACACAAGAGAATAACCAGTAGTCTCATGATGTAGGGGATACCTCAACCTTCCATAATATACGACGCTCTTGACATCCGCTGGATTAAGCGGCGTTACGCTGTCCCCGATCTGAAAATCCCCTGCAATAAAGTCATCCACAAACCCTCCATCATCAAATTTAGCGCAGAAGAAGGTAGACGCAAATGTACACAGCACAGGTAAGGAATCGCGAAAGGTAGAAAGGATGCGTGGACAGTCAGAGGACTAGGGAAGAACCTGTGACCCAGGAGATCCAGACGGCGTCGTAGGTGGCCGCGAGGGAGACGGAAATCTGCTCCGGCGAGAAGCCGGACACCTTCCTCCGCACCCTCCCATCGGAGTCCGGCAAGTCGACCGAATTGCCACGGAACGCCTCCTGGTCCAGCGGAACTGTCACCGGCTTGAAGGGACCATCCAGGGTCGTCGGAATGCTCCCGGCGGTCACACCCACCGCCGCCAGCGCCACCACATATACCACCGCAGCCGGTAGGCTCATCACTGCTCCGCCGGAGGTGAACCAGAGCTGCTCGGCCACGGAAGAGAGGACATCGACCAGCGAATGCGAAGGTGGCTCCGTCGCCGCAGGTTTGTGGACGACGCCATCGACGGCGGCACAAGGAATCCCCTGGGGAATATTCTGACGGATGTCCTGTCCACTAGCGCACCTCCCAGGCGCCTTCCCCGCATACCCATCCACTGCCGATGGTCGCGTACACCTCTCTCTGTCTCTCTTCCTTCTCGCCACCAGCCTAGCGAATAAGGGCGGGCACGCTCTCCGAAAAAGTTTACGGCATATGCAAACTCGAAGTGGGGCCCACTTCTCGTACCCCCCCCGCAACAACGGCCCCGACAGTACTCAGAAGCCCAGGATCCATCATCAGCCCAATGGGCCATGGTTGGGCTGGGGATAAGAAAAAAAGCCCCGAAACCGAGTTTCGGACCGAATCCCCCTAGTCCGCGAGCTCACTGAAGGAGGGGTCTAAGACCCTTTTTTTAGAAAAGCCCGGAACGTAAGGTGCAGGCCCAGTCCCTTAAAATCATAATCAATGTTTCAGAAGACGGGCCGAGTTAGGAGAAAAATTATAAATATATTTTAAAAGATTGGGCGGGTAAATGGGCCGTAGAGCCCAAAGCCCATTTTAACCCAAGCTTTTCCAGAAATGAGCCAGGTAACCGCTGAGGTGTTAGAGAGCAAGTAATCCCGCCCAATAGGAGTTATTTGATGGGCCAGTAAGCCCAAATACAAGCCCAGCCCATTTTTCAAGCATGAGGCATAGGAAATCGAAAAGGCCCAATGTCTTGAGAAGTCAAGTGGGCTGTTACTGGACTAAGTTACCGTAAATACAATACGGCCCAAATTATCCCAAATATGGGCCTCAAAATCAGATGGGCCACGCTGCAGGCCTTACCGCCCATTGACAGCTGTCGAAACCTCAGACCAGGAGGAAGAACAGAAGCACGCTTAATCAGAGTAACTACGTCAGAACAAAAAGAAGAGACCCGATTTGATTTTCTACCAGGAAAATATATCGTATATTAAAATATATAAAAAAATATATGATATTTAACAAAAAAATCCAAAAAACCATATTAAGGTCAACGTGTCAGAACATGGACATAAAATTAGCTGCAGACAGCCTTGATTCTCCATCTGCACACAGCAAAGAGATGATTTCCTAAATTATATAATCTCTGATGAACAAGTACATAAATTATATTACTGTTCTTCATCACAAACCGAATGTTCATCAGCTTGAATGAAACCCAAAAAAACAAGGCCGTTGACTTGTTAACATGGTCTGATGCCTCAGTGGGCATCACAAAGAACATCGTCAAAAGGTCAACGCATTCAGTTGAAAAACAGGGTCCCATCAGAGAGGAGTCAAAGGGGGCTCTATGGCTACATCTTCTACATTATACCAATCCAGGCAATAAATCCACGAGACAGAGACTATACCTATGCCCAGCCATGCAATTCGGGTGGTCAACCTTTGGTTCTCATGATCGTGATACTGCCTTTTCCTCCCTCTGTGCGGATCTTAGTCTTCACAACGACGGGCTTTCCAGAAAAGGCAGAAGTTGGGTAGCACTGCGAAGGGTCCTCCCCCGTTGATTGCTCCTGCTTCAGCAGAAATGGGGCGTGGATCCTCTGGTTTATATCCTTGAGCGTGGTGTCCCCCTGGACTCCACAGGGTTTTATGAGCGCAAAGGGGTATGCAACAGAGGACGCCAGCTTCGGTGGAGTCGATAGGTAGGTCCTGCTTCCTGGTTGAGATGAAAAGCATGCGGCCATCAGAGAAGAGGGACACGTGCGGTGGGGAGAAGCATTCCTGGTCAGCTTGGGTACCTCTGAGTTTATTGCAAGGGGTGATGGAAATCGTCACTGGCAGCTTAAGAGTTTTCATCTGGCGCGGTACATTGCATCGCTCTATGCAGTCAAGCCAAAACATTAACAAGGTGATACAAAATAAATGAGGTGATTGGGAAAAAATGGTTTAATTTTTCTTCCTAAATTAAGTATTTGCATGAGCGAAAACTAGGGGTGTTAGAAATGGTTATCAGCGTGAGGTTATCATGCGATACATATAATAAAAAGATATTATACTCTTCACAAATGGTTCTTAGGTATATTAAATTGAAACAAAATAAAATGAGGTGATTGAGAGAAAAAATAGTTTTTTTTTTTTCCTAAATTAAGTATTTGCATGAGTAACTAACCTGAGGCATCAGCGTGATTACTAGGGGTATTAGAAGCATTCCTGTGGTCAAAACGATGACGAATTTAGCACTGGAATATTATGGTTGGAGGAGAAAAGTCAATCAAATCTCTCAGGGGAACATACATTTGGTCAGAGCTGACATGCGTCTCACTTTCATTAAAACAACTTGCTAACCAGCACTCTGATGACTGATCCAGACCTTCTTGGCTATCTGTTGTAAGTTGTTAGATATAAGGAATACAGTCCTTGGATGGTTAGGGTTAGGAGATAGAACAGCATCACGAAACAATATGCAAGATGGCTAACCTGAGAGTCCCAAAATCCACTGAAGATTATCATTCGTCTCATCTTTCATCAAGGAGTCTTCTCCGATCTGTAGAAAGATAAGGTCAGAAAAGTGAGCGTTAGGAATTAATATAAATCAGTATTTTAATATCAAGCTAAGAAAAAAACAAGCACCATGTTGCATAACCTACATTGGATTTCATAAACTCGGATGCCAGAAGTTCATCGCTAATGCTAACATCAGTATCACTGGAACTATATTGCAGCATGCGCCTCCTTTTCAGCTGAGAACACTCTCTACGTTCGTCCACACCCTTGCTTTCACCATCTGAGTAGCATCGTTTGAATAAAAATGCGGTAATACCTTTTGAGCCAATTCAATTGCAAGATATGTGATTTCCGTATACAGTACCTCCATTGTCCGAAATCAGGTGACCTAAATCTGCACAGTCTTTAATAGGTGTCTGTTCCCCGAGCATGTATAGCAGACCATCCTCCTTTTGTTCTAGGTCATCCCATAGGCAATGGGAGGTGTCTGTTCAGGGAAAGAGTTTTGACAAGGGTGACAATACAGAAGAGATTAATAGCTTGGGAAATACGAAGAGATATTAGACAGAGTACTACTTGTATCTCTTTCCAGACAGTATTCTTCTTTTTGCCACTCCCACAGTTCCCTGGAAGCAATTCAGTACTACCAAATTACCACACTGCATATAGTTTATCATACAGAGAAAGCATTCCCTCACATCAACAAAGTAGCACAAACATAAATCTTGAATTTCCGAGAAAACCAATTCGAAAAGCCTGGAAGCATTTTAAGACGATGTTTTTGTCCCAAAGTTACTAAATATCACATGTAAATTTAGATACTAAATAGACCAAGACATCACACTCCACTGCATCTTCTATCAGGGAGACAGCTAGAGATGCCAAACCTACACCAAAAATGCCGTTTCAACGCGGCTCAAAAAGATGACTGCTTATCGGAAGCCAATATTTCACAAATCAGAGGGTAGGGTCTGATCGACTGAAAGTCACAGTATTTGACACACTCGGGAGCGTCATGGAAAGCATTCAAAAAATACTGATGCACAAGTACGAATTGTTTACAAAATCACCTGAAAAATTCATGCAAGCATAATTCTCTAACTTAATACGGACCTGAAGCCAGCATGAGAGAAAGTGACATAACTTAATATTAGTGGCATGTGTTTCGTCCTATCCTGTTCACTAACAGCTATTGCAACAATCACAAGAAGTAAAAACAGAAAAAAACAAAGAGAATGGAATCCGTGTACATTATGTATGAGAAATAGGTAGAAACAATATCGACTTTCGCGGGGTGGGAAAAAAATGAAGCCCTAGTTTGATCAATTGCGTGTCTTCCAGGAATCTTGAGTGTGAATCTCAGTCATATTACATGGAAAATACTCCACCCACTAGTAAAAAATAAACTAAAAGCACTATAATTTTTTCCGGGAATTAGGTTCTCACATCCAACGTAACCGTTCATTCTGAACAGTAATAAGACAAGACATAATTTAATTCCATAAGTAACATGGGATAAAGATCGGGGTAACATGTGGTCCTTAAGACACCGCATAAAGAACGAGGCGTTATCCCACTAAAAAAACAAGATCTTCAAGAGAACACAAAATATATAATCACAATCCCCTCATTCCATAAACGGATCTTCTTCAGCAACCTCAGAGGCCTAACAACAGTATAACAATGCCAGCCCACAGACATCAGAAATCCAACAAACTCACCAAGAACAGATCGACGGCCAAATAAATCGCTTAAAATAAATACATAAAGCACATTGCCACAAAATCGAGACGAAGATCTGCTGCAACTCCTTACTTGCTGTTGTCCTCGTCGAAGTCCATATCCTCCCGTGAAGAAGAAGAAGAAGAAGAAAGAAAACCTCCGGAGAAGCGGCGCAAGGCCAATGCAGTTGACCACACGAGCAGCACGAGAATGGATCTCTCCCCCCCTCTTCCTCCCTGCTTCCGGCTCTACTGCAATTGTAGCCGTTAAGGACGGACGTGGGGGCGCGGCACCGGTCTCCCTCCGCCCCTCTTTGTCTTCGTCTGACTGCCCACGTCTGGGGCTGTCCCCAATCTCCATGGAAAAGTCTTGGGATTATTTATAGTGTATTTGTCTGAAACACCCTTTTACTTGCATGAATTTATCTCATATACCCTTTCCCCGCTGTTATTATTTAAAAAGGTACGTAAATAGGGAGGGAGGGATATACATAGATATCACACAATTTACGGGGCTCTTTTGTTTTTTTCAACGAATGCCATCGAGTCGTTCCTCTGTTCTTAATCAAAGTTAAGAAATCAGACCCGGAAATATTTAAATTCCAATTTCGTCCCTGAACTTTGCTGGTCTAAACACATCTGAAATGGTCATTAGAGATATAAATAAATACGGATTATTTTGGCCATTTTTTTTCTAAACCGACCTCCTTGAGGATATTACTTGCACTAAAAACCTACCGACCATCATATTTTTTTTTAACATGTGGGTAAAGGATACAAAAACAATATCATGACATGAAAGTGCCTCACAAAATGATCAAATGGAACAACGTAGATCAGTCCATCCATTTTTTTATAATTTTTCCAATGAAAATACTCCCATTTTTTATGCTTTTTTTTCTCAATTCCCCTTTTTCTATTTATAAGATAAAGTTAATTCATATAATACATGTATATGGCAGCATTTCATTTTAAACCACATAATTATAGTATAAATATATATATCCATTACTATAATTACTTTTATTGCCAACTCAATATCCTTGCTTTTCATTTAATTATCACAAAAAAATGTTTACTTGTGTCTTCTTCTTTTTTTTACTGTCTACATTTTTATTTACATAAGATAAAAATAATAAAATCACAACATTATTTGGGAAATATTTCCAATGTTCATTTAGTTATTTTGGTTTTTTGAGTCATGATTAGTCTCGTGTCATCTCTTCCGTATTTATCATCATTGGACACATTTACAAAATGTGACACTTTTAAGGGGTCAAAATTTAATTATGTTTCATTGAAAGTATAACAATGCAATGAAGTACTCATTACAATTAATCTTTTTTTAAATGTCTACAAGTGCCACTTAACGATTTGACTTGTTTCTAGGGGTATTTTTACAATATAAAAGTACTTAAAAAGGAGAAAAATGTAAATTCTCACTAAAAAATACAACTTATTTTGTTTGTTGCTTTGGCGTGTCATGTTTGATGTGGCTTGTGAACATTTATCTGAGAATATCACAACAATATATTACACTTTAAGGGGGAATTTACAATTCATATTCTGAATACGTCAAGATTTGTAAGAAAAAACTGCTTGGATTTAGTTGCCGTGGCCGTTATATTTAGCTAAAATCTCGTATCGTTTTTGCTCGTATAGCCTTCAGTGAGAATTCTCTTACAAAAAAACAGTATCTTTAGCAATATTTATAAACATCACCATTCAAATAAGTCGGGGATGCGTGGGGCCCGACGGGGTCGAGACACCCTGTGGGTAACGTGGTCCCCAGTAATTATGACCGTTATGCGGGCCTCAGTTGAGTCGATCGGACGGCCAGAAAACACTGATAAGGTGAGATCGGGCGGCTGCCATGGCCCCGTCTGAGGCACGCTGCAGTGATATCTTATACGGAGGAATTTCAGCCGTCAGATAGATGATGGACGGAGAAGAACAAAGGATCCGGAGGTTAGATGACAGCGTAGGTTAATCATGACAAGACATGCATTTTTTATTTTTTAAAAATATATTTTTGGGCTACAATCTCTCAGTTCACGCATGATTTGTTGAAAAGTATTTTGGGCCAAAGCCCAAGGTCAGCCGGCCCATATAATATATGGGCCGAAATTTATCCCAAAAAATAAATGGGCCAGCCGAGTAGTGACTTTTTCTTCTTCTTCTTCGTCTGCTTCTCTCGATGGAGCGCGACCTCATCGGAAGAGCAGAATGAAGGATCGACGTAGACAGCGATGAATTCCGCCATGGAATCGAGCTTCGGCCAGGCGAGTCCTCAAACCTGGTGGCGGGAGCTCTATGAAGAATCCTGCCTTCTTCTGCATCTCCCTCGTTCCCGCAACCGCCGGGGTTTATCCTCGCAGAATCCTAGCCTCCCTCTGCAGGGCGCTGTTCTTCACTTTCTCGTCGTCTTGGGCTGCGAGGTCCAGGTGGAGTCCGATCAGCGTGGTTATCACCAACCCGGTCCTCTCCGTCCTGGAGACCTGCGGTTCGATGCGAGATCTGAAGCAGGTCCAGGGGCACATGGTTCGTACGGGGATGATCGACCATCGCTTTCCTGCGAGCCGCCTCCTGGCCTTCTGCGCTCTCTCGGAGGCTGGAGACTTGGAACACGCCCGCAGGATCTTCTCTAAGATCTCTGAACCTAATGCTTACATGTGGAACGCCATGATCAGAGGCTATCACTGGTGGCGATCATCGTCCGCCGCTCTCCATCTGTTCCGCTGCATGGTCCGGGAAGACGCAGAGATGGACGGCCGGACGTTCGTCTTCGTGCTGAAAGTCTGTGAGTCGTCTCCTCAAGTTGCAGAGGGAGAATGCATCCATTCTCTTCTCCACAAACTAGGGTTTGAGCTTGATCTGTTGGTGAGGAATGCTCTGATGCACTTCTACGTCAGATATGGATTCGTGGCCTTTGCTCTGGATCTGTTCGACCGGAGCTCTGAGAGAGATGTAGTTTCTTGGACAACCATGATCGATGGCCATGCGCAGGTGGGATCCCCAGGCGAGGCTCTGAAACTGGTCCGTGCCATGATGCTCGAAGGAAGAGCCCAACCCAACGAGGTCACCATGATCACCGTTCTCTCATCTTGCTCCCAGTTGGGCCTCCTGAATCTCGGGAGGTCAGTCCACGCCTTCGCGGTAAGATACAGCATGAACATGACCACAAATTTACTCAACGCCCTGATCGACATGTACGGAAAATGTGGCTGCGTTGACTCCGCGCGACAAGTTTTTGCCGGCATGAGGGCGAAGGACGTCTTCTCCTGGACCAGCATGGTCAACGGGTGCGCCAAATCCGGCAACCTGAAGCTTGCCAGGCAGCTGTTCGAGGAAATGCCGGAGAGGAATTCAATCTCCTGGAGTGCCATGATTGCCGGCTATTCCCAAGCCAGCCTCCCCGAGCCGGCGCTGGAGCTCTTCCAAGAGATGCAGTCAACGGGCGTGGACCCCATTGAAGCCACTCTCTTGAGCGTCCTCTCTGCCTGCGCCCAGTCCGGTCGCCTGGACATCGGTCAACGGGTCCGCCATTACCTCACCTCCCGGAAGATCAAGCTCACCACAGCACTGGGGAACGCATTCATAGATATGTACGCCAAATGCGGATCAATTTCTGAAGCCTCTAAGCTATTCGCCGAGATGCCTGAGAGGGATCTGGTCTCCTGGAACTCCATGATTCTCGCCCATGCAGTCCACGGCAACAGCGAAGAAGCCCTCACCATCTTTGAGAAGATGAAGATCGCCGGCACAGCACCCGACAGCATAACCTTTGTCGGCGTCCTCTCCGCCTGCGGCCATGGCGGGCTGGTTGCAGAAGGAAAGAAACAATTCAGAGAGATGATTGACGAATTCAGTCTGCAACCGATGTCGGAGCATTATGCTTGCATGGTGGATCTTCTGGGCAGAGTTGGGCTTCTGGCGGAGGCCGTCGGTCTGATGGAGAGCATGCCGGCGGCACCGGACAGGGCCGCCTGGGGTGCTCTCCTCCACGCCTGCAGAATCTATGGCGAGGTGGAGCTGGGCAAGCTGGTGGCCGAGAAGCTCATGGTATTGGACCCCAGTGACAGCGGCATCTACATGCTCTTATCAAATCTCTGTGCAGTGAGGGGAGAGTGGGAAGGCGTGAAGATGGCCAGGAGGAGGATGAGGGAAGGTGGGATCAGGAAGGCCCCTGGGCGAAGCTCCATTGAGGTGGATGGGGAGCTCCATGAGTTCTTCGCCTCAGGCAGATCTCATCCTCTCTCTGCAGAAATCTACAGGATCTTGGATTTGGTGTATGCGGAGCTCTGCTGGGAAGGTCACGAAGCCGATAGATGAGTTCTTTAAGCATTCGGCCTGATCACAATGTGGCCATTTCAGACAGTTTCACGGAGAGCGCTGCATCGGTGGAGAAGGTTCGGTCGAGCTGATGTCCATTGAAAGTCAACGGGTGCTGACCTGATATTTTCTGCCGACCCACCTCCATTGAAAGCCATGCACAACCTTTGCTTCTGCTTCTGATACCCCACCATTGAAGGTTACCAATGACTGCTGCTACTACCCAAGACTGCCAACTTGATTCTCGCCGCCACCACCACTATTGAAAGTCAACGGGTGCTGACCTGACCTGAAATTTTCTGCCGCCCCACCTCCATTGAAAGCCATCCACAACATTTGCGGCTTCTTCTTCTGCCCCACCATTGAAGGTTGGTTACCAATGACTGCTGCCACTACCCATGACTGCCAACCTGATTCTTGCCGCCACCTTCACCATTAAAAGTCAACGGGTGCTGACCTGGCCTGATCTTCTCTGCCGCCGCACCACCATTGACTGTCACCAACTACACAGCTGCCGATCTGATCCTTCATAGCCTGAAAGGGGATTAAACGAAAGGTCACCATGTAATCCGGATGAATATCATTTATATAATCCCAAAATGGGTAATTGTCAGCTAGGTCTGATTAGTCGGCAGTGCCTAATTTGGCATAAAAATCGAACATTTTAAACCCAAACCCTAATTTTTTTTGACTTTGCATTTCCAATTCTTCAGATAATTTCCACTGAAAATTACTCATTTTAACGCAAATTATAATCTTTTGGAGACCATCAAATCCAATAAAACCCATATATTATATAGTTTCCATGAACCTTATGATTTTTTGAAGAATTTTTATATAAATTAGAAATTAGATTGACATAATTTGCATCAAATGCTAATATAATCGATATTAATTTCATAAATATTTTTCTAGGATTACTTGATATCGACACGTATCTAATAAAAAATTGGATTATTAGTTTAATTTATCATATTTTAAAATGATCAATAAAGCTATGGATTATTGTTATATTATTATTATTGTTGTTGTTGACTACTCATAATCATTTTTGGTCTTCCACGCTATTACTATATCAGTAAAATATTTTCACAACCACGTGCGCTGATATGCCCAACCGTGAGCGATGTTTACGTAAATAAAGTTTCTAGCTGGTTATATGGAATATATATTCGGGGACCTCCATGTGATTCTCTGGTCTTGTTGAGATAAAATAAGGCGTCTTATGTGGTTAAGTGATTATTTGAGGGGTTATGTGAAAAATATCCTCGAAAAAGAACTACGCACGTCCACGAGGATTCCCTTTGTTTACCCGTCACCCGCAGGGCATCATAACGTCGCTATCGTGCTCCTTCTTCCGCAGATCTGCTCGCCGCTGGGAGGGCTACCATCTCAGAGGACGGTGACCAACGGAAAGCGGCGAACTTCCGCCTTCCCCATCGTCTCCGACTCTCTCCTGCCCTCTTTCCCCGTCTATAGGTTCATTTGTCATTCTCTCAGTCTGCTTGCCTGATCTGGGCTGGTGGTGCTCGGGGAGGAAGGAAGAAGAGCCGTGATTTTGGTCGCGGCTCGGCTCGGCTGACCGTGATAAGAGATCTTGGGGATTGCCCGCCGGATCTCTTCAGCGACATCGGAGATGAATGTCTTTAGGTTTTGTGGGGATATGACGCATCTGATGAGTGTCATCGTCCTGCTCCTCAAGATCCACACCATCAAATCTTGCGCTGGTACATCTCGGATCTCCTTTTTTCCAATATTCGGTTTCTTTCATCCTTGGTTTTGTTTGGGCTCTCTGAAAGGCACGAATTTTGGTTCTCGATTGGTGGGTTTCTGAGATTTTTTGACGTGTGATGTACGGAATTGAAGAGTTGGGTTCTTTTTTATGAGGCATGGCTTTGCCAAGGGATTGTTTATTATATTCCTAACTTTATGATACGACAGAAAGTGGAGTTCCTGTCGCAGAAACTGTGGATTTTGTCGTGGATCCTTCGTGCATAACATGACATAGAAAGCTTTTAAGACATGGGAATTGGATATCACAGCCATTAAGAGTCTCCATTTGGACCAAGATACTGTGAAAGTCTAGTAAGAGAGATCGAAGTGCTAGGAGGGTTTAGCCTAGGAGGGGGGTGTCTTTCGAGTATGAGCAGAAACCGGTTAGCCTAGGAGAAACCGGTCTTAAAAGCTTAGGAACCGGTTAGCCTAGGAGGGGGGTGTCTTTCGAGTCTCGCGAAATAGCAAAAAAGGATCTTCTTAGCTAACGAAATCCTTGAAAGATCATGCAATTTTATTTTTTTTCTTTCTATTATTCTCCTCAAATAGGTCTCATGGATTAAAATCTTGTGTGATGATATGAATGAGTAAGTCATGCAGGCAGACAAAGTTGTGGTGTGGTGTGGTATAAAATAGACTAAAGATAGAGTGGGAAGGGGTTAATGTGAAGGTCAGTGTTCAGGAAATGCAATCAGGAAATTAACTCACTTAGTCCCTTCAACTCTGCATAGTTTCCTCCATTGATCCACCCCCTGTTATTAAGTGGAGGCTCATTCTGTTTCATGGAACTTGTGCGACAGAATAGGATTTTTAACCTTAATTACTTGAATCTTGAAAATTAGTGTTACCTCCTTTAGTTTGGGTAATTTCTATCACTTTTTTTCCTTTCCACTTTGCACCCTGAGAAGTTTGCAGTGTATCTATGTTGTTTCCCGGGGATTGCTGTGGTTAATCATGCGTCTTCCTTAATCAGTTTTATACGAAATTTTGTAGCTTATTCTTCATTATTATTGTAATGCTTGCTTTGTAGGATGCAAAATTATCTCTCATGTACAGTAACGTAGTTTCTTAGTCATACTTATATAATAATAATACATGGAAGTTTGGGGCCGGTCTTTTCTGGTGGGTAGAATTTTCGTATTTTCGCATTTCATTACCGCAGACTTGGTTTAAACATAAGACATTGCTAATAATTTTTTCAGGGATTTCGCTGAAGACCCAAGAACTCTACGCCCTTGTCTTTGCTACTCGTTACTTGGACATCTTCACTCATTTTATCTCATTGTACAATACTGTCATGAAACTGATTTTCTTGGGGAGTTCTTTCTCAATTGTCTGGTACATGAAGCGGCACAAGATTGTCCGTAGATCATATGATAAAGATCAGGACACGTTTCGTCATCTGTTCCTTGTGTTGCCTTGCGTACTTCTGGCCCTTGTCATCAATGAGAAGTTCACCGTCAGAGAGGTAAAATGCTCTACTCTTGTAGTTTTACTTTCCTTTACTTCATTCTTCTGGTTGATGGGATGGGATTATTCTTTGCATGATGACCAAATCTAGGGGTTCATCTTTTTTCATTGTCAATATATGCATGTAATGAGAGTGACTGAGAGAGATATATGATACTTTACTTGTTTGGTTACTGTTTGTGCCATGTTTGCCTTCTTTGTTCATTCTTTTCTCCTTCAAGTCTGTTTGAAGATAGTCTTTTATTTGCTGAAACAGGTGATGTGGTCGTTCTCCTTGTATTTGGAAGCTGTTGCTATACTTCCTCAGCTCGTTCTTTTGCAGAGGACCAGAAACGTCGACAATTTGACTGGCCAATACGTTTTCCTCCTGGGGTGACATTTCGACTCTCAAACCTCCAGATCTTTTTCTGACATTTTGAGTCAACGTGTTTACTTAGTTTTCTATAATTTTTTATTGGAGTTTTTTTAATATAGTTCTCTTTGTCTTGTAATTTTGCCCATTTATGATTTTTTTATGAGATAATTGTAATCTATGGTTTAAGTTCCTGTTCTACTGTTTCTCATCTTTTTGGGGAGCATTGATCTTTTTCCTGGAACCTCCTCTGAAGATAACCCACCTGCTGCATTGTAGCTCTGAAAGTCATTAGTTGAGTCTGAATGAAAATTATTATATGTTCTATGCTGATGAATGATGGTTCAGAATGAGTTTGAGAAGACAGGGGATGGGGAGAAAAGTCTTAAAGATCTACACTTGATAGATTATTCCCCCTGTCTATCCACTGTCATAAAACTACCCAACTCTGTTGGACTATGGAGGATCTATAATAGCTTTTGGGATGTGTTGTGGTCCAAAGACAGTCAACTCTGATGTTGGAAGATTCTTTTATCTTCTATTCTTGGAGGATGATTGTGAAGGAACAAACACTGGGTACCTCCTCAGTAGTTCTTGCCCCTTGATGTTCTTCCATGTTAATATGCTGCCTCATCTCTTCAACAACAGAAACCAGCACCCCATCCGAGATAGATTGACTGTGTGAAAACCTCGAATACCTTCATGGAATCATTGTAGAGCTGCCATACTTCAGCCTCATGCATGGATTTCTTAGCTCTCCACCTTTAATCCTGTACTCCTGTCATGGATTGCTTTATAGCAGCTCTACGATGATTCTCTGTGTGCTCCTTTTTATGCCCATCTTGTGGTTGAATTGCACAATAACCTCTACATTGACCTTGGTTTGAACTTTAATGTCTCTTCTATCTGAACTTAGAATGATTCACGTATCCTTTCTTGCTTATAATTCTTCTATCCATGGGAGGACGTAATGCATAGAGTAGTGCTTAAGGTGCCTGTTCGCTGTGACATTGGGCAGCTGTGTGCAAGTGGTGGTTTCCTCTTTTAGTAGCTCTGTGGGAGTGAAGGTCAGCTTCAGGGGGAAAGCTGGGAGGAAGGAGAGGGAAAGGAGGAGATAGAACAAGTTAGGGAAGGTTCAGGAGATAAGGATAGCATTTCAGATTACCACCTCCATTATATATATAAGTAACTTTCCTAATGGCTCACTCTGAACATGTCCTGTCATGGAGTTAGGACTGAGATGGGGATCGATGCCATCTCAAGAACTTTTTGAGCGGTGGCGAGAGTGAGGTGAATTGATCCATGGAGATTGAGAACTAGCGTAATGGTACCTGCCTTCAAGAACAGTGTCCAATGGTTCAGTATGAAATCAGGGAAAGGCCATTGAAGACGTAACACTGGAGTCACGCTCTTTTTGACTTTTGTCTGCAACAGACACCACACTTATGGAGAAGATTGATGGGGGAGGAGCAGAAACTTGGCCTGGAAACCAATTAAACGACGACAAAATTCGTCCTTTATTATTTTTATTTTATTTTCTTATTGATTTTTGCTCTACTGTTAGTCGCAATTAGTGTTTGTGGGCCCCTAGATTATTGGGAATAGGCTTGATATAGAAAATATTCAGAAATTTTGATGATCTCCAACTTTCGGCATGATTCTGGTGCATTAAATATTTTTTTCTCAGGGAAAAAACCCAGTAAATAAATATTTTCTTTGAATATTCCCTCACCCCCCCCCCCCCAAAGTCTCTTTTAAGTCAACATGCAGAGGATCAGATGGTTGGATATCAGCAGCTGTTCAAATATTTGACTGTTATAAGCCCAATTCATGCATGAGGATCAGATGGTTGGATATCAGCACTGTTCAAATATTCTGTTATAAGCCCAATTCATCCATAATTTGCGATGACCAAACCAATCCAATTCAGACTAGAACTAACCTACCTGAGCCTGATCCTTGCTGCACAATTAGAATACATCTCCATACTCTGGGGGCCTTCCTCTTTTCCATCACTGCCTTCCATATTCAACCATCATATCATCTCCAGCTTCTTCTCCACTCACGGTTTCCCTTTTTGATGCAGTGCGTACCGGGTATTATACATGGTCAACTGGATCTACCGATACTTCACCGAGCCGCACTATGTTCATTGGATCCGTGGGACTTCCTTTCCTAAAATCCTTCCAGTTCCCACCCCCCACCCTGTCAGCTGTTCCCATCAAAAGCTAATACACTTGCCATTTTGGGTGCAGCTTGGTTAGCTGGGCTCGTGCAGACTCTGCTCTATGCCGACTTCTTCTACTACTACTTCCTCAGGTGATCAATCCCTCCTCTGTTGCTGCCATAGAATGAACAAACATGGGCTGAACTCTTGTTGACTGTGCTCAGCTTGAAGAACAACGTCAAGCTTCAAATACCCGCTTGAGCTGGTCAGCATGGCGGTGGAGGTTATGTGGCGGAGATCAGCCCGGGGAGCTGGCCAGAAGATCCTCCTGCCGGCGGCGGTTGTCACAGCCGGCGGCTGTTCTAACTGCTGGGGGGTTATTTACGATCAGACCAGTTGACTTTGTATTGGGTCAATGCCATGTGGGAGGTGGGGGGGCCCTGGCGCTGGGAATTTTCACTTATCCGGGCATGTGAGACTTAATACAACAGATCCTACTTTTTACTCAATGACGACTAGTATTCTTTGATGATCGGCGTCGATTCTTTAATGGGCCTGGTCCGGCCTAGGCCCATATTTATCGTTGCATGGCCCTTGGACCGATTCTCTAGACGAGTGCCCATTGCTGACGGTCTCCTAGGGTTTCCTCCGAACCCTTCAGCTGTTCTCGGCCTAAGACCCTGAAAAAAACAGTCTGTTCCTCGGTGGATCCAGCTATGTTTTGACATTGATCGAAAGATTTATCGAAGTTTAATCGAGGAATATACGGAGAAACCTTTTTGGGCTATATTTTCCTGTTTCCATTTGATTCAGTGAAGTGAGAGGGTGATCTAGAGAGAGATAGATAGAGAGAGAGAGAGAGAAGAGAGAGAGAGAGAGAGAGAGAGAGAGAGAGAGAGAGAGAGAGGATTGGGGCGATTAGGGTTAGCCCGTTGACAATCGCCCAAAGATCAAGTTCAGGTCATATCATCAAAACGTACCATTTTCCTATACAAAAAAAAAAAAGTTCTCATACTTTTCCTGGGTTTCGAGATTCATTGGGTCCATCCCTAAGATAAGTCAACCATTTGGGTATTAGATAGTAAATAAATTGCAAAAATGGGTAAATCTTTGGACAGGATTCGTGTGACTGAAGCTGGCTTAGATGAGTCAAAGGCCACATAAATCCTCTTGGAGATGAGTCAACGGGTCAACACCCACCGATGAGTCCGTGGTCAAAATCAGCTCGTCAGAGGACCAGAGACCCTAGCGGAGATAAGTCAGAGTTCCATGTCCCGTTCCGACTTCGGATCCAGCTTGATTTGGGGATTACTAGATCGAGAAAAAGTATACAGAGAGTAGAAGACTTGAACATGATTCGGCAGGTCAACGCCAACACGTAAGAAGCAAAGCCCACATGAATCCATGGTCAGATCAGCTCCTGAATCTTTCTCAAAGGGCAACCCAATAAAGCAGAATAACCATTAAATCTCTCTCTCTCTCTCTCTCTCTCTCTCTCTGAATTCTATGTCTCATGAGACAGATTCTTCGAGTCTGGATTCACATTACAAGTAGGATATGTGCAAACCTGTCGCGTTCATGCAAGACTCAGAGAACCCCCAGTCTGATGCAGCATTGCGTCAATCTCATCGCCGTCCTCCATTTCAAGCTGAGAGAGAGAGAGAGAGAGAGAGAGAGCGCAAAGTTAGCCAACTGAGGAAATCATGGAGAGAGCATTTGAAAACTTTGCCCTCAAAGAGAGATCCCCAGGAGATTTACTTCGTCTGGGGTCTGCTCTCCGCGAAGCCGCCTGCCGTCGAATAGGAAGGCAATGGACTGGAAATCCACGGATTGCCGGTCGCAGTAGGCATTCATCAGCTTGCGCAGCTGGGTGCTGCGTTTGATCCTGAAGAAAACCTCATTTCCATCCTACACAAACAGAAAGAGAGAGAGAGAGAGAGAGAGAGAGAGAGAGAGAGGGAGAGAGAAAGAGAGAGGATAAACTGTGAATAGATTCCCAAGAGCAGAAAAATATACAAATCCATGTCAGCACAGAATCTAAAGGAGCTGTTCAAAGTCCCTTTGAATCAATCTCAAGAACCATAGGAAGATCATTTGATTTGGCGAGGCCAATAGTTAGTGGGATTTGGGCCCTTGCACGGGTCTTATTACCCATTATCTTGTCTTTAAGTTGCCATGTGACTAGTATGTCACCGTTAGGAATGATGTAGGGTCGAGATGGAGTGTTCCCATGAAAGTTAAGGGCTAGGGTCGTTAGGGTTTCAACAGCAGGGTAACCCGTTTGGAGACTGAGAGAAAATTGATTGATTCAGCAGACTTTATGGTTCTTCCAATTCCTCATGGAATGGATTGAAAATTTGACTACAGTGAATCCCATAGATACGAGTTGGACTAACCCAAATGACAAAAACTGGTTCAGACATTCCGTATATATAACCCATCACTTTTAACATTGAAAAAAAAGCATCAGGAATGCCCATGAGCTTCTGAAGAAGTCTGAATGTAGGATGAAAAGTGGGACGCAAGGACCTAAATGGCTACAGTTGATAGAGTGGTGATTCATGCCTGTGCATTTTACAACTTTGATTAATCTTATATATTTTGTAAAAATGACTTAAACTTGTACGTATATTTCAAACAACATTAGCATATTTCTCCAAACATTGAGTTTTTAATGAGAAAAAGGTAAAATATAAATGATATAAATTTTAACCGGAATATTAAGCCGAGTAAAAAACACACAGACCCAAAGGTTAGCAGAGAATCACATGCATATCTAAATGCTGTGTTAAGATTTGGCATATCCTTTATCTCAAGCTGCAATGTCGTAGCAAATAGCCAAAATATTGGTACAAAAATTGTCATAATTATATCTGACCATTGGATACAACAGATTGCTTATACTGCAATGTAGTTTACCATTAATACATAAAAACAAGAGAAAATATTAGAAGACTCGCTCACTGATTGGAACCATCAAAGAAAAACCATAAATGGAAACTGGGCAAATGACGTCTTTATTATATCCTATTTTACTATTTACCATACTGGGGTCAGGAAATGATAAATCTTTTCTCAAAGCTTTCATCTTTTGATCTTCCAGATAACCGTTGTTATTGAGGCTATTTTAATAAAGACGTATATAATTAAGTGGAATGTACAGTTTCTAGGAGGAGCATGAGCATTGCGACCTGAACTACACCGTCTAAAATACAGTGCAACACTAGCTGAATTCATCACACACCTTACTTTCACTATATGAAATATACGATAATTCACGAAATCTTAAACTGAACATTTTCACCCATTCATAATGCCAAGGATGAAATAGAAAAATACAATCATAAAGTTCAGTAAGAAAGCTTGCCGCTAAAATTTTAATAAGAGAAAGATAATCTTCTCATTAAGACAAGACCCCAAGAAAAAAATTAACCAGTCACAAAAATAAAGACTATCAGAACAGGCAGCCACGCACATCACATCAGATTCAAGACAGTACGAGAGAGACCGGTGTAGTGGTATTTTTTATTCGCATGAAAACGGAGGAAATGTAGGGGAGTATATACATCCTCTCTACCTCCATTTGGGAGAAAACATACTAGCTTGAATTGTTTCTGTAACATAATTAAATCTACATTCATGTGTAATATGATGGTAGAGCCCCAAAAATGCGTGAAAGTATCGATATTTCCCACCGTCAAAGGTACGCAGTTTAAGATGTTCCTAAATGGGTTTCTCCCGCCATAATCAGGAAACAAAAGGCTGAATATATGTAAGGATGCAGATATTTAGAAGAAACCAACGAAAAAATCTGTAAAATTAATAATAACCACTAAATATATTCAAATAACATGACAAATGAGTGGAAGTTGTTTCAAATGACACGTAATGAAGAACTATGACTAAACGCGAATGATCAAAGTGCAGGACGAATGACATCAAAGAATCTCAATAGGAAATACAGGCACTTCCACCATCTCAACTAGTAACCACTAGAAACAATGTTTTAATGTAAGTTGGCATGAAGGAGAAGACTCTGTGATCCATGCAACAAAGGCTAAACAAAGGACAACAAAAATAGTAATCACTAAACAAGGCATGGGGAGGCATGGGCCAGAACAGTAAGCTAAAAGCAACTAGACGCTGAGGCACCACAGATGCGTAAAAACTTAGATGATTCTCTAGCACTCGGAGAAGTAAGGTCGTCAAGTCCATTGGAACAGAAGCCAGAAAAACAAATCCCAATACTTTCAGCCAATACGCCAGAAAAAATCATCATCACAAAGGTATGAAGGAAGAATCATAACTACGAAGCAGCATAACATGAAAAACCCACAAGAAACTTCCCACACGACAGAAAAATGGTCCACCAGAATAATAAAAAAAGGCATAACATCACATAATCTTCACCAAACATAAACAAACCACAGAAAAACACCCCAGGGAACAGAGGGGTGAGAAGGGAGGGAAAAAGAGTATCACCTGGCCCTTCACCTTAAGGTTGATGTGCGCCGACTGGTCAGCCGGCTTCTTGTCCTCCTCTTGCGGCGGATTCCCAGACATTTCTCCCCGCCGACGCCCGGCCGATCAGGTGGCACTTCCCAGAGCTTCTAGGGATCCGGCGATTACACGGAGCCTGGGAGGGGGAGGCAATGGTGAAGACCAGGTTCTCTGAACAAACTGGATTTTATAGGGGAATGGCATCCGCTAGTAGAGGTGGGGCCCACATCCCCCACTAATCGTGGCCGCTTCCCGATATTTCCAGCTTTTTTATTCCCCAAAGGGCCCGTTGTTGAAAAAAAGTCACTAAAATTAATATATTTATTGTTCCCAACGGGATGGGCCTGGGTCACAAAGTCAAAGCCCGGAAAATGGCCCAGTACAGACCTGCCTGGGCCCGAGTCCCTGGTTCAGAACAGCTGGTCATTGAAGCCTGCATTTCTTGCCACGTGTACCTCTCTTGATCAGACATTTCCCTCTCTCTCTCTCTCTCTCTCTCTCTCTCTCTCTCTCTCTCTCTCTCTCTCTCTCTATAATGAGAAGACATCATGGGGCCTCTTCACTTGAGCATATGGGAGCCTTAATATGATCTTACATGGCAAAAAATTATGGGCAAGATAACGATTGAACTTTGGAGCCCAACCCAAAGAAAACTTTGGTCCACTTCACATGCACAACTTTTCTCTATGGTATTGGGTCTAATTGCTTACATACTAGGCTTGAAGTTGTTATGGGCCTTCAAACGTTTTAGAGCACATTCTATATTTGTGGGCCACCCATGTCATAAATTTTTGGACTTTCTCGTGTCATGAACTTGAGAATGATACCCAAATCACTGAATATATAACCCATAAAGTTTCAAGATATAAAGTAGTACATGAAAAACACATAATAGTACCATTAATATGGAAATATATGACTATTAGACTATTGAACTGCTTCAATATTAATGTCATGAGTAACAATGGAGCATATCAAGCATGAAATGTCAATATATAATGATATTCCATAGTCCATTAACCTTTTAACATATCCTTATTACTTGTATTTATAGGCATTACATCGTGAAACACGAGATCAAACATATAGGTATTTGAGCTCGACTATAGAGCTCGTCTATAAATGGCAAAGACAATCAGTGTCATGAAACAAAAGCTACCAATTTTATGTGTGCAAATTGTTGTTGAACAATTTGGAATGTGGTCTGACTGATTCTTGAAGAACAAATGAAACATATCAAGATTTATAGTAAGTAAGAGAAAATGTTTAAAAAATAAAATGAGAGACATAGCTAGCAAGTAAGCAAACTTAAAAAAATACATAAATTAAATCTAGCATAAGTGAGCTAATGATTAAAAAATCAAGTAATCTAGCATATGTAGATAGTGGGATCTAGAGGAGATACCCCCATAACTTATGGTATGTTAATATAGCTAAATCAACATGAAATTGAGCACCTTAATCACTCATAGCAAGTCTTCCCTTTTGGATTGTAGTGTTTCTCATCGATTGATCTGAAAAAAAATGACTGATGTACTCTGATCTTATGTAATGTAGACTTCTCATTTACTAAAATATTTTCATTAATCTATCACATTATTTCACAATATAAAATGATTTTTTGTTGTTGTCATTGAATGTTTTTGCCAAGTTCAAAACTCTTTTGAAGTTCTAAAACTTAATAATACTGGCAAGAAAAATATGTAGACTTAGGTATTTTCTATTAAAGTATAATTTACATCATTACATTATTTTTGGTTGATCTTGCCTTGTGATAATATAACAACACATTATAGTCATAGATAAGAAGCAATAAACTCATCATTTTATTTGCCATGACCTTTAGTTCACCTTGTCAGCTTATCTCAAATAAGCTTATGCTTATATATATATCTATATACATATCGATGAGTCTCTAGTTCACCATGTAAACTTATCCCTATATATACTATGCTACTTTATTTTTCTAGGCTTACCATAGAAGAAGCCATTGGCTTATGGTACGCCCTTTAAGCTTATCTATAATAAGCGACATGTTTGTACCATAGATGCTTTAATTGCTATTATAAGAGGGTTGTGAAATCATTAGAGACTTTCAAAATATATATGAAAAATATAAAAATATAACTATTTATTGTACTTTATTCTCTATGTAAATGAATTGAATAATTGTAAGCTTAGAAAAAGGTTTTTAAATTTATACATTTTAATAATCTAAAGTTTCTAAAAAAGGATGAAGTTGAATTTTTCTGCAAGATTCATGAGCTATGTAGCCCATCAAAAATCTAATCATATAAAAAAAACAAGGGAAAATATTATGATTTAATTCAAGAAATGTTTTTTGTATTATAATCTTGTAGAGTGCATGAATTTTTAGGAACCCATTTTATTTATTTATATTTTTTTGTTTACCACTTATGAATCATTATTTACTTAATAATGGTCTATTCACATGAGATAGCCATGATTTAATCTAATTAAAATATAAGACAAAATATTTTATTTTGAACACAAAATATTTGATTTTGAACACAAAAATTATGATATTATTTTTTAGTGATTAAATATCAAGGATGGATTTTGGAATTATCGTTAATTTAGGTGCGCGTAGGGAGTATTTTAGGATATGGAATTATCGTTAATTTAGGCGTTTTATTGAGTCTTAAACAAAAAAACCCCACATTTCGATGTATTTTTAATGCTTAGTGGTATATATCTATAACTTAGCAGGGACAAAAATGTAAAACTGTCGAGAAGGCCGGGCTTGGGGTTTGAAGGAGGAGACTCTCAGATTTACTCGCTCCTCCCCTCCCTCTCCACTCTGTCAGAGGAGTTCGCCCCCGCGGTGGTGGCGCTGCCGTGGGTTGTCTGCTCTTCGGAGGCGGAGGTGGAAGTGGAAGTAGAGGCTCTTCGGTGGCGGTGGAGATGGAGGGTACGATCTGTAGCGCGCAGTTGACCCCGGAAGAGGAGAGGCTCGTAATCAGAGACATCACCATTGCGGCCGAGGCCCAATGCAAGGAGGGGGACACGTTCTACCTGATAACCCAACGGTAATAATCACCTGTTTACCTGTGAGCCTGTGGAAGGGAGGGGTCGGAGAGTATTGTGTTTAATTCACTTGATCCGGAATTTCTTCCCTCTTATTATCGGGAATTAGATTTTGGGTTAATCAGCGGTGCTAGTGCTATCCGCTGCAGCCATTTATTTTATATTTCGTCGATTTATGGTGTCAAAGGTGTCTACGGTGCCTGAGCTTCTTTGATCTTTGATCGGCTCTCGGCAAACTCCCTAATGTTGTGCGGCGGTTCCCACAGGGAATATCGAGCTGGCACTGTGGGGTTTGATATTATTCTATGTCTATAAAAATGCTTTTTGTCCATTAACTGAACCCTTTGCCTCACGTATTAGAGCCTTGCTTTTGTATGGCGAGCAGGAAAACTTCTGAAGCCTTCACTCATGCTGTAGTGCCTCCTTTTCACTCTTTTGTCCTTCTGTGTGAGGGGTTGGATTGGAGGTTTCCCGCAGATTCTTGTCTACATATCAGTAACCTGGTTTGGTCGGAGATGCATTCTTGCTCCGTTGAAGTTTGGAAACAACAAGGCATTAATGTTACTGAAGTTTGAGAGTGTTGTCCCTATTAATGTTCTGGATTTCTGTCTTCCTATTTGTTCAGTATAGGAACTGAACGTCACTAGTCCTTTATTTTCGTTGACTGGGTATCTTTCCCTCTTAGTATATGATAGGTGTAGGAGCTGAAAATTACTCCAGTATGCCAATGCTGCTATCTTGGTTTTGTTTATGGAGGAGATGTGTGCACTTCAGAATATTGTGAGAACTCCTTGATGCAGAATCGTAACTACCATCTTGGATGACTTGGATAGCTTACTCCCTTTGATGCAGATTGTTGCTCGTGTATAAGAGTTTTTCCGGTGGCTAGCTTTCATATTTCTGAATCATTGGCACCATAATTTTCTTTAAATATCTGCACATGTTGCTTCAACATTTGGGTTGGAACTTAACATGCTGGCTTGTTCTGGTTTTGCTGTGCGGAACTTAATTTTATACCACTGTGGGACAACCATGATGAGCATAATCCCATTAATCCAGAATCGTCTAGGATCTGTTGTGATCTGTCAATTGTTTGACTGTAACAAGTTTCCTACAATGTATTTTTTAATACTTTTTTGTAACCTTTTCTTGAGTCTGATGTCTGAAATTTAATCGTCTGTCAGCAGGTGGTGGCAGCATTGGCTTGACTATGTCAACCAGGAGCTAGGAAGTTATGCGAATAATGGAACTTCATCATATGGATCTCATTATTACGAAGCTTCTTCAACCGCTCAAAAGAGGCCTTCAGTCATTGATAACTCTGATCTTATAAATGAAGCCACCTCTGAAGTGTCAAATGTGGGAATTGAACTTCATGATGCTCTAGTTGAAGGTCGTGATTATATATTGCTTCCTCAAGAAGTTTGGAGGCAACTATATGGCTGGTAAGTTCTACTCATCCATATTCTGGGATTGTGTTTCCCCCTGATTAATCGTTGTGTTTATGGTACACTTTGATCCAGATAAAATTCAAATATTAAACTTGGTTGTTAGCCAATTTTTTGCTCTTATTTTTACTTTATTCTCCCTAGTAAGTTGTGATTCAACTGTACTCTCATCAAAATTCCATCGAATCCAACTATGGCAGGATTTGCTTGCTTTGAATATTTTTACTTAAATAGAGCTTCATTCTTTCTGAATATCCATTCTACCCTTGATTGGGTTTGAGTATAGTGAGGAAATTTTCATAATGAGTTGTGAGTTGTTGTTGAATGGTAATTTTTTATGTGCTAGGGATTAGGAGGCCTACTTGCCATAAAAAAGGTAATGCGATCTTATCTGTATCAGGACCTGTCACTGTCTTACTCTGGCTTATTGCTGTTTACACAATAGAGGAATACCTGTTTTCTTATTGAGCTGGATATACTAAATATACGTTCAGATGGAGTACTATCGCACAGAACCTTTTTGGTCGAAGTGGGATAGTTGTACCATTTTTCTAAAATAATACAGCTGATACTCAACCAGCTCATGAAACTACTTATTCTATTGGAGACAACTGCAGGATTAATTTTTCTACATTGCACTTGTGCCAACCAGGTTTTCTAGAAGATTCATTGAGGAGCCATATTTCTAGATTCCTGACCAAATTTGGCATCTCATTCACAGATGCTACCCGCCCTCTGGGGTTCTAAGAAATTTGAACAAGATTGGAAGTGTGGACAACTAAAGTCCTCTTTGTCAAGGATAGATGGATTCTGTTAGTCATCATTTTGTACATTTGGTGCCTATTTTCTTTCAATTATGAAAGTGCCTAAAAATGCGTAGAAAATGAGCAAACTATCATATTCTTCCTTTTGGCAAGGGGAAAACACAAAAAGCGAACCGTACCTTGTGAAGTGGGGTACATATCGTGGATACAAAAATAGAGCTGTCGAGGGTTGTTTGAGTTTGATGCTTTTAGCAAAGTACTCTCTTGGCAAAATGGTTGTGGTGACTAGTTCTGGGGGAAGCTACTTGGGCAATGGTCAAAAGAGCCAAATAGTTTAGAAGAGGTGGGGAACAGAGGATTTCTCTGAGCTATCTAACGTCTCTTTCAGTTGTATTCTCTAGTGTTACAGAAAATGCATTTTTTCTCTAAGCTTCTGCGAAGTTTCAAGTGACAACTATCAGTGTTCTCAATTTTTGGGAAGGCAGGTGGTGAAAAGTACAGCCTTTGTGCCTAAGTCTGTGAGGTTGTGCTACATATCCAGATATAAAGGGAAAAATGATAAATGACATTTACTAGAAGAATCCGCGTCTTATCTAGGGGTGATACTTATTGCGAGAGCCTTGTATTGAAGGGATTGGTTGAAAATCGTTCAAAAGGATTCGAAGCAGAATGTTAGGTTAGAAATATGGAGGGGATCTTCAAAAGGTTAGAAATATGTAAGCTTGAACTGTCCAAGCTGCTGATCTCAGTTATCCATCTATGCTCAAGATCCCCATGATTATGACATAGAAGCTAAAGGGGTTGAAGAGGGCTAATGCTTTTTCATGGAGTTTGTGATAAGAAGAAGGTTTCAGGTAGCCATTCTTTGGAAACAAAATTCTAACGCGAGTATAATGTGGGAATGAATCAGAATGCTTTAATGTACAAAGAAAGCTGGCGCTTCTACTTTTGTGGATTTAAATGAATTTGATTATTACAATTTCCTTTCCACTATATCATTCTGTGCTACACTTCTGGGCTTTATTAATTTTTGTTTTTGACATATGCAATCATTGTACACGTCTGATTGTGTCGATTTAATTCTTGATAATTACTTATATTTAAGATTTTTCTTTATTATATTGATACTTTTTTAGTTGTGGAATAATTTGGCCGATATCAAGCATATGAATGTCACGGTCTGCATGGATAATTTTCAATCATAACTTTTTTTTTTTGCTTTTAATTACAAAAAACTCAGTTCATGGGATTCCACATAAGTATTTCCTTATTGAAAACAGTTATCCTGTTGGAATTGGTCTGTGCCATTCGATAATTGTCATTTTACTTCTAAGATAACCTACAACTTAGTTGACATTATGTATGTCTTCAGGTATGGAGGAGGTCCAATATTAGCACGGAAAGCTATTAGTTCTGGTTCGTCACAGACTGAACTAGCTATAGAAGTCTACCCATTACGTCTTCAGTTACTTATGATGCCAAAAGGGGATCGTGCAATTATTAGAATTAGCAAAAAGGTATGACGATTGATTTTATATCCTTCTCCCATGTTATTTCCTTTCAATAAACACTATAATGCCATGCTGAGATTGCAAGCATGGCCGTCATTCTTTTCACATTTATCCAACACCCCAAAATTGGTCTCCGGCTGGCTTGGTTTGTTATCTTGTCTAAAGTGCAAATGCAATTTACAGGAAACTGTTGGAGAACTTCATAGAAAGGCTTGTGAGATCTTTGATTTGATGGTGGACCAGGTAAGTTCTCAATTGATTGTCCGTATGTTTTCCCTGTACATTTTCAGGTTTCTGGTATTAATACATTCGTTTAAATCAACATGATGGGTAGCTAATTACTGCTTGTTTCACTTTTCCTCTCTCTATTATTCTACTAATCTATCTTTCTGGTTGGATGTGCCAGGTCTGTATTTGGGACTACTATGGTCAACAGAAGCATGCATTAATGGACAACATGGAGAAATCACTGGATGATTCAAACATACAGATGGATCAAGAAGTAGGGATTTAAGACCTTTTTGCTTCCATTTTGAATAGTTTGTTTGTGATATCTGCACGAGTATGCATGTTATTCATTAAAAGGATATGGCCTTGGTAATTTCCTACTGGTTTCTTCCCGACCAAAATCTCCTCAATGGGAAGAAAAGGAGGAAAAAAAAATCAGTGTTTTTATTGAACAATATTCAAGGATAACTTCTGCTTGTACTGGGTAAAACCCTGGAGATGGTGCAACCCATTCCACCTCCACCTTAGCCTAGGCTGATTTGTGCAGAGCCTCTGGGTGATGTGCTGACTATTGTTGGCACCTGACCAACAGCATGAGGGTTGTCCTGAAATACTACCATATTTCCATTAGCGTACGATGGCCCTGGACTCCAGAAATTTGTTCACTTTTCCTATCCCTGCTATATGCACATGTTTTCTATTTTTGGATTTGATTGTGGATGGCCCCATGTCTTAAATTATGATGGAAAAGAGTGGGAGTTCTATTTGTTTTGGCTGTTTAATGTTTAATTATCTTAATTTGAAGTCTATTCGATAGTTTTTTTTCTCATCACAATTAGCGAGGATGCTTTGTTGTTTAATCCTCGGGAATCCAAGAATCTTTTTTCTGAAACCATTGAAAAGTTACAGTCTGATACTCAGGAAACTAAGAGTGTTCCATTGACCAACTCATTAATTTGTTACCAACAGATTCTTGTTGAAGACTATAATGATGGAAATGGTTCAATGTACAGCAGATGCTTGAGTTCTGTTCAAGATAATGGATTTATAGAGAAGGACTCTGCTCCTATGCTTTTAGAACCTAGTAGGTCAAGCTTATCAGTTGCTGGCGGTTTATCTGCTAGCAAGAATGTTTCAAGGAGCTGTAGTTCTGAGCTATCACAGGGCCAATTCCTGGCATCTCCCAGCAGTGACATGGATAATTTCCAGGGAACAAATGGCATGGGGACACGAGGAGCTTCTGTTGGTCTAACTGGCTTGCTGAATCTTGGTAACACTTGTTTTATGAATAGTGCAATACAGTGCCTTGTCCACACACCAGAGTTTGCCAGATACTTCCGTGAAGATTATCGCCAAGAAATAAATTGGCAGAACCCTTTGGGTATGGTGGTAAGTGTTTGTTGCTGCCAGAATGTTGATTGTTTTCATTCTGTACGTTCCATTAATGAGATCCTAGTTGCTGCTTTCTGACTTATTGGTTCTTTTTACTTATCTTGTAACAGCTTCATAAACCTCCTTTTCCTTCTCTCTCCGTATTTTATCATTTGTAGCTAAAGAAAAGGAAGTGACATATGAGGATTCCTGATAGATGAAATCCATTTTCCAAAATGATTCATCTCTTCTTTGTTTGGTCCCTGCATGTTAGAAAAATCTGTTTTAAATTTTATCTAGTGATTTGTCATCAAATCTGCCGTGAACAGTGGTGCAAACTATGCAAAGGAAAAACGCAACTAGTATTCACATCGTAGATGACTATTATACACAAGTACCAGAGTCACAAAACAAGGAAACTACCTAACAACTAGGAAACCAACAAACTGGGAAACGGTCCAACTAAGAAGCGAACTCCTAATCATACATTCTTTCCCGAAAAATCAGACATGATCCCCTCATGTTCAATTCTCAGAACAATACCCATCCTCTGGTGCATTACAATTAATGGTTGCCAGAGTATCACATCATCCTCTGGTATATTTTTACTATTATCTGGATTCACTTGCTTCACATCTCAGTACATCTTAAAGAAATCTCGCCAGAAGTGATTCTAGAAAAAAATGTCTGATTTGTCTGTGATCTAAAGTTTTTCTCGGCAATCCAATCTTACCTAGTTATAGGCCTTTTCAAAGTCTGATTTAGTTGTAAAATTTTTAATCCCATATCTGATGTAATTAAATCCCTTATATTTGGGTCCCTGGAGTTGCCATTGCTAGTTTTGTTGGGAATGACTTTTAACTCCTATTCAAAAGATCATAGTTGGTGAGGTGACTAGTGTGAAGAAGTCTATGGTCTGGCGCATTAATTGCTTGAGTAACAAGACGTGTGCCTTGGTGAGGCTTTTTGTTTTGCGATTTGAATGAAAATCATGTTATACATCTATGTACAGTATGTATTCTAAAAATTATCTCCTAAACCAATTTTATTTAGTGATATTCATATTTTTTGATTGATTAGCTCATTAATAACTTCTACAGTTAATCACTGTAGTTTATTGTATTGAAAGATGAACTAAAGGATTCTTTCATTCATTGTCTAATTTGTCTACTTTTGATTGTCTATTTATGTTTGATAATCATTGATATACTTCACCTCACGAAGTATAAATTTCGATTTTTTTTTGTTTAATAAATCTATCGGTATAACCATAAAGAAACAAACAAGGGTAATCTATTTTAGTGGTTGAGTAACCACCTTTTAATAATGCACTGCCAGGGGCCGAAATACCTTGTCCTCTAGTTGTACCATATTGCTTAGGGAAATGGCTTGAAAGCAATGGGTAAAGGAAGCAACGTTTAATACCTGGCTGATCTTTGGTATATTATGAGTTTCTATGACTTTCAAAATTATGTAAATTAGCCAAAGATATGTGAATAAAATCATATATGCACGCTTCTTATTTGAGAATACGCTCAGTTGAAGTGATACATACAGGGTGAGCTTGCTTTAGCATTTGGAGAGTTGCTAAGGAAACTCTGGGCTCCAGGGCGCACACCTGTTTCTCCTCGGCCATTCAAAACCAAACTCGCTCGTTTTGCTCCTCAATTTAGTGGATATAATCAGCACGATTCTCAGGTTTGATATAGTTGATTATTTCCTAAAAAATTAATTTGAACTGAAGACATTATTTTTCTCAAGGCAACTGTAAGCTCTTTCTACAGGAGTTTTTGGCCTTTCTCCTTGATGGACTTCATGAGGATCTGAATCGTGTGAAACATAAGCCTTACATAAAGACTAAAGATGCTGATGGGCGACCAGATGAAGAGGTTGCTGATGAGTACTGGGCAAATCACATTGCTCGAAATGATTCTATAATTGTCGATGTGTGCCAGGTAAGTTTTTTGTCATTGACACTATATTCTATATAGTCTTTAATTAAGTATTTTTACACCTTCTGAAAACTTTTTTTGCTGAGAGGGAAATTTTTCATCAACCCGTTTGGAAATTTGTTCTTATATTTTTGTTTGTCAGTCGGAAATATCGATTGATTGGTTTTGATGGACGAGTTTCTCCCTTGGTATGGGTGTGTTCCTTTATATTATGTAAACTATCATTGCTTGAATCATACTAATGGATCTCCAGTTCGGATTAGATCAGGATCCATTCTGACACCTGTAATTCGATCTGATTATCGGATGTATGCAGTTTTAGGAGCACACTGATCAGGAAATACGAATTGGAATTTCATCTGCTAATTAATTGTTCTCAAAAGTACAAGAATGAGGAATTTTGGGGCTACAAGCTCGAGTCATCTGACTAATTAAGTGGAATTTTTGTCTCAGATTATTTATTGATCACCCTCATAGATCAGTTATGTAAAAATATTGCCTTATATATGCAGTATTTTTTTTGCAACATATTTTCTCTTGATTGTTGGGTCATGTTGCTTTTCTGGTCTGAAAACTTGTTTGTTCTGATATGTCTGTTGCATTTCATGTTGTTCATATTTCTTTTTAAAAAAGGAAAGAAGCAAGTTTGCTGATCATTGTCTTGAACCATGCCTTGGCCTTCCTTGTCTGTTACTGCTTCCAAACTGCTAATGTTTTCTGTGGGGAGGCTTGGGGTGGGTCTGGGAGGGGGCGGGAGAGAAAGGGGTTTTCATTTGGGGGTTAGTCCGGCAGTAATTAAGTTGTATGAGACCGTACTTTACCTATTACAGAAGGGAATGGATAGGGGTTATAGTTATCTGGAAAAAAAGTTAGTGGCTTTTAAAGAGAGATGAGACTGCAAGAGGCTTAATTGGGAAAGGAGGATAAATTGCTTCATAATAGGGCTAAGAGAAAGGTCAGGTTGGGCGGCAGTCAGATTGAAAAGAGATTGCTCCAACATGTGAATATCATCTTCTTCTAGATATCTTAACTCTTCATTAATCAATGTTAATTTAATTGTTTTGTATTCATCAAACAAGCATGACGCATTCTACTATCTGTGTATTAGTCAAATAACTCCAATGACGGGCATGCACCGTGATGACTGTAACCCTTGATCTTGGCGTTTTTTATCTTTATCGTCTACCCTTCATATTGTAACTGCTAGCTTATTGCGTCTACACTCAATACGAATATGCTGGGGGTTCTTTCGTCCTAGCACTTTTTGGTCGCAGAATTAGGATTTTTTCTTGGTGACGACTATATTGATTTTTCACTCACGATACTCCAAGAGAGTGGATGAGTAACAGTTATGACACAACTGCATGTCCATTATTTTATGTGGACAGGGTCAATTCAAGTCAACTCTTGTTTGCCCTGTGTGTGACAAAGTCTCGGTGACTTTTGATCCATTCATGTACCTTTCATTGCCTCTACAATCAGCCCATACTCGGTCCATGACTGTTACAGTCTTCACCAGTGATGGAAGCACATTGCCGACACCCTACACCGTGAGTGTGCCAAAACAAGGTCGGTGCAAAGACCTAATCCAAGCTATAACCAATGCTTGCTCTGTGAAAAATGGAGAAAGGATTTTGCTCGCTGAGGTTTGTTTATGTTGCACCCATGCTTTCCTGGAGACTGGGGATGATTACCCGGATCTAACATGAAGAGAACGTTATATTCTGCAGATACGGGGTCACTTGATCCATCGCTTCCTAGAAGACCCCCTAATCTCGTTATCCACCATAAAAGATGATGACCATCTCGCAGCCTACAGGATTCCAAAAAAGTCAGTGGATGTGGTTTATCTTCAGTTGATACATCGACATGAAGAACGGTGAGTAGTACCCTTTTCTACTTTATTTTTTTTCTGGAGTAATTTATGCCTGGGTGACAAAATCAATACCTTCTACCCGCCTGCCAGCTTGAGTTGTTGTGTGTTTACTTTTACAAGGAAACTGATTTAAGTTTAGTTAATTTTTCCTGTTAACCTATGGCTTTAATTTATCAAATTCTCTTTTAAGAATAATCCAAAAAAAAAGTGGACACCTAGGTTTCAGTCTCTGTGCTCACAGTGAAAGCATTCTTTTAACAATTACAAGTGGTGCAGCTGAATATTAAGTGTTCTCATTTCATTTACCAGGGAATTGAGCAGCATCACCAGCTCCATGGTATGGAGACCTTATGGTACGCCACTTGTCACATCAATCTCACGAGGTGATGTAATCACGAGAGGTGATATCCAGTCAATGGTTCACAAAATGCTCTCGCCTATGCTGCGTTATGAAAAAAGTTCTACAAGCTTGAGATCAGCAGCTGCATGTAAGGGAACAAGAACCAGTGGATCATGCCTAGGCTCTGGTACGAGTGATTCATCCACTGAAGATCACCAGGCCCATAGAACAGAAGCTTCTACCAAGTTGCCCCTCCATATGATTGATGAGAACAATGTGTACATTGATTTATCGATTGGGGAAGAGAAAACAATCAGGGTACCCTCGTCGTTATCATCAATGCGTGTCTTTGTCGATTGGTCCCGGGAGGATTTGCAAAAGTATGATACTTCTGTTCTTGAGAATCTACCTGAAGTTCTCAAATATGGCCCTGCGCCTAAGAAGGCTCGTAGCGAACCTCTTTCCTTGTATGCGTGTCTGGAAGCATTCTTGAGGGAAGAGCCCCTGGTTCCTGAGGATATGTGGTGAGTTCTTATCTGCATCCTAGTTCTCTATATTTAGATTAGACATTTGCCAACAACTCTTTCAAAAAAATATATCAATGCCACTGAATGCATGATGTAGTAAAGTGAGACTATGCATGCATCTCTTCTCTAGGAAAAAAAAAAAAAAAAAAAAAAAGATCTACATGGCCATCAATAAAGTTTCTGAGCTTATGTCCAGATCTGGTATTTGGGCAATACTCCTTCCCCAATGGATCTGTCTTCCATGCTTTGCAATTCCAATAAATGGCAACAGACCAACTACAGTTTCAGTATCTGTTCCTCGAGTTATGAACAAGTTATTGCTTTTCAGTTTATATGATTTATATCTGATTTCCCATTGATAAGCCATGGCTGGTGATGGTTGTAGCTGTGGGAATTGTGATGTGCCTTCGCTCTTTGATTCTAAGTTCCATGGTTGATTTCTTCCCTGAAGGTACTGCCCACGGTGCAAGGAACAGAGACAAGCAAGCAAAAAACTGGATCTATGGAGGCTTCCGGAGGTGTTGGTCATCCATTTGAAGAGATTCTCTTACAGTAGATCGAATAAGCATAAGTTAGAGACATTCATCAACTTTCCAATTCACGATTTTGACTTGACGAATTATGTGGCGAATAAAGACAGCTCGCAGCGTCAGCTTTATGAGTTATATGCTTTGAGTAACCACTACGGCAGCATGGCGAGCGGCCACTATACAGCCCACATCAAGGTAAGCACTAGCCTCGTGTTGGTTGAGTCTTTGAATTGACTTTTAGTGACGGTCAATGATTTTATCACTAGTTTCTGCAAGGATTTTGGCTGTGAAGAAGATCATGCGATCCCGAAAGACTTGATCTTTTATTTTTTTATACTGAATTCCTTTGAATCCCTGTTAATGCCCAGAAGATTCATACCATTCGAAATCGTCTGTTTTGCTTCCAGATTGAGAAAAAAAGGATGATTTCGAAATCTAGTATCCTATTTTGACCCTTTATTCCACAAACATACCACACCGAATCGGTTTCTGTTGTTCATCTCGATTGCTTCCCAGGCAAATCAAATATTATCGATGCTTCACAGGAAATCCTTTCTATTATTCATGCAGAAAATCATTTCTTATGTATATAAGAAGAACTGGGCTCTGTTTATTTTCTTCAACTATTCTTCACCCACCGTGCATGGTGCTCTTCTCTCTTCCATTCTCCTCCAGATCCTGCATCAGAAGGGTCGGATGCAGTCTGTCTCCTTCATTCATTTGATTTCCTTCTGCCCTAACCGAAGATCTCTTCCTTGCGCAGCTCCTGGAGGAAAACCGGTGGTACAACTTCGACGACAGCCATATATCTCCGATAAATGAGGAAGACGTCAAGTCTGCTGCGGCTTACGTTCTGTTCTACAGGAGAGTCAGGGGTGAGGACGCCTTTGTGAGTAATGATCTCCACCCTTCTATTGACTTGAGCGATAATCTACAGAGGATATAGGTTCTATCTGTTCTCCACCGCCCTCCTCCCCCAGCTGTGAACATGTAGGGTAAGAAGAGTAAAATCATGTTCTTCAATCCTTGTATATATGTGTACAATATGAGAAGGAACCCTTTTTTTTTTTTTTTTTTTTCTTTCTCATCCTATTGTTCTCTGTCTCTGTCTCTGTCTCTGTCTCTCTCTCTCTCTCTCTAATGAGGGGGCTGGGTAGGCCTCTACCTGGGTCCCGGCCAAAGCACACATTATGGGCTTGCTTGGTTTTATGTGGCCTTTTCTCATTTAGTGAATTAAAGAATGGCAGTTGGCCTACTATGTGTGTGTGAGAGTGAGAGAGAGAGAGAGAGAGAGAGAGAGAGAGAGAGAGAGAGAGAAGAGAGAGGAGGGAGAGAGAGAGGATTATACTTCTCTAAACAAGAAAAATGGAGATCACTTCAGAACACCTAACAATCTTAATTTGTAGAATAAATCCACATGTTTTGTATGGTCCACAGCTTTGGGCCCATTCCGTTTAATTTTTCTTTTCATGTTGTAGCCCAGTCAAGATCGAGCCAAGCGAGATTTTGACCTTTTCATATAATAGTATATGTTAAATATCATCATATATAAATACATTTATTTAAATAATGTTGGCCTATTTTTCAAAAAATTAAATCGATTGAGAAGGATTGGTGCGTGTTATACTTTCAAAAAGTTTATAAGTAGAGTTGGTTTTTTTAATGGAATAATAATTTCAGGAAAACCATTTTAAAAATATTCTACCTAAAATAACATGTCGGTTTAGGTGAATAAAAATAGAATTATTTTTTCCTTTTAAATAAATAAATAGCATATTCTTATTTTTTATGGTTATTTTGTTAAAATTCTTATTTAACCATTTCTTTTATTTACTGGTTATTGTTAAACTCTTAAAGGTTGGTTGCCTCCGTCACGTGATCGCTTCTCTGTCACGTGCGCCGCGCATTCACGTTTGGCGGGAAGAAAATCGTAGAAAAATAAGTCTAATTATAACTTTGTACACATTGCGATGCACGTTTCTGTACGCCATAAAGTACATGTGCGGAGACTTTTGGTTCGAAGCCACATTCTCTCCCGTAGAAGGACCGTCTGCGTGCACTTCACTGCGTATCGTAGTAATCCATTAACAAGAAGACAATGGCGGGCTCTTCAAACACCAGAGAGAAGGGGGGGGGAGGAGAGAGAGAGAGAGAGAGAAGCCATGTCCAACTATTCCTCTCCCGAGTTCACGCCGCAGGAGATCGCGGGATACCTGGCAGAGTACGGCATCGCTACCGTCAATCCGGAGGACATTGACAGGCCCACTGCCGACTTCGTCTGCTCGGTCTACGGCAGTGTGATCTCCTTCCTTGATCCCCTGGGGTGGGTAAACCCTCTGAAACTCTCTGTAGAGCTCTGTTCATTCTATTTTCGCTAGTTCACTCGAGGTCCCGGTTCTAGCAGTGATGACGACAACGAGCAGATTGACTTCGACGCCCTCGAGTGCCTGGAGAACCCGGAATACCACACGGACTCCATTCGGATCATTAATTTCTACCGCAAGGTCAGGGACATGCTCGCCTTCATCGGAATTGAGTTCGTTCTCAGGGACCTCCTGCGGCCTGACCGCGCAAGAACGAAGGCGATCCTCTGTACTGTTATCAATTTCCTTCTGTACAGGTGGAGAGTTTAAATTGTTTTTTCTGTTCCTTTGTTCCTATTTCACTTTCTAATGAATTGAATACAGAAATGGAGCTTTTAACCTTTTTGACGTTGTCTTAGTGCTGTTGATTTACCAGGAATGATAAATTGGCCGACCTTCAGCCAATAGTGGACCAATGTAATGATGACCGACGAATAGAACTGGAGGCTAGGATTTCTGAGGTTTTTCTTTTTTCATCTTTTTCCTGGTTCATCCTCGATTTTTTATGGATTTTTAATCCAGTGTTAGAGGCTGAGAGGTGGAGGAAGAGAGCGAGCGCATGAGTGGGGGTTCATGAGGTTGATGGGATTCCAAAGTTGATATACATTGGACTGCTTTTGGGTGGCAGCTGAAGAGGGAGATTTCAGAACACGAAATGGCACGTGAACAGGAGCAACCCTATGTTCAAGAAATTGAAGCGGAGGTCAGAGGCTTGAAACAGAATATACAGGAACGCAATAAAGAGCAAATGGCATTGAAAACCCACTTCAAACGAATCAAAGAGAAGATTGATGCCATCAATGACAAGGTTTGATTTTCACACATTATGTTGATATAGATACATATGTATTTATTTACCTTTTAATTGTAAAACAACCACATGTTTGATGTTTTTATTTTAGGGGCCCATATTTGTAGCCTTCATTTCGATAAACGTGAGACAAAATGGACATTTAGTCGGTTTCAGTGAAAAAATACGTGTACTGGGTAGACTCAATTTATCAGTGCCTCCGTACAGATGTTCTGGAATGGATCTAAAGCTAAGAGAATTTCTTCTTCCATGAAAAAGCTTAGCAAACTTTAAAATGTCCCTTCCATAAATTTGTATCCTGCTTGCTTTTTAAATGTATGTATTTTATTAGGCACAAGCACACTTGCTTTATCATCTAGAAATTATGGTTATTGCGTGAATCAGAAATTGAGCTTTACATCTAATATCATGAACGCAGTCTACTCTTATCTAGGAAAAGAAATCTTTCTCTTAGTAGATAACCATTTTAGGCTAGATCGCCTGAAATCACTTATAAAACATTTCTTGTTCTCTCTTATAGTGCTTTCTAATTGCCGTTTCAAATTTTGATGATTTGTGCCTGACTAGACTGGTTACAGTTCATGAGGCATATTGGTGGAGTTCAAATACTGATCTGCTTAGTTCTCTCCTGCAGATATCTCAGGCTGACTTCGAATTACTTGGAAATGCTCAAGAAAATTCCAAATTGTCGGCTAACATTGTTCAATCTCCAGTCAAGTTGCAGGTTCTATTTTCGCCTATTTTTAAATTTTCTTATAGTGAATGCATGGAGAATACTGTGTTCTCAAATTCAAGTTTCCGTCCTCGTGGGGGCATAAAAGCTCTTTCATTTTAGCATCCTTAGGCATAGGATTAATTGCTTATGTATTCAAGCACTGGGGGATGTGAAACCTTCCTGCATTATCCTTTCTGTCATAGCAATAACACTTATAATCCGGAAAAAACTTGCACCATGGGGATCTTATGAATATTGCATGATATTGGATTCTAAGCTCGACAGTCTGGTGTATGTTTTGCTCTGACATGCTGTTGTACTCTTCCACCGAGTACGTATTTGTTTTGAAACTTCATATTATATATGTGATACATGTTTGTACAAAACGATGTAGGGACTGGTGAAATAATTGTAGATGGGTCAATGTGATGCATGTTAGATTTTAATTAGTGTTACTTGGCTTCCTTTGGAGAAGGATACCGAAATTGACATTGACAGCAATAAATCCTCTTTTATTCTTTATTTTTGCATACTGTTGTCATTGAAGAGATTTCGTACAAGGTGGTAAAAGTCAATTCTTTATGTGGGTTGAACGGGTAAATCAAGTTTTAAAGTTACTGGCATAATGGTTACATTCGAGTGGTTAGGTATTTGGTGTCAAATTATAAATAAATAAATAACTAATATACTATAATATAATATAAGAATTAATTTGGTCGCTATTGTGGACATATAAGAGAAGAAGCGCTAATTATTTTTCAAGCTACAAAGTTAGCACGGTGCCAATTAAAGGGATATTTTTTATGTGAATGGGGAACCTAATAACATAGATGAAGGGGATGAATTTTAGAGGATTGGGCTCTCTAGGGGATGTATTGGGCTCTGGGATGCTGTACACCTTGGTATCTGGATATCACAGACTAACAGTTGTTATAAAACGTGTATAATGTCCTTTTCTCATTTTTCCATGATCTTAGATGGCCGCCCATAGATGGGGAAGGGATGCTGGTCATATGTTTTAGAGGAATTATGATGGTCTAGTGGGAAAATGGTGTTCATCATTAACTTTTAAACAATTTGCTGCAGCATTTATTTTTCGTATCCCTTGTTTTTCTATGATGTGATGCATTGTTATCAATCAATTTTGCAATGATTGATTTTTCTGGTGATGATTGTGTAACCTGAGTTCGTTGGCAACTTAAGTAATTTATTACAAGTCCCAGCCCATGTTTCATGTATCATCTAGTTGTTTGCATTGAACGTTAGTCTTGAGTTAGGGGCATTAAGCATAAGTCACTCATCACTTTCCTCATCAATTGATCTTTGTATTCTGCTAATACAAATATTTTGTTTAATTTAAAGAGGGCTGTTGAAGAGAAAAAGGCAAAGCGAGCTGAGGTTAAGAATGCAGAAAGATCAGCAATGCTTAGTGTTCAATCAAAAACAGCAGCTCTTGAAGTTTACACGAAGGTATTCTTTATTTCGATCACTTATTTTGGCTATTCTTTTATTGCAATGGCACCTGTAACGAATTTGATATTTTTGAATGCTATGGTTGTTCTTGGCTTTTTAAACTATTTTTCAACTTCTTTTGTGGAATTTCTGGGAATCGAGGTTTCCTTCTAAGATAAATTCAAGTCTAGATTGGAGCCTTCCCCATCCTTTTTTTGGTTGAACAGTCAGTCTTCTGCCTTGGTCAAATGTAGTGAACATGAAATTTTCTGTTTAACCTTCGTAGTGAATTTTTTTCGAGTGTTGAGCTTTATCGTGTTTCTACTATGCCTTAAACTTATGTTTTCCATTTGTGTAAATCGTAGGACCGTATTGATGCATTCCCGTACGTTTTTCTGACCCTAGTCCGGTATTGCTATCCATAAATCTGCACAATAAAGATCAAATTCAAACGTGGGGTAAGACTCGTAATAGAAGATGATGCTTTAGACTGAAAACGGCTTGGAGCTGGATGAAATATCGAATAACTAGTGTACCTTGATTGTTACTTTCAAGGTAGTAAATAATGCCGTCTGATGCTTTTACATCACATTAATGCGCCTAAAGAAGAATGTTTTTTTAAACTTATGTATACTAAAGTGTGCTTAGTTTATTTTTTTTAGTTTAAGACTTCTACTGTGCTAGATCTCTTTCTAACCCCTGGCTACACCTACGCCTTTTCTAAGAAAGTTCAAATTCTAGCTCTTTACTTCCATGCTTTTTCTTGGCATCCTTCTAATTCAGGCTGTTAGTTGACTTTAAGTTCATGTTTCATCTACATATCCTTCTACGGATCAGATGAGATTGGCTCTCCTGATCTTTAAACCTGATTTGGATAAAGCACTCGTGCCGTTGGCCCCCCCCCCCCCCCCATCTAAACATTATCTGGTTGGTTCCTGATGCATAGTGTTCAACTAATCTCTCATTTTTGAACTTCTTCGCACTCTTGATGGCTTTTGCCCATCACAGCTTCGCTACCGTCTCAAGGAAGACCATGGGTGAAATCATGACCTCCATGAATATCAGAACGGATCCTCTCCAAACAATTTAGTGTTAGCAGTCTTATCGTTGAAACAAGCCTTCTCAAGATGACGTTTTTCACGATTCTGGTATTGAATTTTAAGTGATGAGGAGGTTTTAAGTGGTTTTACTTATATGGTAGCTGAATTTGAGAGAGTTTTTTGGGGCTAAGTTTGTTTACCATTGTAGGGACAGTTCTGTGCCATTCAATATAAGAGGGTCAGGGTAATAATCTTGAGTCATCGTAACAGTAGAGTCGCTGAGGTTATAATAGGGCTTCAATCTATGGATAATTTTTTTTTTTTTGTTTCCATTTTCGTTTTCATCCTATAATTCATATTATCGAATGCTAACCTTTTTCCTGGCTTTGCACAAATAACTTGGCTTCCTTGCTCATACTTTATGGGTTTCATGTTTACCATCCATAGCATTTACAGACGGATGATCATCGTTCTCTTAAATGCCATTCGTGATAACAAATTCCATAGGACTATGAACATGATACTTATCATTATCATCATATATTCCGAATAAATAAGATGTGCATCTATTTATCTGTTGCTTCTGTACTCAACATTTTCATTTATTTGTCTTCCTTGTAGGCCTGTGAAAAAATAACCAAGCACTTGTCCAAGTTGCAGAATCTACAGGAACAGGTACGGTAGAAACATGAATTCTGATTTGCATTAAACGTTGAACATTGGTTATAATGCCTTTAGCCTACATTTTTCCCGACCCTTCATCAGATTGCCCCTCGGATCGGATCTCCATTGTTTCCATCTTTTAGTGAGTCTTTTTCAAACTGGGAAAGTGTCTGAATTTGTTAAGCACTATCAACCATCCTAGAGCTTGGAAATTTTTTGCCTAATCAGTACAATGGTCTTCTTATTGACTCTGTCAACAAGCTGGAATCACCCACTTGGAGTTACTACATGAAGTCAACGGTTCACATTTGAACTGTACACTTGTTTTAGAGAGGCAATAAAGCTTTTTTAAATCATGAGTCAATGGGTAGAGAAATCCAACTTATTTCTCTGACTTGATACAGTATCACGAAAATTTCTTACTAAATTTGCACCATTTCTCTTGACATCTTGTACGAAAATTGCATTGCTGTTGTACCCGTTAATGGCTCCATCGTTCACAGGTGACTGCTGCAAAAACCGTCGAAAAAGAGGTGAAAGGTTTGAAAACTAAGCTGAGCGACGAGGAACTTTCCATTGTATCTCTTGATGCTAAAATCGACGAGCTCCAAGGCAAAGGTTATTGCCCATCTCATTGTTGAATACTCTCTATTTGATTGATTTATTTTTTTGCACTCTCATCAACCGCCATTCCTTTTCCAGCGAAACAAGCAGAGGAGTTGATCAAGGCCATGGAGAAGGAGAGAGACCTGAGATTCACTGAGCATATCCAGAAGCTCAATGCTGTGAAGTCTGAAATAGAACAGAAGCTCCATGATCTCGAACAGAGAGAGGAGAAGACCAAGGCTGTGGTCCTACAGGTAGTAACTCATGCCCAGTATCAGTTCTAAGTTTGACCAGGGTTCAACCTACTTTTAGCAGTTGGGTTATATGAGAAGAAATGACTTATCTGATGAAATGGCCCACTTGAACTCAGGGTGAGAGCTTGACACTGAAGGCCACTTCTGTAAGAGAAGGTGGAAAGCTGAAGCAGCAGGAACTACTGGCCAAGTCCGAAGAGATTGTCCACGCGGTAGGTCACATTTGGCTGCATAATCTCCGTGATCAGTCAGCCACACTTTCTATATAATCTGTCGAGTGTCCCCAGCCATTCTGGTTTCTCTCTCCCATTTCCTGAATGGGATCTAATAGAAATGCCAGGACAGCTGAAGATAATTCTCCTGCTAATCGGATGGTCATGAGAGATGATGTTCTTTTGTTGACTCTAGTTCCACAGCTATTCGGCCCTCATTGATCCCTTCCTCGAGAGAGCCCGGGCTGAGGCGGAGAAGGCCGGGCCCGTGCCTGTGATTCCAAATAGGGTAACCGAGGAAACCACGAGTGCATAGCGGAGGGAGGCAGAGCTGGAAGGCATGCAGAAGAAATCAATGAGCTCAACTTTGCTGATTACCAGTAAATGCGGTATTTAATCTAGCTAACTTTGGTCTTACCTTGTCTAAATTGCCTGGAATTTGTAAATTACATGAGCAAGATGTAGATTCTATCTCTGTAGACTCGAACTGCACTTGCTTATGGGATAAATGGATGAGGTACCAAGAGTATGGCAAGCTTAGCTTTGCTGATTATTACCGGATTTGGTATTTAATCAGACTTTGGTCTCATGGGGCTAATTTTCCCTTGAATCTGTAGGTTCCATGAAGAAGATTTAGATTCTACTAACTTTGCCAAGTGTGACAGATTTGTGGCATTACATGGCAGGTGATGAAGGTATGTTTTTTTTTTTTGGTTTAAGTGGATCCTAAGAACATACTCTCTGGGCTTTTTTTTTTTTTTTCTTTGCTCAATTTTAGACCATCAGATGGTCATCTATTGCCTCTCTTTGGGAAGATTGGAGAAGGGTTCATTTGAGAATGGCAGGGGTTCATGAAGAAAGGAGCTCTTGGAGCTCCCATATCTTCAAGAACATATTCTAGTAGTTGCTATATCTGGTCAGACTCTTGCAATGCCCTTGACTTAGGAAGCACCTTAACATTCTCAGGAGAGAGAGAGAGAGAGAGAGAGAGAGAGAGAGAGAGAGAGAGAGAGAGAGAGAGAGAGAGAGAGAGAGAGAGAGATCTTATGAACTTTTGGTTATAGCCTAATAAAATAAACTAGAGTTCTAAAGTCATGAGTATTCTTTTGTATCGATGTTCCAAAGTTTGTTGGCATATAAAGTACATATAAATGTATAACTATTAGGACTATTTATCTAGTAATATTTCTTAAGAAATGATCTGATAGATAAACAAGATGACTTTACATGGTGGGTTATGGTGAGAGCATTTGAGGAAGGAATTTTTGTCTTTTGCTAATTTTTAATTTTAATATAACTCAACAAACCTAAAGCTTCTTTATGGGAAATCATATGAAAATATGGGCAAGTTTTAAGATAAAAAGTTATGAGAGTTTCATTTAATTCATAATCTTTAAAGGGATAAAATAAAAATACTCATATCAAATTTATAAATTTTCATATAGTTCAATGTAGCCCTCTCCAGAATCTGCATAAGAATTAGAAAGAGGAAGAGTATGGGAATATCATGGAATAATATTCAATCCTATCCATGGGTATCTCATATATAGGATATCTCATGCCTAAGGAACTCCTCTAGTCCACAATTAATTAATTAATATAAAATATTTAATTGTTATCATCTATAGTTTAGCAATACAAAGTTTGATTATTCCTATTAATAACTTAAATAATTAACATGGTATTTTGGTTCATTTATCTCTTAATGTTAGATTATCTTGATTTTTACCCAAAAGGGAGCCATTTTTAGTCATAATTTATTTGGGATTATATTATGCCCTTTTCACTTTCATCTAATGTAGAGTTTCTCCTTGATTGTATTGTGCCATAATAATTTCCAACTATCAATGACAAAATAGAGTAATTGGACCAATGTTAAACAGATATAGAACAAATTCTATTTTTTAAAATAAAAAATAAAATATAAAATATAAAATAAGAAATTTATAAAAAATAAAACTGAGAAAAAGATAGATATTTGTGCAATCCATTTCATTATTATCTGTAAAAGTTACGTAATTTTTTCTTGTTTTGTTCATACTTAAGTTCAGCGTTAATTCCCAATGTTGGATACCTGGATAATTGACCATTTTATGGAGGTTTAAAGTTCAAAAATTCCTTTCAGAATAGGACTGCATCCCGAGTCGGCCTGATCGCGCGCTGAAGAACTCCGGAGCTATGGCGGAGATCTCTTCGGCCGGAGAACCAGCGGCCCCAGCGCCTGCTCCCTTGGGTGCAGGCGCCGGCGAGGGAGGCGACGGGAACTTCGGCTCCAGCTCCATCCGCCCCACCATGCCTGGAACTAAACGCCTCCTTCTCACGCTCTCCGTCCTCGTCTCCTTCCTCCTGGGTAGACTCGTGCAGCCCCCTCCCTTGCTCCTTTTTCCTCTGCCTCCATCTCTCTCTTTCTCTCTCTCTCTCGATCTCTGTGCGTCTAAGCTGCTTTGCTTTTCCCGTCCCCAGGACTGCCGCTCCTGCTCAATTCCACCGCGATCTACCGGTCGCCCCTTCCCTTCAGTTCGATTGATTCTCTCTCGAGCCAAGTGAGGTCCCAGCCGCCCGTTCTCCCTTGCCGTTTCCAGGCCGTCTTCCTCCGCCCTGGCGGTGATCATGCCGGAAAGGCAGATGCCGAGAGACTGCAGAGTTTGATCTCGGAGGAGCTGCGGAAAACCGCCGGAAGTGTTCAGGGTCCGTCGTGCGGCAGTTGCGTGGGGAATTACAGCGTTTCGGTTATCATTGATTCCGGCAAGAGTTGCGTCAGGACAGGGGACAGTGGGGACGGGTGCCTCTGGCAGTGCGGCGCGGCTATCGCTTCTGCTTTGACTGGTGAAGATGAAAATGTTGACGAGCTTCTGGAGTCTGTCCTAGGAAGAGGAAGCTTGTGTTCTTCAGCAATCGGTGGAAGGATCTATACCGCTGTTGTGGGGAGCGATAATAATGGCGATGCCAGAGTTCTGGTGGGAAAGCATCGGCATGCTTGGATCACAGGGAGTATCTCAGAAATGAACGCCGTCACCGTGATAGGGAATATCTTCGTGAAGCTTTTCATGAATGGTGGGAAGGTGGAGGAAACCGGTCAGGGAAAAGGAGATTTCATGCCTGTGGGTTCTGATGGGAGTCTTGTCCTCTCCTTCAGCCTCTTGAATGCCAATCCTAATGACTGGGTTTATGACTGGTGAGGGAAATGATATGATGCCGTCTGAGTTATCTAAATCTTAATGCTTTTACAGTTAATCTACATTGCGTAGGTGGACGATCTTACCCCGAGAAATGATTTTACCAAAGCCATTACTGGCTTATTATGATACTTATGCCATTTTTGCGGCAGAAAATAATTTTTACCAAAAATCTCTCCTGAATATCTTCAACTCATATTCCTTTCTGCAGGGACTTTCAACAAATAGATGACGTTTTGCTGGGTCCGGTTGTGGAGGCATTGTCACCTATAGCGAGCATAAGTGTGGAAAGTCAGGTAGATATTTTATTTGCCACATTAAATCTGGTTGTTGGAAGTCGACTTATACACAAGATTTTTTCTATTTTCATGTTAAAAATGATATAACTTTGTTCTGCTTATGCTTCATTGTTCCATGTTTACAGGTTCTGCATCACACTCCAAAATCATCATTTTCTTCTTGGGACGAGAAGTTGGGGAGCTATATATTTAGCATAGAAGATCTTCCATTCTTTGTATGTTTTCAAGTTATTCTTTGGTATAGACACTGTTCAGCGCTAGTGAAATAAAATTAGATAACAATGTTCTGATTGCACTAGTCTGCTTCCATAGTATCCATATTTGTTTCTAAGAAAAGTTATGAGCTTATTGTTATTTCCATTTTCATCTTTGTCAATAGAAATGTTTTAATACGTCTCATTTTAAATGACTTAGATGATTACATGAAGGGCATGCCATTTTCCAAGACGGAACTTCACAGCCGTGAAAGATTGGAATTGAAGTGCCACTAAAAGATTTCGAATACTCATCTTCTATAAAGTGTTAAGAAGGACAACGGTGCACATATTTCTTGTTAAAATAGTCATCTCATGGGAAGTTTATCCTCCCTGCTCTCTTGCTGAAAGATGGATAGAGAGAACACAAATGTCGTTGCAATATCCAACCAACTACTCTCGTGACAGAATCTGAACTATCATTCTTGTTTATGAATTTAAATATTTGTTGAGATGACTGAATCATCAATGTAGGGGAGAAGCTGCTGATATTTTGTTATTTATTTTCTAGGAGTCTTGTGTCATGTATAAATTGCTTCCTCGTAAGTCTTCTGCTTTTATTTAGACTCCGAATATACAGATCTACTTGATAGAAGACAAGATGCAGTAACTTGGAAAGAAAGACGTTATATTCAAATGAAAGTGGCAAATAGGCTATGGGGTTATGGTTTGGCTCAGTATGAAACCATCCTTTTCTGACTTACATTTCCATTATGCAGTTTTTTTTTTATTATTGGGTAGCTGTGTATTTTATAAGTACATTCAAAGAAAACAGTAAATCCGTTGCCATTGCCGAGTTTCAAAAAATTATCTAAATTTCTATGCTTTGAAAGGTATGATAACTTCAGTGACTAATTTACGGACACTAACAGGTAAATTCAAATGAGTGGTATTTGGATACATCTACTGCTGCTGCTGGACGATCAAAACTTCTGCACTTTGTGGTGTATATTCCTCATCTAATGCCCATGCTCTATTCTTGCTACATGCCGTTCCTTCAAATTTATTTCTACTTTTCTGTAATATCCATCGAAAATACGCCTACGGATAGATGTTTTTGATGAGAATGAAAGAATTGAACTTGTCTGTAGTTTTAGTGAGGTTTTAATTAGAATTTCATGAAAATATGTGACTTAGGTTCATCATCTATCTATGATTGGTTTAATGAAAATCGGCGAGGAACAAATGAATAATCTAGTCAAGTCCCAAATAGAAGTCTATTGTTTATCATTTGATGACTAAGTCTGGCAAACTTTAAATGGCAGAATTTGATGATGCTGAAAATCTAGCATTACTTTCTTCTATTTTGAAATCCAAAATTCTTATTGCAGTGTTGGACTGCTACTATATTTGTTGAAAGTATGCTTCTAAATATGTTCACTATCTTCAGTTTCTATTCAGACTATTTTTAGCTCTAAATACCTCCCTTTTTAAACATTCTCGAATTACATAGTTATTTTATGTTTGTAGGTATGTTCCATCTGCCAAAGAGTGCCCTCTTCTTCTGCGTCTTCCAAATGGTGGGATATCCAGGACAAATGGATTTATATCTCCCGTAAGTGTTCAGATCTTTCTTTCGGTGACTCCTGATCTTTGCTTCATTGAAATATCATTGTTTAAAATATTATATTGTACAGATGTGGGGAGGAGTTGTTGTTTGGAATCCACCATCATGCTCAAATGGATCAGAAAGTACTGTTCATCCCGAGGGTAAAATTCCTCCAAAGGTCAGGAATGTTACCGGTTTTGGTCGTTGAGATGTTTCTTCCAGTGGCTATTCTTCTTTTGTATGTGCAATCCTCCATTTTCTGTTCTGTTTTGTGTTTACGCAAAACACATTACAGAAACGCCAGGGTTCCTCGAGTAAAGTTTGAAATGCTTGTCTTTTAGATCTTGTGAACGGCAGTGCATAAAAAATATCCCCCTGGAAAACATGTCAAATGTTCTGTGCCAAACTGAATTGAAAGCGTTCGAATTAATTGATTGTTTGAGCTTTCAACTCTGTTGAAAGCAATTCCATAAACCAAATCTTTCCTCTCAAGTCTGGATTCACTGCATACTATATGCAATTATACTTATAAATTCTCAGGATACTTAAAAATCGAAATTATCGCGTGATTTATTGCCCAGCTCTGTTCATTTGTCATATATCTTTTTTTTCTTGGAGATCAGGGAAGTCTATGTAGGGCCGAAGTGTGCATCCTGGATGTTTTCTATGCTCACAATGGAAAGATTATTAATTTCACTTTTAGAAAGACATGCCGAGGAAAATCGTTATCTTTTAAGTTTACATTTACCACATGGTTGCGTTTTCTATCTTTATTGCCTTGAGAGCTCTGGCTTTCACTGTTTTAGTTAACTTAGGAGTGGATAATTATCTGAAGTCACCAGATACAAATGCCCCATTATGGTAAGAACCTAAATAACCTGAAATAGGCAGAAGAGACAATGTAATTGTTGAATCATGTAAGCTATTGTCAACGTGCGTGGCGTTATAATGTGGCATATGATGGGCTTCTTGAGTGTGCCTATGAATTTCACCACTGACAAGATATAATAAGTTATTGAGAGTTAAATATTTCACATCTTGCTTTTGTCGGCAGTCTTTTTATGCCATGATTTAGTATAATTCGCTGCATTTTCGTAAACAGGATCTTCAGAAGCTCTTCGAAGTGTTTATGGGGCAACTTCGGCTACTTTTTGGTATCAGATCCGATAGCGTCCATGTCGATCTCGGCATCTCCAGTTATTTGACTAGCAAAAAAGGGTTCGCTGAATGGTGTGCTGCTAACTTTTGTTGATAGTTTGTATAGACATCTTACAATAATTGCATAGCTCTCAAAACACTGCTGTTGTCCTGTTCATAACCATAGATTTCTCGCTGTAAATTAAAATGTTTCTTGCTTCTTACTTACTGGTTTGACTTCCTTTGTCGCCTGTCTGGTTGGAGGATGAACCAATAGAATGATCTATAAAGCTGGATCTACTTTGCTGGTAGACAGTTGGCAGGATAAGAATTTTTAGTCCTATCATCTAGAGGGATTGAATGTCTTCTGGCTCTACGTGGGATTTTCATTACCATACAATCACTCCTATCTTCTGCCTCTACTTCAACCATTCATTTATTTCTAATTTAGGAGGTGCATGACCATTTTATTTACTCAGGAATGAACTGTAGCTAACCGTAGTGATTTAATATTAGATGGGATAAACGTGGATAGTTAATTTGGTGATTCCTGAAGGATGATTGTGCAAACATATTTTTCTGGAGATTGTACAAACATATCTGTGTGTGTATATATATATATATATATCTAAGCACATGCGGGCATACAATCTTGATGGACACCTATATGATTTAGTCTCTAGACACAGAAAGGGCATACATTTATAGAATACACCAAATAGATATGTCTAAGATTCCTTCAGACACAATGTGGATTATGCAAAAAAAGTTTGCCATCAAGAATTATACGTGAGGTGTGTAATCAAACGTAAAAAAGTTAGTTATTATTTTGTTTCCATTTTTTTGTGTTTATGAGCAATTAAATTGAATAATTGTTGTGATTCTATGAATTATGATAATTCAAAAGAACAACAAAATAAATGTTCAAGTGCATAATGTTTAGCATGATCCAAAATCTTTCCATGGATAAAAGATAAAGATCAAAACAAGATTTAAGTTAATAAATGATAAACGCCATCATTCCTATGATATGGATACGAATATTTTTATAGATGTCAAGACATCATCATGGCTAGCACCTCGAATCCTTCCTACATCTTTAGCTTACTAAAAAGAGTGCAGGAAGGATTGGCAAAAGCTAGTTAAGTCCAACTTCTCGAATCACTTTTGTTCCCTTTGTGGAACACTCAGATTTGCTTCATCCAGCTGAAAGCTGAAGGCTTGCTTGGAAGCTGAGCGCTGATGATGTGTGTTATGTAATTGTTAGAGTGTGGTACAAGTGGATAGAACTTCCATGCCCATTTGTACCTTATCTTTTTTCCATTTTCTTCAATTTTTGAGTCAACTTTTCTATTTCTGGCGCATCTTCTTCATGAGCATGTGGCCAGATCATTGACGATTCTGGTTGCCTCTTAATTCTCTAGCTTACAAGGTTCCTGGGTGCTTATGGTGCTCATTCCCTGTCACTCATTGGTTTCTTCTCTTCTGCAGGGAGTTGGACTTTTTGTCCAGGCACCACGCATGCTCCAATCTCCTTTCTTGCGCCAATACTCTCGAATCTCTCTCTAAATTGGTATTCTTCTACGATTTTGTTCGCTTCGAATCCCGTTCTTTGTTGATTGATCTATGTTGACTTGCTGTCTCAGGTTCAATCCCTACCGAGGATGATTGTCATGCAAGAAATAGGGAAACAGGTTTGCTGCTCTTTCATCATCTTTTCCTTAAAAAAATGCAGGAAATGAGGAGTCATGCCGCCGAACTTAGCATCTACTTGATGCCAATCTAATCCTTCTCTCTCAGATCATGTGAAAACGATTAAAGTCAACCATACTCGGTTTCCCTTTAGTGTCTGCTCCCTTTTCAAAACTGTTTAGAGCGATTTTTTTCATGTGAAAATGATTAAAATTAGCTAAAAAAATAGTTTTTTTTTCTGATTTTTGGGGTGTAAATGCTCTGTGTTTCTCAGGTGAAGCTTTCCCTTGAAGCAGCAGGTTCAGCCCAAGCAAATGCCTCCGCAGGAGCCTACGATGCTTCAGCTGGTAGACCACTTGAAAGAGCTCGATCCATTGAAATCCTCAAACCCAAAGATCCAAATTTTCACTCTCTTCTATTTTCGGGTGCCGTCTCAGAGTCATCCAGGAGGGCGAGAGCATTGGCAGAAGACGCCTTCTTCCACCCCTCCATCATGTCGATCAGCTACTCCTCTCTGGAGCACTACTTCGCCATATACATGGTCATTAAAGGCTCTCACCTTCTCTCTCTCTCTCTCTCTCTCTCTCTCTCTCTCTCTCTCTCTCTCGGGATTTCGTTCAAATATACAGTGGTTGCTGACTTTCTGAGCTTCCCTCTCCACTTGACAGCCCTTCTTTGCTCCGGTCTCTCTCCACGTCCTCCTGGCGGCTCTGAAGGAGCTTAGACGGTACAGGGCGGAACGGGCCAAGCATCTCCTCCACAAGTCCTAATCCTTCTTCAAGGCCCATTTTCGGGCATCCCCAGGTCAAGATCTCTCTGAGTTTTTTGGTCTTGAAATGAGACAAAGCTGAAGCTTTTGATTTGGGACTCTCTCTCTCTCTCTCTCTTTCTCGTCTCCATAATTAGGGTTTTCAAATATGTACTCTCCGCCCACATTCATCTACTAGGCTGGCCTCTGTAGTTCCATTATCAAGATGAACTGAGTGTGGCTTCTCTTCTAAATAGTGGGCAATCGTTGGGATGCTTTTAGTCCCAACTTTTGGAAATTATAATTTAGTAGGAAACCTTACTTATAATTCAATAGCAATGAAGGGTGGGGAGAGAGAGAGAGAGAGAGAGAGAGAGAGAGAGAGAGATCAGAGAACACATCATCATTAAGTCCGGTATGACATTGAATGTTGTCTTTAGTTTATATTCTGAAATATATTGGACGTGAAGGACAAATTGCCAAATAGTCTAGTATGGACGCCTGAGAAATTAAATGTGCGCTTGACAACATATTGCTTCCAAACGTGCAATAGTCTTACTACAACATAAAATTTAGTATAAAATTACTTTATTTTTTTAAGAAATAATTTTTTGTAATGAAAAGCAAGAGGACAAACTTATTAAGCTGAAATAACTCAATCTCTTGCAACTGATGTATCACATTCTATTTTAAATAATTTGTCAACAAATTTGATAATGATAATACAAGAGCAAACTATATTTTCTCTTTAATGAAATTAAACGTTTTATTTACTTCACTGATCTAATTGATTTCTTTTCATGTGTCAGGTAACTAGTGCAACAATGAAGTTGAAAATTTTAATAATTAATAATAACAATATTATAATCCATAAAAGCTATGTATGTTGTGATTATTCTTTAACATCAACGATTTTTGATAGCTAAAATATTCCTCATTAAACTCTATACCATTTTCACTAATTACATATCCTAAGAAAAATAAGATGTAGTCATAAAAATAGATTTTTAAAATTTTATATAACTTATTTATAATTATTAATATCTATTTGAAGCATAGCAAATGCTCTTCTTATTTACTACTGAAAATAAGTACAGCAAAATAAAAAAAAACAAGGAATTTACTGATATATGATTATATTACGTGGTTTATGATTTTCATAAATATGTTAAGAGTGTTTGATAAATTAAATAGCACCATCAATTGTTTATAGAGTTATCTATTTTAAGATTAAAATTTTCATCTATCACCTTTATAAATTCAAATTGAATGATATCCTCTTTTAAATCAATTTTTGAAAAAACTTGAAAGCATAGAACATGTAAAGTATACCATCTAGCTTTGTAATACATAACCCATATTTTAACAATAATTTTATTTATTACTCAGTTGTGTAAACAGATGCAGTAATTAACATCTTTCTTTGGGACTAATAATGCAAGAACTGATGTTAAACTCATACTCTCTCTTAACAACCTTTAGATAATAATTCCTCATCATTTTCCTTTAGAGTTTAATATTCTTCAAGATTCCTTGTATAATGTGATAAATTTGATGGAGTTACACCTAAAAAGAAGTCATTGTGATGTTGTATACTTTTCATGGGGGGAGATGATTTAACAAATATTGTATAGTAGTAAAGTTAGATTACAATTTTTTGTAAAGGTTCAAGTATAACACTGAAAAATTATGTCACATTTAATTTAACCTTCAGTTATCACAACTATTTCATACTACTCATCAAAGTTATTAAGATGTTCAAATTGACAGAGTTTTCAAAATAATTTGACAATAGTCCACATCAACTACATCACACTTAAATTCTTAAAAAAATATTTTAATAATTAAAAATTTAAACAAACATGTTTAACTTTTATTTCTGAATTTTTTTTAAACAACTAATTTTATATGGTTATGAATGATTTCTTATTTTTAGTCTTAATTTTACAGCATACTTAAAGAGAATGTTTTCATGACTAAAACTATAAATATGACATCACATATCATACAATTGATGATGTACCACATTCAAAATACATTATCATCTTAGAGTTATTTCTCTTTCTTTGTGTGCATGTCTTCAAAGGAATGAAAAAGTATTTATGTATTGTCAAACTGAAGAAAATTTCTTGAAGGTTCCCATTTGACATTTAATTTTTGTGAACCATTTGGTACAAAGATTTTAGATGATCCAATTTATCCAATACTTCTTGTGAATCATATGGAAGACGGTCTATACAAGTATCATACAAAGTCTACCACAAATCCTGTACATTGTTTGAATTTTAATACTATTGGAACAATATATGGTTATAATCAGATAAATTAATTGTGATTTTGGTAATTCTTTATTTGAATCATGGATGAACAATTTCCTTGCTAAATTTAGCATGTGTCATATGGAGCTGTTTGTACCATACTAATACTCTACCCTTTGATATATGTGTCTACTTGAATATTCATATATTAAAAAAAAGTTTAACCTGAGCCAACTAATCCAAATTTTTTTGTTCACAAATTAACATTGAAGTGTGACAATTCAATTGTCATTAAAAATCATTATATAATATATATATGAATAAACTTGCCATTTAAAAAAAAACACAAAAGATTATTTATTCCTATATATGAGATCACAACACATTTTAGTTCTAAGCAATATTGATATGAGAAGATGTTAGAAAAATGCACAAAAAACTTGAAGATTTGGAGGTGGCAGCGTACAAAGGTGACCATGAGGGATCTCATGAATTGTAAAGTAGAGGAGCTAGGTTTGACTTATAACAACATAGAGCTCTCTGGGATTCAATACCAATGTACTTAGAGATAAGAATGGCATATTATTTGAGAAGAGCACCTGTCATGGTCAGAGTATTATTTATCTAGTGATGTTTCAATGCTTTGGATGACTAGAAAGCTTGCATTCCAGAAAACCATCCCATATGCTTTTGTGTAATTTCTATTGCTAAACTGGGAAAAGACTGATGGTAATTCCTTTCAGACTTCTCAAATGTGGGAATGCCATCATGATAACAATTCAAATGGGCCTAACCTACTTTAGGCAACAGAAAAAGGAGGCCATTAGTCTGGACCACTTCATCAACAGAAGAACAAAGACCCCACTTCCCAAGAGAATGGGGCCCAATTAGGGTATTAGGGCAAAGGAGTCCTTGTCCGTAAGAGAGTTGGGGATCAAGCAAGAGACCACCATTCTGAATAGCGGGATCAACCATACTGACCCACCATAAATTGATGATGTTCGAACTGAAACAAAGACTTGCAAACTCAAGATCCGTCACCAATCATGTCTCAGCTTCTCCATCTGCTAAGCACCCTCGCACAGTGGCGAGAATAATTTGCACTGGAAGGTTAGAATCCACAGCATGAACTAACATTTCCTCAATCTCAGGAGTCCTCTCAAACGTATGAGGGGAAAGGTTGCAGGCAGCTAGATGTCAAGATATATCTATATACATGTATATCTGTGTGTCTACGTGCATTTAGACATATATTCCTAGGCCAGAGGCCAGATTCAATTACCTAACGGATAGCTGCAGTCCAAAAAATTTTCCCATGCTAATTTCACTGCGTCTTCAAGCGTCTTAGAGATGTAGGCCGCATCCAAGATATCATCCTGTAAAAGAAAAATATGGATGTCATGAGACAATCTGGTTTCAGCCACTATATCAGGAGAAACGTTCAAGGGAGACTGGAAAACACACATCTTCAAGTGATCAACGCATCATTTTTCCCATTAAAGGAAAATTTTATTTTAAAGATGGAAGAAGAAAACCAAATTAGACCTTCTGAGAAGGCCTCAAGAATCAGAAGCAGTATCATAACAGCTTGTTCCCTGATTTCTGTTGGGCCATAATCGTAAACTGCCTGGTATGTGATCTGTAGATTTATTCCATCAAAACATGTACGGCGGCTCCTTGGCATTGACCAACAACTAGAACCCTAAAAGCACAACTAGAACAAGCATATTGGGCCATATTTCCCGTTCTCATGTATTACTTACCTTCAACCACCCACTTGCTTCGTGTATCTTGAGAGTGACTTCATTGGAAATTCCCCCTTTGGAGGTTACGAAATCAAATCTGTCCGCACATCTCAGGTAGAGGCTTATATCTAGGTCCTGCAACTTGAACTTCCTGTGCTTCGTATGCCAGGCGCCTACAACCGTGAACCTGTCCTCTGAAGACTCCTCCTTCCCAAGGGGCCACCTCAGGCCCCCTTTCACGCTGGCATCAAGGGTTGCCTCCTCAACTAGCCTGCGTATAGCATCCATATCCTCATCCTGTAATCAATATCAAAACTTGTGAACACATATAGAGAAACTTTTACAAACACAAAGTGGAAGAAACCCACTTCTATTTCCATAAGCTTCCGTTTTTTGCACAACATTATCCTCAAGTCCAGATTCTTGTCGAGACACGATATATCTTCCACCATGTGTCTCACTAGACTTGATCGAATCTGCAAAAACTCAAAATATTTCGAATTAAAAAATAAATTAATATGTAAACATCATAAAGTTAGCTACTTCAGACTGCTGGAGGTGTGAAAATGATATAAATCAGAAGTAATGAATCACCATTAAACCACGGCTAACTGGCATGAGGGACAAGATTACTGTCACAACAGGTGACTGATTTTTAATGAATATTAAGATAAAGCGAAAAAATAACACCTTCTGGACTGAAGTCCAAATCTTACACACTAAACACATTTAATGACTCGCAACATATTCGCAACGTCTGTCACAAAAAGTTGCATACCAATAAAACGCAGAAACCTCCGTTTGGAGAAAGAGAGTATCAAAAGGCAAACTTATAATCTTTTTTAATCCGACAGCATTGACTTTTTCTAACAAGTGTTTTAAACATGTTGTGGATCTTTCACATCTTGTACTCTAGCATATTTGTGCTCGCAGATCACCCCCATTGCAAACCCATATGGTAGTTACATTTAGATGAACATGATAGTCAACTACCTTCTAATCAGATCTGAGACCACATTTCACTTGTCTAGTCTTAATCAGACTCCACCCATCGGAATAATCAACACTGCCCAGTCTCATTTAACAAAGAATGGAGTGCTCCCGATTAGAAACACAGCCCGGATGTATATATAAACAAGAAAAATGAGGAGAAATCATGGAAAGAAGCGCTGCTGCTAACCTTATACATTTTCAGTTTCCCAAGATCTTTTGCAGCAGTGCACTTGCATGTGATGGTGGTCTTGGGTTGATTTTTGTCACTTATCTGGTCAGAACGCCAAAATAAATCAAAAACCACTGGCAGGGAGTAATCTACTATTGCCAACTAGCTCACAATCAATGGCTTTCACAGAGAATCAACCACAAGTTGACGGTAAATTGAAAGAGGTACCTTCACATAATAATGATCCTTCTCTTTGTGAAAATAAAATCCAATCTTGGGGACAATTGCCTGCACAATTTCTTCAATAAACTCACTGGGAATATTTGTGTAAAATGTTTTCCAGGGTCTATTCCAGGCAGCGCTTCTGAGGATTTCAAGAGAGGTCGAAGAGCCACTGCAGAGGGGTTGATTTGGTCAGCCCAAAGATGGGCTTACAACAGAACTACTGTTCTCGACTCCATAAAGGTTTTAGTTTTGCAAAAAGTAAAAGAAAGTCTTCCACTAAATTAGATCTTTATCTGACATAAGCATCTTAAATTTGCCTCAGGAACAAAAAGAAAAGATGAATTTACTGTAAGTATGTAAATGGATGAGATTTAATCAGAGTTCTTATAGGTACTTGCACAAACCAGGTGGACACAGAATTCATAAAAGAGAATGCAGGGTGGCTGTCTACGATGCAGCAATATATTACCAAGGAGAAAAAACTAAAGCAAAAAAAGTTGTAACAGTAATTGATCATTTACCCATGGAAGAAATTTTTCCAATGCGAGCAAAAAGAAAAGGTGTGAATTCTCCCCCTTCCAATTCAATCTTCAAGTTCTGCAATGCAAAAACCAGATCCTGCTGTACCTTCTCTGCTATGAAAACCCACGGGCTCGTTTGTGACCCCTCCGTAACTTCATTCCGTTCTGTGGGACAGCCAAACAGCCATTACTCACCAAAATATCTCAGGAAGATAAATGGAATGCATAGTCATTTAATTGTCGTCAGTCAGAATTAGAGGACCTGCCGGCGGATTCCCATCAACTAAAACAAATGGTTTCCCCCCTCTTTCGTGCTCGAAAAACGTGTTGGAGGTGCGTTCCAGACGAAATGACTTACGTATATGATCATCCCCCCCGGACCCAACAGGCCACCATCTAGCAACACAATCTCTAGAATAAACGATCTTTTCACCGAAATCCGGTGGCCTCTTGCTTTTCTTTTTGCGCGAAGTAGATGTTGAGTGTAAGTTCAATTTTTTCCCGAATTGAGGAACCAGAGATTCAGGAACCGGAGCTGGTTTATCAGCATCCGCCGAATGACTTAAGTTCGGGGGTGTGTTCGCCATGAGCGGATATCAAGAACACCTTCATCAATCTTCTACCTATAGGCATTCACGTTAGGACTATAGTAAACGAACAGAAAACAGAAATATAAGCCACGGGATATGAAGTCCAAGGAAGTTATGTCTTCATTCCCGGCGCGATGTCTGTGCAAGACAAACCGCGTGACCATGGATGCAAAAGACGAGGACAAGATAGACATAGAGATATCCTCGAGAATGGGCGAAATGGAGATCGATGGTTGGTACTATCCGTCTCCATTCCAAAGAAATAATTCTTTACGCCCTACTTTTTCCTCTGTTTGACATTCAAATATAGGAAGACTGAAGACATCAAACACCCATCATAAGGTACTGTTTAACACGGGAAGAACGGTCTCTCCTCTTCTTGCTCGCTTCCGTGGGGAACGATCTCCAGCCAACGTACTCGACGACCGTTATGATCAAATTTTCATGCCAAAAACCAAAGCGATCGCAAAGAAAAGGAAGAAGAAGAGACACCTTCTCCTCTCTTCACTGTGACGAATCAAACGCAGCCATGAGAGTACCCAATGGGATGAAACACAGGAAGAACAGATACCTTCTCTCCTTCTCGTCTCCACAAACTCCTCAAGCAACCTCAGAGATCAGACCTTCTCTCCCCATTTGAGAACCATTTGGGAGAGGGAGAGGGGGAGAGAGAGAGAGAGAGAGAGAGAGAGAGAGAGAGAGAGAGAGAGAGAGAGAGAGAGAGAGAGAGAGAGAGAGAGAGAGGCTTACCTCGACTGCTTGTGATAACTCAATAATGATATATATATACTAAACTCTAGAAAAAATAGCAAGCACACCATATCTCTCTTGATATGAGGTTAGGGTGGTGACCCTTGTGGCTGCATAGGGCATGATGTGACATAGATGAAGGAGTGTTGCATGCACATGAGCACATGGCAGCATGGTGGATGTGTGGATGTGTGGAGACATGCAATGACATAGCACATTGAACATGGGCAAAGATGGTTCATGCTAGGCAAGCACAGCTCATGAAGACTGCAACATTGAGGCAAAGTGTTGTCTAGCATGACACAATATGGTGGTAGTGTTGGATGACATGCATGAGGGCATGTGAAGCGCATGTGTGTATGCAAAGCTCAAGTGGAGGACTATGCTAGCCTAGAGAGTGTTGTTCGAGGGAGTGTCTCAAGTGGCATGATAGCTACTTGATGTAGTGCAAAAATGGCATGACTAGGCACATGAGTTGAGGTGATGTAACAAGTGGGGGACAAGGGGGGAGGGGCAAGAAAGTAATAGCACTTACACGTGTATGACATGCAATTGAGTAAGGGAACTCCTTGGCAAGGAAGGAGAGGGAGTTAACTAGTAGGATAGATAGGAGAGGGAATGGGAGTGTATGTCAACCTTCATGAGTTGTATTCATGTTTATAAAATGGAATACACCTTGAGTTAATCAACTCTTCCACACTTAGAAGAGGTTGATTTAAGTCAACACAAGGTGAAGAGGGCAAGGTATTTTCATACTAACCTTGTGACAAATTGCCTTCATTGTCCTTTGTCCTCTCTTCGTGAGCTTTACATGTCCACATTCCCTACATAGACTGAAATTGTGAAAGTAGCTTGTTTATCCCTACTAGTCAACGTATTGACTATGGAATCATTGATTTTCAAAATCTCATGTTGAAGATTTTTTCTTATTAGAACAGCATTTTTCAAAAATTTGAAAATTAATAAATTCATATTAGAATTTTCTTAGTGAATTAGCAAACATCCTCTCACACAAGGTTTGTAGTGCACTCAAGAACACAAGATATTTTGATGATATGAAAAGTGATGAAATAGTTATTAAAGAACATTTTAATGATGATAAATAGACATTGGATTGATAACTAGATCAAAATATGTTGCCCATTTAATGCACTTTAAATATGTACTTATAATATTTTGGATATGAGCATGAAATTATTTAAGCATTAAGTTGACGTAATGATGTTAAATATTCACGTAATAGACAAATAATTACATTTAAATCTAATACTTTTAAATCCGAAAATTTTCATGAATTTGCCAATTCCAAAGTATTACTTTATTTACTGTTGAGAGAAATATTAATATTTATAGAAACTACCATTGACAAAAATGAATTGTTAGCACAAATTATTTAAGAATGAGTATGAATTTTTAGCACAATGTATTTATCAACATTTCCAACAATAGCATAGTGATTTCGATTGTAAAATTCATCAAACTTTGGTATTTTAAATTAAGAAAAATCAAATACATTCCTTGAAGTATCTTATACACAACATCTTATATTATCATAAATTTATTCATAAGTAATTTTATGCACGTGTATCAAGGACCACTCACAATAAGAATATAGAATATTTTTTACAACTTAACATATTTTTTAACTTATGTGTTTTTCATCATAAAAATATTATAAGATAATTAAGACTGATGAAGCCAACACATTTGACACACTGAAACTATCTAGAATTAATTAACATCCATGCCACAGTGTAATATATTTATGACCCTATTATTTGAAATCCCAAGTGTTGCTTAAATATTCTTTACATGGAGCATTTTCAATTACACTCCAAACATCTAAGTCAGATGAGTAGATTAGAATTTTCATTATGTCTTTCTAATAAGTGTAGCTTGATCATGTTATGAGAGGACATCAAATAAAAATTTAATCATTGGGCTGCTTATCATGTGACTACTTAAGGTTGTTAAGATCTCTAATTGTGTTATGCTTTGATACTAATTTTTGGTCCCTAGTTTATAAACATGACTAATCAAGAGGAGGGACGAATTTATTATTAATATATATATTTATAATTTATTTTCATGAATTTATTATTTTAGAAATTAAGAGAGAAGATACCTAAGATAGAAATTTATAGTGATTTTGTCGAGACTCATTTATCTTATGCTCACTTCCATGATTGCAATCTCAATTCCATTATTTTAGTTCCTAGAATGTAGTTGATTTTCTTAAGATCATGAATCCTTCAATGTAGATTATGGAATAGAATATTAAGAATGTCAAACTTTGTCAAAGGAATGATTTGATGTAGGGTGATGGGAGAAGGAGCTGCTTGACCTCTTTCATCAAGTATAAAGCTCAAAGATGTTGATTTCAACCAAGTTCTTAATCTATTGAAAATGGTGAAAAAGAGAAAATCATTATGAATATCATCCACCCTTGATGTTTCAATTTAAGTTTAACACCCAAAGAGAAAGGACTCCTTTACGAAATTGTTGCACATTTTATGAATACATATTTTGATTATTGACTTTTGCTTCAAGCTGTTGGCAATTTCATAATTATGTTTTGGCGAATTTACTTAAATTTCTTTTAATTAGATTTTAGGAGTATTTAGATTAAGAAAATATGGATTTACTTAATTAGATTTTAATTTTATATTTGGTCAATGATTCTAATTATATTAATTTTATCCATTTAAATCATAAAATCATTTGAATATCTTAGATTTAAGTATAAGGAATTCCAAGATTTATATCATGGTTCAGGCCTCTACTTATGCACATTTTCCAAGAACACCTCTTTATTTGGTTATACTAAACAAGCTATTTAGCTATCAATTGTTGATTACCAAGTTTACCATGGATAAAATTTAATTCCAAAAATTTCTTCTAGATTTACATTTCTAAGAAGTCTATCATTGATTGTAGGGGTAAACTAGTAGGTGCATAATTACCTGATAATCATATAACTATGAATTTCAAAGTAGATGGGTGCATGTTAATTGATAGTTATTCTAAAAAAAATCATTTACTGCATACATAAATGATTATAAATTAAGAATTTTTTTTTGAAAGATATGAAGCCAAATGTAATAGAATTCAAAAAATTTGGATGTAAATGTTTTCTCTTGAACAATGATATAGAAAAATAAGACAAACTGTATGCTGTAAGTGATGACCAGGTCTTTCGAAGATACAAAAAAAATCAGAAAGGCATACAATCCATAAAAAGAGACCATGATAGTAGAAGGCAACATTCATATGAAATTTCTAGAAAAATCATAATCTATTACAAACATGGAAGAAAATTTCATGGAAGTTTTTTAAAATCAGCTAGATGACGATATTACATAGATAAATTCAATTCAAGAAGATTTTTTTTCAAATCATTGAAGACAATGAATTATCATCAAATTAAAAAAATATTTTATAAAAATTAAATAAGAAAATAAATTCAATACCTTTGGATATATATATATTACTGAATCACTTTTGAATGAAAATAGGATAAATGTAATGCATGAGGACCAAAAAAATTAAAGAATTGAAATGTGACAATAAATATGTAAACCTAATGAGAAATGTGATTTGCACAAAAATGGGTTTATATATAAAAAAATGAAGAATAATCATAAATAAAGTACACAAGGTTATGTACAACAAGAAGGGATTAACTATAAAGAAATTTATACTCAAGTGGCTACTAGATTTTATTGACCTTTAAAATGAATAATATGGAACAACTTACTTTATTATTAGGTATGAAATTAAAAAAGATAAAAAATATTACAATAAATTACTCAAAACATTCAAATTTGAAAGATTAAATTTCTTAGAACACCCTACAAGAACAATATGAAAATTAGACTAGATGAATAAGGCAATGGAGTTGAAAAATAGTGTACATAGATATGATCAATTCATTATTATATTTCATAAAAAGTCAATCGGATATTTTTTAGTGTATGCATATGTACCAAATTTCATAGCATTACAAACGAATCCCACTTAAATACAATCAAGAGAATTTTAGATATCTAGTTGAAACTTGGTGTCTAAGATGTTGATGCCCTAGAATAATGATTTAATATTTGATCAGATATTGCAATTCATATTTTGTGAGAAGTAGGATTGATAGAGAAAGTACTAGTGAGTCATAATTATTTTTTAGTTACCATTTCACATTGTTTTATCTATGACAGAAGTTGAATATGTTTAAGTGGGAAGCTATTGTGCTC